CGAGTGATCAAGGTGTGTTCTATGCATTCCGTACATTCTTAGTGGAAGTCCAAACGAATACTGGCTAAATATATCCATGTGACACATGCGTAACAACAACCTGAAGATTAGGATTGCGGGCTCCTCTTGTCACACACAGTAAAAAAAGACAAAGGGAAAAGGACACAAAGTGGATGTAAGGACTACTTAACTTTCTTTAAGTACTTCTAGAGAACTTCTACAGTACTAATTTTGTCTAACTACAAAATATAATTTCATACATGTACCTGTTTCGAAACACATTGTCTGGACTTCCAAGTCCAAATGCTAGGGTCTGCCCTTCCATACTATTTTTTTGCTTCATATGAACCTCTGCAAAGAAAAAAATGTATTGGTGTTGTTATCAATAATGAAATAACCCTTTTAATCCTGGAAATTTAGTATTATTCACAAGACTTAGGAATCGACAGTCATAGTCTCATAAATATTGGTATTGATAACTGATCTTACTTGTGGTCTTTTGCCTGACAGGTGTTTCATGTTCTTCTTCAGAACTATAAAGAACAGTTAGCATTGCAGCAGCAGCCAGTGGCCGTTCATCATCAGTATCAGAATCTGCAGCATACATGTATGCCTCTTCTTCACCCTGAATTGCATTGGAATGAACTGACATTATTTTCTAAATCTAACAGAGAATATTAATAATACATGTAAACTACTATTAATGTACAGTGTACTGGTATGGAAAACTGTAGGTTCCAGATGAATGAAGCAAGGTTTATTGTCAAAGAAATCCTCTGACAATTACATCAGTAATAGTGTTCAAAACCCAAGCTCTAAACTGAGATCTGCACTAATAGATCATTTGCTATGATTATGAGTATGATTATAATTATGGCTGATCCCATGGGAAGGCAAGATAGGCACATTTCGCCTGTTCGGGATTTCCCGCATTCGTCCCGCAAGAAAATGGTCTCTTTTTGGCCATACAATAAATTTGATATTGACCTAGCTTGTTCGGTCAAGACGGCTGTATATTCATTGGCTAATATTGAGCCACTTTGACCTCATGCTTGGTCAATAATGCATGTATTTTACCATCTAAAAGTCCCTCTAGTTAAGGATTGCCTCACCGTACCTCTCCAGCTGTTTTTTTTTTTATTTGGGAAACCTGCACTGGCTGCCGCAACTCATCTCCTGGAGGACTGCTTTTTGCATTAGAGATGATTGGAACATCCTCATGAACTATTGGCTGTTACAAAACACGATGTTTTAGATTAAATAATTAACTGCATATTAATCTTTGAACAAGAGGTTTGTTAAAACCTGTAGATGCCTTAATTTTATTTAAAACTGACAATTATGTTTTTTCCTGGTGTCACAAGTAACATTCACAATAAAAAAATGTTATCAAAAAATACATCATGATAAATTGAGTTTGATTAACACATGATACTACAAACACCATTCCTAACAGCATCCTTTAAAGCAATTTGAACAGTACAAGAGTTAGGGATTTAATGACTACTGTACTAGCTGTAAATCACCAGAGAAAATGATGTTTTTTTATCTGATAATTCAGTCTGTTTTGCTAAGGTTTGTCTATACATGTACCTTATCACCATCTAATTCCTCTTCTGTAGTTGCCTCTGGTAACATGGATTCCGATTCTGTCTCAGATCCAGTTTCATCCCCTTCATCCTTCCATTAAATTAAACAAGAAATTTAACCAAAAATTAAAATCTTTGTTTAAGTCAATGAAGTTTAGGATAATGTGTCTGGATACATGTTCCTAATAATTCCAAATAATACAGAAATCTGGCCTTGGCTTCTAAAACTTAATAAATGAATGGAAGAGCTAAATTGATAATTATATAAAGTTTTGTAACCATTATTCAAAAGCACTTCCCGTGAATTACAGGGTACTTAACATCATTAGAGGCTCTCTAATTAGGCTGTCAGAATTACTGTAGATAGACTGCCTCAATCCATAAATGATGATACTTTTTATCTAATCCAAGGCTCGCACTTTCGATAAATTGGCAAGCAAAAAGCAGACAGATTTTACAACTGAAGCTGAGTGCCTTTTTAAGGTTACTGGCTTTATGTCTGTATTGTATTAATCACTGTGTATTCTACTATCAGTCATTTGAACATTATTTTAGGGTAGAGAGCTGGAGTACTTTCTTGTAGGATCCTCGAAGGTCATTAAGGATTCGCCCCTTAGTTCTTATTCAGAGAACCTGGCAAGCAATCTTGTGAGAACACTGCTAATGATAAAGCCCGACTTTACAGTCATGTGTAGGTTAAACAAGCCTCATAGTGCACATACAGCTTTACCTCTTCTGTGTCCAAATCCACCACATATTGACATTTCACATCACCGAACGTGAGCATGTCACCATGCTTAAGCTCATATCGTATTGTAGGCTTCAAAAGAGACTGTAAAATAAATTGAGAAAAATCATCTTTATTTACAATGTTTGTTGCAAATATTTTTCCAATATAGAGTTGAGTGCGAGATGGAGCTGGAGTTGTCTGAGTTATAAAGACCCAGACATTGAGCTGCCAGTGTAGTGACTATAAAAACTTATCATGTTTCAAGCTTGATAATTTATGTTTCTTACACAATTATTATCAAGGTTTTCATTAAGAATTCTAGTAGCAGGAGAAAGGTGTAATGTTACAGGAGAATATTTTGAAGGAGGTTCCGCGTCTAAATATAATATAGTCATAGGCTATCAAACGTTTGCTGGAGAATTAAGCATAATAAACCAAGAATTCTCCGATCTCTGATGCCTAATGAACTCCCTGATTATTAATTACATCACCAAAATAAGTTAAATTATTACATTATGAATAAACTCAAATACTTAATGTGTTTTCTGATACCTTTCCTTTCTTTGTTCTGTTCTTGCTTTCACAATCATAAATTAGATGAAGATCTCTTTGCACTTCAATACAGGCATGCTTCTTTGATAAAGCCTTTAACACAACGAAGAAATTAATAAACACAAGATGAAGAAAAATTTCTAAGCAATTATTACTCCACACTATATACAAGATCTGTACAAGCCCTTGTTTATAGGAAAAACAATCTCACCTTAATAGGAATAGTGATGTTACATTTTCCATCTCTCCCAATAACATTATCACCTTCAAAAGAAAAAGTATTATATTGAAGAGGTGTATAGAAAAAAGCCTAAAAAGACCTCTTATAAAATGCTTAATTAATATTCTCCTTCTATTTACTTGTCAGTGAAACACAGAATTTAGTACTAAAACAACTACCTATGGTCTTAACTCCTTTTCTTTAATACTTTTCAGCTACGTAATGGAATGCACTGCCTGACTTTTTTTGTACTAGTTTTTTTGCAGACTTCGAGACTAAAAGTAAGTGTACGTTACCAAAATTACCACACTTTGACAAGCTTTATGGCGAGAACAATGAAAGACTGGAACAAACTATCTGCAAGTGAAATGGCCGCAAGAGATGCCGATACCTTTAAAATAGCTGAGAGAATCTATGAAATGTACTTTTCAAAGGTCTACCACACTTTTTATAGCCTGACAATGCTAATTACTTTTCTATTATAATTATTTTCTCAAATCCTTGGTGATACAATTGTACATACCCAGAAATATCGGAAAGAAGGTCTCCTTAAATCCTTGCTGAGTAAATACCTTTAAGACTGCAACCTTTGAAGTAAATGATGAGTGAGCATGTACTTTAATTTACTTTATACTATATAATAGTGATGGTGGTGATGATAATAATTGTGATGATAGTTAATGAAAAGTTGTTTCAAAAGCAGTGTTCAACCTTAAGATTGGCTGGTTAAGGATAGTGAAGCTGGAGAAGTCAGTTCATTAAGACAGCCTCCAGAACTTCAAGAGCCAACAGCCTCAGGGTCAACAAGCATGTTAACTTTATTATATGGGTGATAGTTTGGATGATAGTTGTTCAGAGTGTCAATATCATAATTTGACCCAGACCACTTTTTGAAATGTCCCAAGTTAAAATGCCATGTGGGCCATATGACTCACTTTGACTAACTTCTAGCTAGAAGTTAGGTTTGAATTGCCCAATATGAGTTTAGCCCAGAAGAATGTTCAGAATGTTCAATCCAGAGGATTTTGCCCCAAAGAATCAAATTCCATATGTTTTCTTACTCTAACCATAAAGAAACCCTCAACTCTTTATGACTTACCCCTCATGAAGAATTCCATTCCCTCCACCAGGAGGGGGGGCCAGGGGGTGGGGGGTTGGTATTAGCCCATTTTTGTTTTGTACATGTCTCCACATGCCCAGGCTCTGCTGATTTCTCTTATCACGTCGAAATAAAGTTCATACATTCATTCAGTCAGTCAGTCGGTATTTCTGCATTCATGATCATTCATTCATTCATTCATTCATTCATTCACTCCTTCATTCATGCATCATTCTGTCCTGAATTATGAAAGGTGTATTTTTCAAATTTACCTCCTTCTTCTTGGCATGAGTTTTGACCTGCTTCACTTGTTCCTCCTCTTCTTCTTCATAATCATATATTGCTTGTGTTTGATCAAAATCCATTTGCAACTGAATGAACAGAATAACAATCAAAATTAGAGCAAACTTGAATTTTGGCCAACACGCGATCAAGAGAAACTGTAACGAGTTTATTATGATAGTATAAGTATCCGGGAGAAACATGTCGCAAATCAAAAGAAAATCATAATAAAGAAAGACACGAACTTGCAAGTAACGAAAGAGAGCAGACAAAAAAGGAAACAAATAGGGTTTACCTTACTTTTTAGGGTATCTTCAAGTCCGCCATGTTAGGAAATAATTTCGCGCGAAAAGCCAGCGGTAAGATAGTACACTATATGATATCATACATGACAGGACATATCCAAATGACACTGCCCCAACACTAGTTTCAGTGTCACTCGGTCATGTGAGGGAGAAGATGGTAAGATATCCAGTCTCGTGATTTACTCTGCGGGTGTGTGAGAGAAAACTCCAGCTCTGTTACAAGATGGTGAAGCTTACTGGACTGTCTGTCCGAGATATACGATTTCCAACTTCTTTGGAACTCCACGGGTCAGACGCTATGGTAGGAATAAGGGGCTGTACATCGTATTCAAACATTTATGTAATTCACCAAATATTCAAAAATTCCTGCAATTGGGATGCCATCACGCAAGACGTTTACAACAAAATAAATACAAATTAAATTAAATTAATAATGATAATAGTAAAATGTCCTACAATACAAATAAACTGTTAAAAAGAATATTTTCACCGAGATCATAATGCACCTTGTTTACGGGTCATCCCCGGTGTAATAAGCTTATAAGTCAGTTTTCTTTGTTTTATGGACTATTGTAGGGGTTAGGTTCATTGTTTTGTTTTCTTTATTTTATGTAAGCTGTGAGTAATAAATTATATTACACCGGAGATCAACCTTGTGTGCGCCCCTCCCCCCCAAAAAAATTACTTTAGATAATCATTGTCTTTGACGACTGTAATAACCAGGAGAAATTCATGGAAAGAATCGTTAGGTAAAATTTGGGGGGGGGGGGGGGGGTTAACAAGGTACATTATGGTCTCAGTGAAAATGATGAATTACATAAAGATTTGAACACGATGTTCAATGTTCAGATAGTTACAGTAAGCCAAAATTATCAATTGAGTATTGCATGTGAAGAGCGTATACGTAGCTTTACAAATTTACCAATTTCTTGATGTTAACAAGCACTCTCATAGGAGTTATTGCATACTGTTCTTATGACCATACATTAAATAAGATTATTGGCAGACAATACCAATAGACCTTGTGTTAGCTAGAGCCAGAAAGGCAGATGTCATGTGATGTTCTTTGAAATAGGGGAAATTTTGGTCACATGACAAACAAATACATGTGGTTCGTGAGAGTAATATTGCATTGTCCTCAATGAGGGAAAAACCAACCAGTCTAAAGGGCTGCGTGACCACTAAGCTTGTGGACCGTTTGCTAAGCTCATGAAGGTCTTCACCAGTAAGCTCGTGGACTGCTTGACTGCCAAGCTCATGGTGGTTAAAACTTATTAAATTACATTTAACCAAATAATTATAAAATATACATGCTCTACACCCTATAATGGTATATGTAGTATCTGTTCGTACGACTTATCAGCTATGGCAACATTTTGCATTGCTTTCTTTTTTTTTTTTTTTTTTTTGTTGTTGTTGTTGCTTTTCTTTTCAGCACAAGTCACCTGACTACTCTGCAGTGTATATAGTTTTCAAAACTGATGAAGGAACTGGTAAAGAAGGTCATGGACTTACATTTACTTTGGGGCGAGGAAATGAGCTAGGTACACAACCAATACAATAAACATCTGTATAGGTGGTGTTTTTCACACGTGTTGTTTTGGTATGTATAATAGCAGAGCTCTCGCGCGCAAAGCACGCGCAGCGGAGCACCATGGGTAAGAAAATGTGGTAATCTACCCATCCGAGAAAATTTGGTAATCACGTGACCGTACACCCAACCGTCCATCCGCACCACAGGCATACCAATGTAAAATAACTCAATCAACAGGTATGGCAACCCAAATGCAGCTCGAGGTTATTTTGGTGGGAAATCGCATAACCACCTGCTTCTTGTAAAGCAGAGGCAGCTAAAGAGTCAATAAAGACGAAACTGGAAAGCGGAAATTGTCTCTGTATCCATGTTTTCTTAAGTATTAAGCTTAGATTAATTATCATGTCCACAAATTAGGAATATAGACCAATAGAAAGACAGAGAGTCATTGTCGTGCAAAACAGCGGCAAAGAAATGTACAAAAAAAGTGTGCAGCACGTGCAAAGTTGCTTTTTTGCTAATTAGACCTATTGTTGTTTTTTTCACCATTCTCCGGCGTTGCCTTCACCACTTAGCATTACACGATTTCATACTTTGTTTGAACAAACTACAAATGTTATCGAGAGCTTCGCTTTTAGCCCTGGCTAAATCTATATATTAAACATGTACATGCATGTACAAGACTGTGAAGGCATCCCTGTCCGATCAAAATTAAGGAGTAAAAGTTAGGTACCAGGGGAGTCCAGGTGCTGCTACATGAAGTAAAGTGTCATATTACATTAGAACTCACACTTGTGAGATGAAAAAGAAAAACTTGAGCAATTCAGCAACATACATGTATAGCTACTCAGTTTACTTGTACATGTATGTTGTATTATTTTCTGCTGGATGCACTGAATTTAATTTTTATATTGTAGAATTTTAAGGTGCACCTCACTTAAAGGATAGAGGAGGGGTCAATGGTCCCTTAATGGAGTTACCCTCCTTCCTTTTTCTGATCGAGAATTTATTACTAATTTCCAAAGCAAGGTGCACATTGACAATCATTGTGTCAGATTGTGATTGCCAAACTACATGTGTTTTTACGCTTAGTCTGTTAGATGTAGTAGTTTTGTTCACATCTGGATGTGAAATAAACTAGTAATGCTTTTTTGTCTTTCTCTTTTAGTCATGAAAGCCGTTGAAACCTATGGTAAAATGCTGATTGATAGAACAACTGAGGAGATTTTCAGTAACTTTGCAAGAGTTTGGCGGGAATTAGCCCACGAAAGCCAGTTTAGATGGGTATGATGAGTTTATAATAATGATGATCCAGAGCTGCAAGTAACTTTTATTTGGTGTTTGGTCAGTATCTAACAAAATCTTAACTGTGACTGGACATAGTGCCCTGATAAAGTTAACAGAGATCAGGCGTTGGTTTTGCATATGAATGAAATCTCAAGAAATTCCAAAACGACTCCTTCACTCCTGAACTAGCCAAGATCAGCTCCCAGGCTCATTTGCCAACCCCGGTAGAATATATGTATTCCCAACCTGTCACATACAGCTGCAGCTGTACACATCACTAACTGATTATACATTGTACTTCTATCTTCTCATTGGTTAAGAGCCTGACAGCTAATTTTGGAAATCAGCGTAACCTACAAATGAGGTAGTTATCTGCTAGCAGATAACTAACTTATCTGAAGGTTGCGGGTGCAATGCATGATTTCCAATAACAATATCAGTTCAGGTTCCTTGCGACGGTGTGTTTGTCATTAATTTCTTCAAAAAAGTGTATAATAAAGCAATAATATAATTAAATTCAGTTTTTGTGACATCCTGATTATACTTACCTTGACCTTGATTATTCCAGATATCACAAAAACCTCATCCAATAATTGTTTATAATACTTAAAAAACTGCTTTGTGCAGGCACAGTTTCAGGATATAAACAGCTGTAGTTCAAAATCATTTGTATAATATTTTTTTAATGAAAAAAATGTCTTTGCACAGGCTTTACAAATACTTTTGCTGATAAGGGTGTTTTGTTCTGGTGGAGTTACACTAAAATAGATAGTAATAAGTAATTCAAAAAAGATGTTTGTTGAGATCTGCACAATTCTTCACATCATTAGAGTTTACCATTAATTTTAAAATATTTTAATAATTGTTCGGGTGGAGTTACACCACAGCAATATCTTTACATTGTATCATCAATGTCATTTACTTCTTCACTTTTGATTCAGCTTGGTCCAGAAAAAGGTGTCATTCACTTAGCACTAGCCGCAGTACTCAATGCTTTATGGGATCTTTGGGCAAAAATGGAAGGCAAGGTACTGTAGTTGTGAACTTCAGTTTTAAGCCATGCCCACTAGCTTCACTTTACATTCTTTGTTTCATGATTGTTGTGGTAATAAAACTTAAACAATGCAAAATGCTATGAAAGTAGTGAGTAGTTTAGAAATAACTTACACCCGATGTTTATTTTTCTCTATAACAAATGTATAGTATCATATAAAATGAACAAAAAAATTTAAATTTTGAATTTCCGCCTTAAAACTGAAATCTGTTTTTAGAACTTTTAATCTGATGATCACTTAGTGGGTGAAACTCCGAGTTGCAACTTTATTTTCATCCTTTCGATTTGTTATACATATATATCAGGGTGATCATTAGTCATCGGAGATCGAAGAATTCTCTGTTTTCTACACAGAATTCTACAGCTGACGTGCGATAGGCTATGACTATTTTCTATTCAGACATGGAGCCTCTTTCACAATATTTTCCTGTAAAGTTACATTGTTCTCTTGCTACTAGATTTCTTAGTGAAAACCCTGATGTATATAATCTTATATTGGACAGTTTAGTATTGTGGGATATTTTTATGAGTCTCACTGTACAAATTATATATTTTGGCAAGCCTGTAGGGCTGTTTAAAAAATTAATTCCTTTTTTGCCATTTTCTTTTTTTGTTACAGCCACTTTGGAAACTTCTAGTAGATATGGTATGTTGATAATTATTATAAATATATTTTCTTTACTCTCTATAAAGAGAAACTGCCATATGGTTAAGATTAATTTAACAATGAAAAATACTGTCAAAATCTTCCCTGACAATAATTCCCATCTTCTTAGTTCCTGATATAGTTTTTAAAATTCATACAAGTTCTGATTCATATTAAGCCAATCAAAAATAAGTTTTATTATTATTATTATTATTATTATTATTATTATTATTATTATTATTATTATTATTATTATTATTATTATTATCATCATCATGAGACTGTTATTGTTAATTCCAAAGGAAATACCAGTTTACAACAGCAAAATAGTTTGGCAGGTGAAAAAATAATAAAATTACATTGATTGTGCCTCAAGAAGGTATATTTTGTGATAAATTACTTGTATTTTTTTATATGCAATATATTCTAACCTGAGTATATTTTGCTTAAAATACTTCATTTCTAAGATTCATATTATCAGGAATTTCAGGGGTTCTGTATGCAGATGTTTTGAAAGCACAATAAACTAATTAATTGAGCATAAAGTTAAGTTATTTTGTCCAGAATATTGGTTTTTAATCTATGATGAGATGTCTTGTGGATTATGAGTTTGGATGGGATTTGTTGAGCTCAGTTGTGTAAAATCGCACCACTGCATAATGATTAAATATCAGAAGCCCTTTGACAACTACATTATCTTTCTTTTTCCATACAGCCTCCCGAGCAGCTGGTGTCAACAATAGACTTCACTTATTTGTAAGTATATGCAAATTTTCAGCGGTACAGTAATCAGACCCCTCTTTGTGTTTTAATAGGAGTACATGTAATAGCTAAAATGCTGTGATTAACTGCAGCCTAAAGTTAACTTAATGTACAGTGTATAGTGATTACTAGTTTGTAAGATCATAGACTCTGCAAAATGTACAATGTAAGTGCACTCTTATTCTAACCCCCAATCACCATCAACTCTGGCAGGTTTGGTGACGCTGATCTTTATTACAGTCATGTAACTCAAATGTTAACTTCAAATCAGGGAAAGTCAAATTGTTGTCAAGAAAAGCTTATTGGACTGATGAAGTTTTGCTTCCTTGTTCATAACTTTTAGCATTCATTCAGTCTTCTTTGTCATCAACTAATGCATGATCACTTTAATTCAATCACAAGACTATTCATTATTAAACCTCTTCAGGTCTGATGCACTTACTAAAGAAGAAGCAATAGGTTTGTCATGATTTTTTTGGACTTTATTTTCTCATAAACTGAAATATTTAAAATTCAAACAAAAACAAAAAATTCACTCAACAGTACGGTTCATAATTTTAAGCATTCATTCAGCCTTCTTTGCCATGGACTAATACATGATCACATTAATTCAATCACAAGACTACTCATTATTAAACCTCTTCAGGTCTGATGTACTTACTAAAGAAGAAGCAATAGGTTTGTCATGCTTTTTTGTATTATATTTATGTATTTATGTGGTTGGTATATAAAATGTCCTTGGCATTCAAAGGGTTAGTACCCTACAGAAGTGTAATCATCATCATCATCATCATCTATTCACCAGTCATTTTTGTTTGCAACCTGTACTACTTCCAGTGAATTCATTTTGTGGAAGATGGATGCCTCACTTCTTCTTGATGGCCTTTGTTTAAAACATATTGTTATAATAATTAAAACTTGATTCATTGACATCTGCATGCATGCATTCTGCAGTTACAAGCAGTACATGTATATTTAATTCCATAGCCATATTGGCCATCTTCTTAGTACAAAAAGTTTGCTTCTTAGATATTTTGAAGAAAAATGCAGACAGCAAGAAACAAAGAGGTAACTACATGTATAATTTGAAATTACAGCTTTCTGTGTCTAAGAGAGTGAATTTGGTGACACTGAACAAATTGAAACTTTTACACTGTTGCAGTTATTTTATTTTTACATTTTATTTTACATATAATTATAACTTGACATTCTTGTAGAGAGGCACATTTTCTCATTAGTTTGATGAAAATTTTACAGGAGCTGTTGAAAACAAGGTCAGCATATGCATATTGCCTTAAATTTACCAAGAAATGTAATGCAAAGTACATAATTTTGATTGATGTGCTCGTAGAAATGGAAATGATACCGAACATTAGTAGGATTTAATTATCGTTTTTTTAATGACATGCACAGGCTCAAGTTCAACTTTAGCTACGGTAACATGTTATTTACGATTTTTTTCAGAGCAAGAGATGATTTCCAAAGGGTATCCTTCTTATACAACATCTGCCGGTTGGCTTGGATACACAGACAGTCAGCTTCGTGAGCTGTGCCAAAAGTATCTTAAAGCTGGTTGGACAAGGTTTGTTCAAGTGTGTCACCTCTGAGGTTCATCATTCCTTTAAGGGGCTAGGCTTTGTATGTTTTACCAGTCTAGGGAAACTTTCTAAACAATCTGTTTCAAACAATTATTATGTTTCCCTATGTGTTGGACTTATCTAATTTTACAAGCTGATTATAAAATTATAGTAAAATGAATATTATGAAGGAATCTTAGTAGTTAGAGATTTAAGCAACCATGTGTGGGTAGGTATTGTGCATCTGTAAGGTATAGGAATGATGTACTGTTGGATAGTCTTCAATTTAAAGCTATAATAATTGAGAGGTTATAACCTGAAAATTTACTTCTCCATGAAGGCCCTTCCTTTTTACATCACAAAAATATTAAAGTAGTCAGTGTGTGTATCTTTTTTTCAGTGGTTGGATGGATGGAGTAAATATGTAATATGTTGTAACTTTTGCTGTTGTCAACAGATTTAAAATGAAAGTTGGTTCCGATGTAAATGATGACATGAGGAGAGCAGCTATATTTAGAGAGGAGATTGGATGGGATAATTTTCTGGTAAGTTTTAGGAGACACAGTCAGGGTGGGGACCACACTGACCTGGAAACATGTTTTGCTAAAGTTTGAAAAGCTTTATACCTCAACCCATGAATAAAATCAAAGTATGTGTGCAATACATGTAAGTAGAAATCCACCTTTATTGTCACCATCTTCCCTAGTGTTTGATTCTATTTTCAATCTTTTTCCGAAAACCTCTTTCTGAGTATGTTTGTACTCAGATAATATTATTTTATCATATTTGGTTATAAACAGTATCCAAAGGAACAAGAAAAAAAGAGCTGGAAAATGTGTAAGCGTTGGGGGAAGAGATCGCCTGCATTGACTAAAATAACAAGAGAAATTAAATACATCAAAAACATTGGAGAGCAAGTCATTGTTATATATATTTGGTTATATTTTTCAAGTTTTCTCGACCTAGAGAAAGGTTCATACCAAGGGAACCTTCAGCAATGATTCTGAAATGAGTCGGAGTGCTCCAATAAATTTGACTTAGGGTCTATAAACAAGATTTGACTTGCATTACTTCGACTCCACAAGGTTTGTTTAAGTATTCCAAATGATGGGCTTCTCACTTTCTGTTTCAAGCGTGTATCTTGTGATATGCAGATCATGCAGCTAAGAAAATAATCATGTTATCTGATGTACATGTGCAACATACAAAGAACTTATTTCCAATACTAGTATGGAGGCTTTAGAATCCATGTGCTTATATCCATACATTATTTTCATAGGCAATGGATGCAAACCAGCGCTGGGATGTCAGTGAAGCTATTGATTACATGAAACAGTTGGCCAAGTTTAAACCAATCTGGATTGAAGAACCAACCTCTCCAGATGACGCATTAGGTGATTTTAACTCCTAAGATAATCACATGAATCTTTTTGCCACAGTGCACCTGCCAAATAAAACTGAAATGTGGAGAGAAGTCACTGATATTATTTTGGCTTAGAGTGATTTAACCAAACCAGTGATTTACATAGTAGACTAATACACAGTATCAGGGTCTAATATCATTGTTTTCTTATGTTTACTAGTAACTATTTGGTCCTGTTTGGTACTGTTTCACGGGTTTCGTAAAACCACTTTAATGTTGCTGAAAAATTAGTTTCACTTTTCTTCTGGCTTTGTGTATTTTGATAACTGAACTATTCCCCATTTTATTAATGGTTATATTGTAAATGCCATACATGAATAAATGTTCGCGTGAAGAACCCCTAAGAACGTCTTCGTGGGAGGCTACCTTTTATGCACCTTTTAAATCACTTTTTAACTAATCTTATTAAACAGTTAATTGCATTTAGTAACATTATACAGGTCACGCTGCTATTTCCAGGGCGCTAGAGCCATATGGTATTGGTGTCGCCACGGGAGAACACTGTCAAAACAGGGTCATATTTAAACAGTTATTCCAGGCTAAAGGATTTCAGTTCTGCCAGATTGACAGCTGTCGAATGGGTGGATTGAATGAAGTCTTGGCAGTCTTGCTGATGGCTGCTAAGTTTGGAGGTAAAATTCGTTGCTTAAATAATACAGATGATACATGTACAGCTCGTTCGTTCCTTTTTCTTAAATGCAAGTGTTACAGGTCAAATTTGATTTCAGGTTAATTTTTATCAATTTCCTTTGTTTCCCAGCCCTATTATGAATAATTAGGGCTAGGAGACAAAGGAAATTGAGAATCAACCTACGTTAAAAAAATTTAACCTGAAATCAAATTTGACCTGTAACATAAGCAGTCATTTCATTTTGGTGGCCACATTTCAACCACTTGAAACTGCTTGTCCTTAGCCCAAGAAAAAGTATACTGTACAGAGCAAAAAATACTGAGATCAACAAAACAAATGTCACTGTCTTTTTTTAAATATCGTTCAATGGTAAGTAACTCTAACCTCCCTGTATTTTATTTTTTTTCTCCTTGACTTCAGTTCCTGTGTGTCCTCATGGTGGTGGTGTTGGTTTGTGTGAATACATACAACACATTTCAATCTTTGACTACATCTGTGTCTCAGCATCATTAGAAAACAGGTTAGAATTTGTATTTGAGTTATTATACCAGACATTTTCATATGAAATATTTTTTCTTTAGTTTGTATTGTCAGTCTAAGAGCTTTAGGTTTCCTGTTGCCACGTAAGAAGAAAGCAGGCTGTGCCCTGTCTGAACAGGTGCAGTTTTTATACTGATCAGACGAGACTTGGGTTCCTGTGACTTCAATATCAAGGTGATTGGATGATTACTATTGACAAGTTGACAGTCTCTGAGGCTGTCGGTAAGAACTTTCCGAAACCCTGTTTTGATCACCCTTTTGTCAGCCATTCCGTTTTTCGTTTTCTTTAATTTGGTCAAAAGTTAAGTTGTAGAAATAAGACAAATTACATGTATGAATAAATTGCGACTCATTGAAGGGCTACCTTGATACCACACCTGGGCAGTGGTTTTCGTTAATTTAAGGTGCAGTACGCTTATCTCTGCTGTAAAAAAAATTGTTTGAACGTAAAACAGAAGAAGCATTTACAACAACATTTTGGTTCTTCTTCTTCTGCTGCAGGGTAACTGAATTTGCTGATCATCTTCATGAGCATTTTATCCATCCTTGTGTGGTAGCGAATGGCGCTTACAAAGTTCCAATGGTCAGTTTTTGATTTTTGTTTTCGTATTGTTATATATTGATCTTTATTTATTCAATTTTTTAACAGTAACAAAATTAAAACAACATAACAAAAAATCATTACTTATTCTTAAGCATCACTTGCATTGTTTTTCTTCTCAGGACCCAGGGTATAGTGCAGAAATGAGGAAGGAATCTTTAGATGCATACGAATTTCCAGGCGGATCTGAATGGCAAAAGCTAATTAAGAATGGGTTTTTCAAGATTTAAGTGAACGAGAAATTAGCAATAATTTTTTAGAACATATTTATGTAAAATTATGAATTGATTTTTGAATGTGCGTGTATAAAGAAATAACTGCAGACTCAAACTTCAGGAACCCTTCACTAGGTAGGTAGTTTGTTGGTTGACGTCGAAAATTTTTTTAGAGTTTATGAATATGTAAAAGAATTAATGTAGGTATGTATTCAGACATACATTTTCCTCCACCCCAGAGATAGAAATTACAATTTTTCTACTTTGAGTTCCCAAGGTTGAACCTGCCAAATTATTTAAAGGTCAAAATCGTAGCGTTTAATTCGTTACTCACTGCCACAAAAATTATAAATCAGTTGCGCGGTACTATATATTGAGACAACATTTCCAAACTGACGATTTTCTCTATGTTTTTCTTACATTTTTATACACTTCTAACTAACGCTGTGAAAAGAAACTAGATTTCTTATAACTCGTGCCCAAAGAACTTGCACAGTTTTCGAATGATTCCCCTAATTTTAAACAGAAATAAATGTTAGTGCCATTATTTTAGGTGGTGTCATTTTTCGTCTGGAGAGTTACAGTGCAATGGAAACTCGATATAACGAAGGGCCAGGGTGCTGACAAAATGTTCGCTAAAAGAAGTTTCGTTACATCGAGGTTCTTTTTCATATATTTTACTATTACTGTGGCTAGGAATATGGTTCGTTTTACCGAGGAATTCGTAATAAAGATGTTCGTTAAATCGAGGTTCTACTGTAGCTTAGCTCTGTTCCTAAGTAAAGATTGCCCTATTGTGTTTGGATCCCACGTTCTACGTATTTTTGTAGTGCGAAGCTTTCCGATAGCACTTCTTTTCCCTCTCATTTCTAAGCTGAACCTTTCTTTCTTCACGTGAAGAGAACAAATTATAATCAAAGCAAAAGGACCCAAATGGAACAGTATTCCGTGTTCCGACCAGATGATAAGCCAACCTTATTTCATTTCACGGTGTAATGAACCTACGTCTAAATTCTCGAAACCTTCAGTCGTGGTATTGTACAATTTTTAGAATGTATAGGTTTCAGACGGCCCACTGATTTTTCTTCTCATGAGGAAATGACAGCCGAACGAAAAGTAGACAAAGTTCTCACTTTCTCTCTTCTCATTCCCGTTTGAGAGTCGCCCTTTTTAGTGGAAAACTGGTTCCTCTTAAAGCTGTCGTTAAAAATACAAAGACATATTCAGTTTAATATTTGGGGTGATGTTTAAAGGTCGCAGTTGTTTGAGTTCTTAGTGTTGCGAAAACTATTTTTGTGCGTAGAGTTTGTTCAGTGGCTTCTTATGATCAATGTAAGTTTTGTCTTGCCGAAATCGCACTTGCCGCCTAATTTTTAAGAATGCAGCTCATGATTAAGGTAGTCCAGTCATTTCTTTTCAGTTTAGAACGCCTTTATTGACGAGTAATGTTTAAGGCACAGTTTAACATGCAATAAAACCGTGGCTGAAAGCTCATCAAAGGATTATTTCAGTAAAAACAACTTTCAGGCTTGGCACAACAGACATTTTTCCACATCGCGTTTATTGTTCGTTTTGTTTTGTTTTCTTCTTTACCAAACATGCCAAAAAGTATTTTCAAGCTTAATTAATTATTGTTACTGAATTTTTATCAGACGCTTTCAGTCATTGAATTGTTGCAAGTTTGTTTTACAGTTTAGTCGCAACATGATCGTTTCACAGCTTCTTGAAGATCCTTAATCCAGTAGTAGTGTTTTCAGTTGCGCATGATGCTTTGTTGTAGTAGCTGCAGCCCTTGGTGTAAAAGCGGCCAGAAGAGTAGTACAGCCAGGTACTGTAGCCTGCGAAGGGATATTTGAACGCCACAATATCGCGGTATTGTATAGGGGTTCCCTCGGGAGCGTACCTGGAGTAGATCTGGAAGGTGGCGTAACTGTAGGTTAACCAGTCACTTGACAGGATCTTACTTCTAAATCTGTGCAAGTAAAAAAAATTTAACAAATGAATAGATGACCACATAACATTTTCAAATAGGGGGGCCCTTTACTCCTCGAATGAACGATGAAAAAGTGACAAGTTCACAATGTGTTTTGAAGAAGCGTTACAGGAGCAAGGGTGTCACAGTTGGTTAGTGGGCGGCCATAGGTGCGCGAGGTCCCGAGTTTGATCCCCGATGACATCACATCCTTGTTTCAACTTCTCTCCTTTCTGTGTAGCTTTAACTAGCATTAAATACGCTTAAAACGGAGCATTGATGGAGAGGGGGGGAGGGGTAAAATGAGCGCACCGTCGACCTCCAAGTTTGTCAGTTATTACTGTCACGAGTTATCGACGTAAAATATGGTTGCTTTACCTTTACCTTGTTATGTATTCATTTAATTCATTCTCTTTTTGATTTCCTATAATTGTTCAGAGTTTAACCTTGTTATCATATTCCTTTTATTTGTTCTCTGTTTCTCACCTATGATCCAATTTTATCATAAATTTCAAAATCTATCGGTAGGATCGATATCGTGATACTTACGAACTGCAACGACATTGATAGGTTGTGGATGTCCAACATCTGAGCCAATATTTAGAGCCATACTTTTGCGAGCTCAGTATCACTGTATCTCCACTGTTGATCGGCTGTCCATCCATCTTTCCTCTTGCAGTGATCATAAACTTGGCGTAATCATTCAAGGAGGACCATTTCGATGTGGTCATCACTTTGCTTGGTCCGGAAGTAAAAAGGCAGTAAGATGTGTGACAATACAGCCAATACTTCACGTAACTTCCTGAATTGTACGCCGATCGCAATGCAATGATGTCACCACTGGTAATGATGGGATACCGGTTGCCTTGAGAAGAGGAAATGGTAAAAAGGGGAAATAAGAAAATGAATTGTATATCTTACTGCCCTAAATTTTATGTTCGATGTTGAGGCCGAAAAGCGGAAAGGTAATTTTCTGATGATTTTCGCCCCATACATGTTTTCATTAAAACTTCAAAAAATAATGTTTTCGGTGGATGTTAACTCATTTCTATCGCATGCGGTGAAGACTGCTAGTTCCAGAAATGCTTACGAAAATACTGAAATCATTGGTTAACTGTTATGATTAATTTTACCGTGAGATAAACCGTTCCATATCTCGTCTTTCGGTCCGAAAAACTGAATGTGAGCTTTTCCATTAAGCGTCAGCTGTTTTTTGGCAGAATGGACGCCAACAGCCAAACATACCACCAGAAACAAGACCACTGCTGCAAACTTCATACTCGCGGGATTAGAAACGAAGAGGGTTTTCTTATCTTTGATTTAGTTACTTCCTCAGAGCTCTGTAGAAGCTGAACGCCAACTGACTCAAAGAGGGAAACTGTTTCTGAGTTTATTGGATGACTATTTGTTAACGCACTTGAAGTGAAACTTGTTACCACTGACTCGTGAACAAATGATGTTTGTCAGTTCACAGAGGAAGACAGATCGTAATCCAAACAAGCTGTTGACTTATATCAAGCTAATTGTTTAAGGGATACAAATAATCTGAATAATTACAGTACCAAACCGATCAAGGTGAAATTTTAGTCACGAACGAAAATATTTTCCTCTCAGGAAGATATTGTTTCTTTTTCAACGCTCTCACTCTAAGGAAGATTTATGTTCAAAAAAACTGTTACTTCAAAAAGTTGTATTTTAAAATTCAGGAAGATTTGATAAATACCATGTATTTCAAGTTAATTATCATAACCTGTCTTTACATTGATACTTATAACTTATAGCCTCGTGATAAGAACTTTTACTTAGTAGTAAGGGAAAGTTCATTTAATATGACAAGGGGGGGATGAAGATATTGAGGGGGGGCTCCAAAAATTTTTAGACACCCGAAGGGGGGGCTCTGAAAAAATTGTTGCGCTGGGAGGGGGGGCTCCGAAAATTTGTATACTTCAAAACCAACACATGACATCATCATACAGATCAGATGGTTTTCAACTCAACAATTTAATGACCTGTGCAACTCAGCTATATCACGTGTCTTACAGATATAACAAATGTAGTCTCAGTAATTATTACACACTTGTTCATCCCAAAAATGCTTTAGAAAATTGTATCACAACTGTATCTCAAGTTTGTCATAGTATAAACCATTGAAGGCAATAACGGTAAATATATTTAATACAGTCTAGCGATCTTTTTTCAGGGAAGCAAAGGAATTGAAGGAGGAGGGGGGGGGGCTCTGAAATTTTTTCGATTACCAAGGAGGGGGCTCCTAAAACATTGAACCGCTAGCGAGGGGGGCTGCTAAAATTTCAAGCTTCGAGTTTCAATATCTTCATCCCCCCCCACCTTGTCATATTAAATGAACTTTCCCTAAGTCAGTTTTTAATATTTCCAAATGAGTTGCTGTTCGAATTTTTCAGTCAACATGGTAGATGTGTGTTCGAAAAAATTGTGCCATGCAATAACTAATACGGGACTAAAAAGGATGAAAGAAAAACTGGTTTGTTAAAACGAGGCAATAGAGAATGACCAAGTTTTTTTACCCTTGAATCTTTTTACAAAGAATATATCTACCCGAGGTCGTCTCATTTTTATTCAAATTGCGTGTGTTTCACAACAAAATAAACGACACTTACACGCCGAGCATTTATTTAACTCAAATCAAAAAGAGATGCCCATGAACTTTTTAGTCACTTATTTCAGGTGTCTTTTTAAAAATGTATTTATTCATTTATCGCGCTGAGTATCGACTTTTTTATTTAACATTGTGTAAATCTGTATTTAACGGAGCGCAAGACATGCTCTTCCGGGTGGATTGCCGCGAAGATCTCGACAACTAGTAAACATTCAGTTCTTAGGCTTACACTGATTTTTTGGGTCACGCAGTGTATAATATTCATTCACTCAGATAACAAAGCGCAGAGAAACAGCATCACACGTGTTTCACTATCACCAGAGCGATGCGTCTAGCAGGTGACGTACTGGTAACAAGGAAAAAGTAACATGTTGGACTTCTTAAATAAACAGTATTTAACTTTTAACACTGTAAAGAAAATTATGTCAGTGCTAGGTAAACATTAACTCGCAAATATCATACACCTTTTATTTGTCAAATTAATTAGACGTCTTTATTTTCGTGTTTTGTTCCATTAACTGCGATGACACTTGATTATACAACTTCGTCTGTTTCTTCAGGTCTGGCCGACTGGTGGACAACAACATTTCAGTCAAAGGTTGTCTTACTGCTAAGAAAGAGGAAGTTTAACGAAAAACGATCGTAAATCAAGTAAAGTTCAGTTCTAACTGTTTGACTTTTTAAACGTTTTCCAAAAAGAAAACTGAGGAAAGCTGTATACTGTTGAACAATCTCTTCTCTCCCCAGCGATAGGTTTTGCGGAGCAAATTTCGTTAGTGTAGGGTCGCCAACCGGAATGCTTTTGCACGCTAGTCAACCCCGGGTAGTCAACAAGAGCGTGAAGTTAAGTTGAAATTTATCATTTCAACAATAATCTGAATAATGGCCATTGTAACACCAGAAATTAAGCGAATTGAAAATATATTACAGTTTTGTCAGGTACGTAGACTTTCAAAAAAGTCCTTCGTCCAATTTAATATGGCGCGGGACGAATTCGCAGCCTAAAAAGCTCGCTCCGCTCGCTAAGAAACTCATGAGGTTGACTTGTAGCAACTCTAGTCAACTCGAACTATAAGTAAATTCGGTACAGCTCCGGCAAAGAAACGTGAAAGCTGAGCAGTTTTATAAAGGAAAAAGTAAAAAATGTTGGTTCTCTACATTTTTTTCTGTTGCTTTTAAACTGAAATAAATAAATAGGTTTTCCTGTACGGTGCGATAAATCTGTAAGATTTGTGTCACTTCGTTTGCTTTGTACTATGAAAAGCAAAGACATTTTCAGTCTACGGAGACAGCGTTACTGGTTAAGTTCTATAACATCGCTAGGAGAATGCACTTCCTTTTACCAGAAGACAGTATATATAGGTATATACAGTATATAGGAGTTGCTTTGCCGCGTGTGTTTTACGCAGCTAAACAGTTTTCTCTTGATTTTAGCTTCTTCCGGGCGAGTTCAATCAAAAATATACTTATTTTACTGTCTGTCAAAGGAATATGTAGATGCAGGTATCAAGTTATTCCTTTACATGAAGCTCCTGCGGTTCGACCAAAGTATTGGAATGTAAAATTTATTCACTGACTTTGGAATTCTTTCAACGATAATGTCTTGGGGCATTCTGTGTCCTTTATGTAAATACTGGCTACTGAACATTTTTAGCATTTCTTACTGCAAATTCATTTTGAACAAGGGAAATAAGCTGAGGTTGAAGAGAATTACAGATATCAAAACATAGGGAGAAATGATTCAGTAAATGATTGTTTTGCTATATCCAGTCCTCTTCAAATTACTATTCGTTGCTGAGAATACGCCGCTTTTATATTATAGTTTTATATACCCTAGAATCACAGGTTTGCTACTTTATGAGATTTTATATTAACCTTTCGGTAAACCTGTTTAGCGAAAGGAGGCTTGAAAGGATAGCCTGCGTAGCTGGCGGGATTGTTCTGCTCGATTCTTGGCGGCGGCGCCGCGAGGGATTTTCGCGAGCGGCTCCGCCGCCAAAGACTACTACACTCCGCGCCTGCTAATCCCGCCCGCAGGCTTGGAAAGAAGGCGCGTTTTCACTTTCTGTTTTTTAGCGTAGTGCCAGCGGCGCTGTGCATGTGGATTAATTAGAAGTGCGCGCTCCCTATGCATTTTTTGCTTTCCACTGTTGAAAAATATATCTACGAATATTCATGGTCATTTCACTACACTTGAAAATTACGCAGATATTGTTTTCCTTTTCGTTTAATTTTGTTCTCCTTTTAAGTAGCGTGTTTTAAAGAACGGACTTCCACCAAATTCAGTCTTTCTTAGCATGGTCAGACCTTTCCTTGCATATTGTTCAATATTTGTAACTAAAAATCAATGAAACAAAGAGAAATTTTCAAAATAAGGAAGAAACAGGAAAAGAAGTAAAGGGGAATTGGGCAATTGTACATACAGGCATACATACATACATACATACACACAAACACGCACACATACATACATACATACATACATACATACATACATACATACATAGATAAAACTTTATTTCATCTCGAATTTCAGAGTAGCCAAAACTAGGCTAGTATCTCCGAGAAACAAATAAAATCCTAAAATGAAATAAACCGTGTTGTAAGCACAGACAGGAGTAGGGAGCTGACGGAGATAGAAGATATTGAGCTAGAGTGGTGGGGATGGATAGTGGCAAGGTAGTTTACCCCACAAACCTTTGGTCGTCATTTCGTCGCAGACCCTCCAATCTCGTAGCCAAATTTTGGTCACGAACGAAAATATTTCCCTCTCAGGAAGATATTGTTGTATTTTAATCCTCTAACTAAGGAAGATATATGTTTTTAAAAAACTGTAACTTCAAAAAGCTGCGATAAATTCAGGAAGATTTGATAAATCAGACTATGCACCGCTGTTGAAAGTTATCATAACCTGTCTTTACGGCTTATAACTTATAGCCTCGTGGTAAGAACTTTTACTTTATTTTAATTCAGTTTTTGATATTTCCAAATGAGTTGCGTTTAAATTTTTCAACATGGTCACTGGTCGATGTGTATTCGAAAAAATCGTGCCATGCAATATTTGATACGAGACTAAAAAGAATGAAAAAAGAACCTTTTTGATAAAACAAGTTTACCCTTGAATCTTTTTACAAAGAACGTATCTACCCGAGGTCGTCTCATTTGTATTCAAATTACATGTGTTTTACAACAAACATACTTACACGCCGAGCATTTATTTAACTCAAATCAAAAAGAGATGCCCATGCACTTTTTAGTCACTTATTTCAGCTTTCTTTTTGAAAATGTATTTATTCATTTATCACACTGAGTATCGACTTTTTTTAATTTAAGATTGTGTATATCTGTATATATATATTTTTTGCAAATGGGCAATCAAGTTAACTAAAGATATTTAATGGAGCGCAAGACATGCTCTTCCGGGTAGATTGCCGCGAAGATTTCGACAACTAATAAACATTCAGTTTTTAGGCTTACACTGATTTTTTGGGTCACGCAGTGTATAATATTCTTCCACACAGATAACAAAGCGCAGAGAAACAGCATCACACGTGTTTCACTATCACCAGAGCGATGCGTCTAGCAGGTGACGTACTGGTAACAAGGAAAAAGTAACATGTTGGACTTCCCAGATCTAAATAAACAGTATTTAACTTTTAACACTGTAAAGAAAATTATGTCAGTGCTAGGTAAATATTAACTCGCAAATATCATACACCTTTTGTCAAATTAATTAGACGTCTTTATTTTCGTATTTTGTTCCATTAACTGCGATGACACTTGATTATACAACTTCGTCTGTTTCTTCAGGTCTGGCCGACTGGTGGACAACAACATTTCAGTCAAAGGTTGTCTTACTGCTAAGAAAGAGGAAGTTTAACCAAAAACAATCGTAAATCAAGTAAAGTTCAGCTCTCACTGTTTGACTTTTTAAACGTCTTCTAAAAAGAAAACTGAGGAAAGCTGTATACTTTTGAACAACCTAGCGTTATGTTTAATTTTGCGGAGCAAATTTCGTTAGTGTAGGGTCGCCAACCGGAATGCTTTTGCACGCTAGTCAACCCCGGGTAGTCAACAAGAGCGTGAAGTTAAGTTGAAATTTATCATTTCAACAATAATCTGAATAATGGCCATTGTAACACCAGAAATCAAGCGAATTGAAAATATATTACAGTCTTGTCAGGTAGACTTTCAGAAAAGTCCTTCGTCCGATTTAATATGGCGCAGGACGAATTCGCGGCCTAAACAGCTCACTCTGCTCGCTAAGACACTCATGAGGTCGACTTGTAGCAAATCTAGTTACTTTCAACTATAAATAAATTCAGTACAGTAAATCCGAGAAAGAAACGTGAAATTTAAGCTGTTTTATGGATAAAGTAAAAAATCTAGGCCCTCTACGTTTTCTTCTGTTGCTTAAAACTGGAATAAATAAATAGGTTTTCCTGTGCCATTAAATCTATAAGATTTGCTTTGTACTATAAAATCAAATACATTTTCAGTCTAGAGACAGCGTTACTAGCTAATGTCAAGAGCCATAATAGGACAGAGTCCTATTATATGGCTCTTGGTTAACATGTTCTATAACATCGCCAGGAAAATGCACTCTCTTTATTTTGACTAGGAGACTGTAGGAGTTACTTTGCCTAACAATTAGCGTGTGCACGTTTCACGTAGCTAAACAGTTTTCTCTTTATAGCTTCTTTTTATCTGAGGTTGATGGCAAATACAGATATCAAAATATAGGGAGAAAGGATTTAGTATCGAATTTAGTAAATGATTGTTTTGCTATATCCAGTCTTCTTCAAATTACTTTACGTTGCTGAGAATACACCGCTTTAAAAGCCCTTTCGTAACAAAAACCAATAAATTCATACAGTTTTATATACCCGAGATTCACAGGTTTGCTACTTTATCAGATTTTTCAATCTTTCGCTAAACCTGTTAAGCGAAAGGAGGCTGGAAAAGATAGCCTGCGTAGCTGGCGGGATTGTTGTGCCCGGGGTTACTTTCTTGGCGGCGGAGCCGCTACGTGAAGCAATAGCGATGAAGCCGCGATGGAGTGTCGCGAGCGGCTCCGCCGCCCAAAACTATTGCACTCGCCTGCTAATTCCGGCAGCTACGCAGGCTAAGTAGGAAAGGAAGGCACGTTTGCACTTTTTGTTTGTTAGTGGTGCCAGCCGGGCTGTACATGTGGATTAATTAGAAGCGCGCGCTCCCCATACACTTATGTCTGTTTTGCTTTCGACTGTTGTAAAATATATCTACGAATATTCATGGAAATTTCACTACACTTGAAAATTACGCAGATTGTTTTCCTCTTCGTTTACATTTGTTTTCCTTTTAAGTAGCGTGTTTTCAAGAACGAACTTTACACCAAATTCCGTCCTCCTTAGCATGGTCAAAGTTTTCCTTGCATATTGTTCAATCTTTTCATCTAAAAAAACAATGAAACAAAGAGAAATATTCAAAATAAGGAAGAAACAGAGAAAGAAGAAAGGGGAATTACAGACAGGATTAGGGAGCTGACAGAAGGGGCCTGGTTATGGGCCTGAGGAGAGGTTAGAAAGTGAGCTGGAGTGGTGGGGTGGTGTGTGGGTGGGGATTTGTGAGGATGGGTAGTGGCATGGTACGTGTAGTTTACCCTACAGTACTTTCGTCGTCATTTCGTCGCAGAGCTTCCAATCTCGTACCCAGAGTCTTCCGGCTTTTTTTGTCAGCGGGGCAAAACTAGGCCAGCAGACTCTGGATATGAGATTGCGGAGCTTCCTTTACTGGTCAGCGGCAGTGCCTAGGCAAGGAGTCTGGGCAGGAGAGAATGCGTACTAGGTTAAAAAAATTATAAGACAACCTGAGAGCTGCTTTCGCGCCCGGTCTGCTCGTCCTTCTGAGTTCGATTTAAATATACGACTTAGGAAATCATAATAAAATTTATTAAGTTTTACCCTGATTGTTTTAACAATACTAGATTTTTTTTTAGACTGTTCTGTTACTAACTCATAAAGAAATACACTTACGATGTTTTTAGCTCTAATTACTATTTTAACTGAAGCCATGGGAGATTGGCCACCACTTTTACAATAATGACGAGATGGGAATCAACATGTAGGCCCAAATTTTTTTCGTAAAAGCGATTAAGGATGAAGCGAAGTAAATTTGCAGACAACATAAACAAGATCCACTAATTCCGACGATATTTGCCACAGATTCTCAAGTTGTATTTATTAAGTTTGTGCTAAAAAAAGGTTTAAGAAGATCGCGAAAGCTGTACTACGTGTACGTTTTGTAACATAAGCTATGGCATTTAACTCGAATTTAACCGTTGACACTTGGTGTTTTACGTAGAAAGGGTGAGTATAACTAGTTAATCTTCTATTGCAATTTGTTCTCCTAGTTTCTTACATTGTCGAAAAACCTATTACTTCTTCTCGCTTTTTCTTCCTTTTTCTCTCAATCGCTTCTTTTACGTCGTCCACTTTGAAGCCTAGTTTGTTATCTTGAAAGTTCAGCTTCACACTTTTGGACAAGACACTCTTGGGCCCCAAACTGTCCAATTCTTTAATCGCCCTAGCTTTCCCTTTCTTCTTAACCATGAACAAATCAAACTCAAGACTGCTCAGGCGGGTGAACTTCTGTCTTGGTATGGTGTCGATTTCTGCTAACGTCAATTTGGCCAGGTTATCATGACAAAGCTTATAGTTCTCGTGGGGTGGGTCATCGTAGATTACGCAAACTCCCCCGGGTTGTTTGGATAGATCCAAAAGATTCTGAGGCCTCATTCGGGGGGTGATTCCATATAAATAGATATTCCCACGAAAGTAAGCGTTTTTATAGCGGGTCTCTTTCTTTTGCCAGTCAGCCCAAAGCTTGTCAGTAAATGCGTGGTGAAGAAGGAATTCTGGGGCATTAGCTGATTGCTTGGAACACATTGTGCCGCCTTTCCCGCCAATTCTGCAGTGCATATTGTTGTGTAAGGTATCGCGGAGTGTCGACTCAAATTCGGCGAACTTGTGCGAAAAGATTCGTAGGCATTTGTGAACCGCGATGCAGTCTGGTGGATTGCCTACAATAGGAAAAGCCACCGGTAAATTAGTGTATATAAGTATCAACCCAAAGTTGATTTTGTCCTGTAAAGTAAATGAAATAATAATTCATTGTAATTCATTATAGCCCTGATGAACTGTAATGCATCAGTCAATTCCAGCTGCGCATGTTCCCGATTATATGCATGCATTTCATTGCTTATCAAGCCAGAATTACATAGCGAAACTCCGGAGCTATCGACGTGAATCAACGTTTTTTGGTTAGTGAATCAAATTTCTGTTGATTTTATTCGAAGAAGATCCTTTCATATTTCTAAAACTATTCATAACATATAACTTTACAACGCTCTATCAATTTTAATGTCAATAATTTTATATCAAAAAACTTCAAGCCACATGTCATCGCGGCGTGAAGTCTTAATTAGAATCCTAGCGCTATTACAAAGGAAGACTTTACTTGAAACAAAAAAATCGCACATTGAAATGTTTAAAACGGCACTATTTGACCGTGTAATCACTGAAAAATGTTGAAGTGGTGACGGAGGACAGGGAATTTGCCCTCTTTTTTCGTCCCCACCCCGGGGGATTTAACAGCTCAAGAGTCCCCACTCCCAGGAATTTGCCATCCAAGGCAAAAAAAATGCTAATGCCCGGGGGTCAGCCCGAGAGGGGGGCTGGGCACAGCTGGAATTGACTGATGCATAATTGAGGATGGAGACCTCAGCATCGATCAGTATCTTGATTGATTTCTCTGTGAGAGTGTTTGTAAGTTCTTACCATTGAAGCCCCTCTTGAGACATTCTCCGTTAGTTAGTGACCATTTGTTTTTTCCAAAAGGTCCGTTGTACACGCAACCATCTCTGCCGCCATTACTACCAAATCCCCATGGTACATTACTCCAAAAGCTCATGATCTGAAAAAGTGAGTTAAAAGCTACTCATATTAATTTTGCAACATTCAAGATGTGGACGGATTGACTTCTTGTGCACATGCAAAAGGACCTTAATCTGTGCTAGACATCTCTTATTTGCTAGTTACTCCTAGTGGAGAAAGAAGGATCCCTTTACAACTAGCCATAATAAAAGGAGCTTTAAGATAATGCACAGACTTTCTAACAACAACAGCGTATATTATTCATCCTGTATAAATAACCAAAGAATGAAAATGGATTAAATTGCATAAAATACGGAGCTTATAGAGGTTCCGTGGGTGTGAACAAGGAAAGACTTCGCGGTTTCTGTCAATTCTTTATAAAATTAAATTATAATTAAGAAAGAAGTATAAAAATCATTAATCATGATTGGGATAAGGTGGGTCTAAGCCGGCCAGGTCACGTCCTTTTTGAATCATGACAACGCTTTTTCGATGAAATTTGCTGCATGTTGGCTTTTCAAAATTTATAAGGCAATACTAACCAGCCATCTTGACATACTGGAGCGGGGCGTCTCCTTTCGATGAGAAAAGAAGCGCAGGAAAGCAAGTGACTCAGTCTCATAATGAATCATAATCCCTACTGATGTATGGTAACCCAAGACAGTCTTGGATTTTGGATTCCCGATTCCTTAAGTTGGGTTTAGGCTTCCAAAATTCTCTTCCTGATTCAAAACACTTTTTAGGCTATCCTTAGTACTGTTAGATCTCCATGCAGAAATGCATTCTAAGCCGCGCTATGAAATTTATATCTGTTTGGTCATCCTAGGGGAACTTCAGTCTTTTCGAAATTAGAAGGGCTTTGAAGTATTATTTTCCAGACGCAATTTAAAGTATCACGATAGTGAAAATTTTTCTGATTCCTCTCTCCATCACATTTTAAATCCGAAAATTGTAGGTTTCCTTTTTTCTACGATAAATAGCCTAATCTGGGGATTGAAACGTGAAAAATTAAACTTCATAAAATCGAATCGAATTTATTATTATTATAATTTATTTATTAGATAAGCCTCGAAAATTGTACAAGAATGGAACGGTCTTCAAGAAATTTTTAGCCGTCCCCAAGTAATAGAAAATTCTAGGCAATCTATTTTTGCTTCTCCAAACAGATATTTTACAGAAAATATTCGTTGAGTGTCCCTCTTCCAATCGTTAGCGGGATTCTGGATTCTTTAAGCTGAAGTACGGTTTCCAAAGCCCAGGATTTGGGATTCCAACTTCCTAAAATAACGCATTATAATCACCTGATCCAGCCATGGTGCTCCAGACCATAAACTCCAGTCCCAATATGGTATCGTCACTATTGGATCCACTTTACGTAGAATGTTCTCCATCTGCAGTAGGTACCATCTGTGCCAGGCCAGGAATTGCCTGGCGTTATGTATATTGTTAAACTGCTTAGAATGCTTGGTAATAAGATTCTTATAATCTTGGTGTTGAGATGCTTTCTTGATTGCGCTAATAAAACGGTACCTGGTGGATCAAGAAAAAATTGTATGGTTTCAGTTATATATCAAATCAGGTTATACATCTTATTTCGTCGTAAACAAGCTTAAGCATTGTATGGAGGGCAACTTTATTCAGTGGATAGTTTTGAGTTAAAAGATGATTTAATTAATACGGTTCTTTTCAGTTGCTCTCTCCAATGCTGCTTGGATCACTTAACTTGGAAGTTGTCGCTGGAATATTTAAAACTAATAGGCCACTTCCGAGTTCCAAAAACCCTCCCTTTCAAAATGAGACCAAGTGCACAACCTTTCTTGTGAAAATGAGTTTTATTTGCACATGAGAAAGAAAAATCATTTCCATATCAAAGGATGAACACTTGTTTTGATACAGAGACCCGGGGGAACTCGGAAATCGCGCGCGATGCCTCCCATACGGGTTGAAAAAGGTCTATTGTAATGACTTTTCTATGAAGCGGAACCGGTCATGGCTTAGTGCATCGCCCCATGAAAGGTAATACGGGTTATTATTGCTTTCAAAATCTGGATTTCCTGGGTTTAGAAATCCTGAATTCAGCTCAAGGAATCCGGAATCCAAGTTCCACTGACCAAGAATCCGTAAGCCACAGCGTGGAATACAGACTGATGGCATGTCTTGGATTAACCGGCTCCATGTCGATACATGCGGCGACTGAGTGTACGCCAGATTTCTCGTCAGGTTTATTTCCCGCATGATGCGGCCATAACTTACTTCTTGCATATTCTCGGTTACCTCTTTTCCATTAGTTTTTCTCCCAATTAGCATCAACTGATGATCGCATGTTTAATTTACAGCACCTGTAATCTATGATATGGGTTCTCTTGTTGTATTCTGCATGGATAGGACAGTGGGGGAATACGCAAGCGCAAAGGGACTCGAGCCTGCGATTTCAATGGCTAGAATTTCTGCGCATTAGCACCACGACGGGATGCGTACTTACTTCAACGTCTTAGCTGCTATCTCTGGTAAAAAAGGAGATTAACTGATCGCAGTTTTGCACGCACAGCTTAATTGGCGCCGGGACGAGTCTTGAATATATCAGATTTTTTATCCTCGGAGCTAGAAAAGCAAAACTGATAATGCGCTCACTAGGAAATAATTGTGTTCATAGTTACACAAGCATATAAATCGTAACTTAAAACCATGCATTCGGTTGAATTGAGGAGTTTTAGCACTATTTTGAACTTATTTAGAAAAATTTTATACTTATATCCTTCACTAGGTAGTTATAATGAAAATTGCTCTCAATTTCGTTATAATAACAGACCTCTCTCCAGGGAGCATTCCACTCCATTCTCGTCGAACTCGACAAGGATTCCCCAGTTTCCCGCTACGACACTCACGCCGCTGCCCAAAATGATCATTTACCACTGAGCCTTCCTTGCAACTTTGTGATAGCACATCTGGGTTAACAATCAAAATATACCAGAAAATATACCATTTAATTTACTCACAGCCAGCCAGATTTAATAAACTTAAGGTAACCCTGTAAGTACACTTGCCTGTTATCGCCAGAAGTAAGAATAAAGCCCAGAGTAGAGGATTCATCTTTAATTTGGAATTTTCTTTGGAAAAAAATGAAAGTAAATTAATGATGACCTTAAAATTGTTAAATGCTAGCTAGATAGATGGAGACTGAACAACAATCGATGTTGTCCCCAGGTCCGTTGGCGTTATGGTGACCCTGACACGCGAAGGTAGGTTAACACCCTCCTCTACTAGTCAGTTTTAATAGACGATTAGGAGGTTTAATTCATTACAAACTTTTTGGATGGTATTGTAAGTTTTGGCTAGTATGACTGAGTCTCTGCGGCAGCTTTATTTTTAAGCTCCAGCCTCTCATTATCCAAGACCAGCATTCTATTAATTTGGCTTCATAACTCTGAGAGGGTAACTTGGTAATAGTACGATAAAAATCTTCTACAAAAAGCATGAATACCGGTTCACTTCAGAGCCAGCGGCCCTGACCAATATTATTGTAATGATTCTTATTTCCCCTGCTAAAGAATAGCTGGGGAAAGACTTAGTTTAACTGAAAGTCATAAAGTGCAGGTCTGAGACGAAACCTAGCGTAACCATCTGGAGAACGGCCAAGTGTTCAGTTAGGTCGTTTAAAACTGACTAGCTGACAGGCATATATTCAGTGCATTTTAAACATGCATTTTGTCTGTGGAATCTACTTTTATATGTTTTGCAAAACAAATAATTAAAAGTGACTCCATCAAGCTAATTATGTGCGATTCAGTTGTGAAACATAAATATCTCAACTTCTAAAAAGTTAGATCACTGCTGGATCGGCAGCTAGACAAGTATTTAAAACAAAGAAAGACTGAGAAAGTGTATAACCTGTCTTCATACCGATTTCGTGTGCGCCATTTTTCAGGAATGTTGAAGTTCAATCCTGTTTGTTTAGTTCAGGAGTTTCAAAATTCGGCACCCATCAATAAAATTATTTTCAGTCCTCTGATGTAGTATCCGAACATCAATGTGCGATGGAGATAGTCTATCATATGAATAAAAGATTGGAGCTCCGATGGTATGAAACGCCTTACCTTTGGTTTAATTAGTCCCTCTGTCTGAATATACCAACCAAGCTTTTCAAAGCCATATGAAATTTATGGATGCTTTCCAAATGGGATATTTAAATTTCTCTACTATTTGTGATCTTAGCCGAATGAGCTTTAACCCCTGTGCTTTGTGACTGAATAGTTCTGTCAACATTTCTTGACGGTAGGATAAATCTAGTAGATTGACTGTTTATGTTAATAGTATTCTGTCAGTCATAACTGAAGGCAGCACTTTCTAGCTCGGGTCGGGGGATCAAAATATATAAAAAAATGTATTTGTTTCTTTCTTTGAACCAGAGCCGGGAGGAAACATTTCTTAGCCAGCTTGTTTTGAATTTTTTTGTGGAAGGGGGAGTTTATACTGGGATGTAACGTTGAAGTGACAGTGGAACCTCGATATAACGAAAAACTAGGGCCATGAGGGACTGGCAATCTGTTTACTATAACGAGGTTTCGTTATATAGAGGTTATTTCAATCTATTTTACTACTACTGGGGCAAAAAATATCGTTCGTTAAACTGAGGACTTCGTTAGTATAGAGGTTCGTTATATCGAGGTTCCACTGTAATTGCTCAGTTCGGTTTGGTATCATTTTCATAAGCATATACTGATTTAATGCTTACAGGGCGCAGTTCGCTCTCCCGCCACATGGGCAAAGAAAAGACTGTATGAGCTAAATTTGTGGCGATTTCCATAACTGTGAAATTTTTGGTTCCTGCTTTAAGGTAGTCTCTGATGATCTTTAATCGCTGAACAAAACTAGAAACAAGATACAGGACTTAGGGCAAAGTCGTGACCTTTGGGATAAGGATTTTCCCATGCCTGTACATAGACCACATTCTGGTCTCCAAGGTCTTTCGTTTCTTTCGGTTGTGCATCAGTCATTTGAAACCCCTGGAGCCCGCCAAAGGCGGATAACACCCTCGAGATCTCCATAATCCTTCATATGATACGGAAGCCGAATTTAATGATTATTTTATTATTCATTCAAAATAATTCCTAGTTTAAAAACATAGCTAAATCATGCTTACCTCCACCGATGTTAAGTTCATCTTCGATAGTGCACGTTTAGGGTTGTTCAGCTCCGCAAATATTCTCCAAATAGCAGATGTCGCCATTCGAGTTGTCTTCTTGCTGTTCTTGCCATGTTTTTAGCTATTATTTCGCCTAGTACTTACTCTTGAAACGAGTGAAATGTCCGCCATTTTTGTTTTTACAACCAGAACAACTCAACCTCGTCCCCAGGTCTTCTCTGTTAATGGTGCATTAACCTGAAAGAAGGCTGCACTTTTGACGTCATCGGTTAATAAATCGCAAAATTCTTCCAAATTTAGTCATCAGTAGCTGGTTATGGTGAATTATGCGTGTGCTTTTAGCCAATCAGAATTATGGAAATATTTTGAATGAATAATAATTAACAATTATTCCTCGAGCCGGAATGGGCTCTGACAACAGGGGTCTTTTTTGCATGAGCATGCGCGACCGCTGACTTGTCAAAGAGCACGCGACCAGTGACGGCGACCGTGCTGCATAGTCATAGGAACCAAATTGTTCACTTTGAAAGCTTGCTTGAGATTGAAATGGTAGCAGGAACTTAGGAAAGACCTTCGTTGTACAATTAAGTAAAGATCTGTTGATTTAAAGTGGAGACTGATGCGCTGAACGAGGTGAAAGAGTAAGTTTCTCAAGGATGTTTGACACGAGCATGGCTGCTTGTTGCTGTTTGGCGCTCGACTCGTGTCTCGATTCCCCTTGAAGAACCGCAAAGTTTGGCATAGAATGCATTGCTGATGCGTAGCTATTGAGCAAAATGTTCTTTATTTAGTGTTTGTCTATAAATCGGATGTAAATCAGTTTCTCGATGCCGTAGAGGATTTCTGTCAATAATTTGTTAATAGCTGATTTAGCCATATTTCGAGAGTGGATTAATAACGATCAGCGGGCGACTACCACGCCGTTTTCAGTTGGAATAGAAAGTTTTTGCCTTAAGTATTTTAGCGATACAAAGTTTGTTTATAGGAAAATTGTAGAACTTCTTGTTTTTGCGTGGACTAACATTGTAACGCATCTTTTACAGGAATTTGCTTTTAGCCAAAACTTAAATGTTCTAATGATTTTTAACTTTTGGTCGGCATCACATGTTTACTGGACTTCTTGGGAAACCTAACCGTTTGTTTCATCAAAATCGGTCACAAGATTGGACTTTAATTTCGTTCCTATTAAATGCAGTTTTGACTGTGTCTCATAGATATTCATTTTTTTTATCGTTCGAGACATACAGAGTGACTACCACCAACATCTCACCAGGAGACTAATCTACGTCTCGTGTGCTCTTAATTTTGTAGCTTTAAAGTGCTGGGAAAATTGTAGAACATATATTAATTCACTGCTGAACTGAACATCGGCTTTCGCGCTCTTCGAACCCACTCGCTGAAATTTGCTATGTTTTTTTTTTTAAATATTTCTCTTCCTTTCCCATTTCAAAACAAAGAAAATTGAAAGTGTTTACTTGCATCAGCAAACGTTTCTGCACTTTGTTTCGACTTTGATGAGGTGAGCGCAATCCTCCAGGCACTACATATACGCGCGCTGTTGACCAGGTCAAGTGGGGAGAGGAAATTTGATAGTAGCTCGTGTATGTTAAAGCCGGTCTACTTCGCTTTTGTTAAGACCATGTTAGAGTTTTTTTTTTGCAAACTACACATTTTGTTAAATCACGAGCACATTCGCCAAGACCAACGAGCAAAATAATCGCTATGATAGCTTTGAGACGCGCCATTTTGATGAAGGCAAACCATGTGGTGAGCCTCCATGCACATCGCTTGTTCAGCGGTCGCGCATGCTCATGCAAAAAAGACCCCTGTTGGCTCTGACAGGAGCCTATCAAATGGGCTCCTGGCTCTGAGTCAATAGCCCACGAGGCCGAAGGCCATGGGCTATTAACTCAGAGGCCATATGAGGGCGAGAGGAATAATTGTTTTAGTAAAATCCAACTAGTTGGTCAAAAATATCGAGAATAAAAAAAATTTAGGTGTTTAAAGCTAGACTTTAATCCTTTTTTGCTGCCAAAAAGCCCGCGCTTTTCGCTACTAGTGGGCTATAACATAAAGAAACAAGAACGAGAAGTCCAAAGACTACTGCAAAGCTGATTTAATACAACGTGTATTGTTTTTTATAACAATATTTCGGCTGGCCATACCAGCCTTCTTCAGGTTTACAGATGTTACTGTAACATCTGTAAACCTGAAGAAGGCTGGTATGGCCAGCCGAAATATTGTTATAAAAAAACAATACACGTTGTTTTAAATCAGCTTTGCAGGAGTCTTTGGACTTCTCGTTCTTGGTTCTTTATATTTTGGCTGATTTGATCTCTTTTGTAGAGATCCAACGTTTACAACTAGCAGGATCTTCGTCCACGGTTTTTGTAGTTAATTTAATCCTTTATAACATAAAGCCTAGTAGTAGCTCAACCAATCAGAACAAAGCATTGATAATAGACCACTAGTTGGATTTTACTAATAAAGTTTAATTCCGTGTTCAAAGTGTCAATTTATCTTTCGCTACCCTTGAAGTGTACTGTGCATTGTACTTGTATTTCTTTCCTTCCCCAAGGTCAACTAGATTGCGAGTCACCACCACCTCGAACCACCATTGTTTGTGATTTTCTGAAAATCCTTTCTTTCCTTACTTCCGTTTATTTGCTCCGAACTCCCGACGCCGCCGCCCCCGCCGGGTGCCACCTGGTAGAGGCAAATTTGTCAGAAAAATTCCTCGATAATCTTAACGCTGTTTTGATGAGTTTTAGGAAGATCTTGGAAGGGACGGCTGGGAAGACCGCCTTTTTTCGTTGATGCACCGTGAGAACAAGTCAGCGGAAGCGGCTTCCATAAAATAACATACGCATGCGCATTGAGAAGCGTCGTTCACGCGCGCAAAACTTTTGTTCCTAGCGTCTGTAGTAACGAAAAATTCGGTTAACTCTTACAATTGAACAATTAATAACATAACTCAAGTTCGGCCGCCTTCTTTTAAGATAAAATGATCGCATCAAAAAATTCGTGGACTGGATAACTGATAGAGAAATTCTGAAGCAGTCTATCGACATTTGATCAGGAGTTTCCGACCGATAGATCGTGCGCTTGTCTGTTCCTTCCTTCGTCGAATTCTTCAAAATATCAGACGCTTTCTCTCAATCAATGGAGCGATTTGGTGGATCATTGCCCGTTAAGGGTTACAGTGGTGAAATGGCTGGGAAAAAACGCGTTCAATTGCCAGTAGACCTCGGAAAAGGTATGTTTATAGTTTATATTTTAACCTCTTGAATTGTTTTAAATGTACGCGCGATGCTCAAGCGAAATTTTTATTTTAAAAGCAAAACTTTCTTTGAGAGTTTGAGTGTTGAATGAAATTATTATTGGAAGCTTACTCGCTGGTGTAAATTATCTAGACAAGGAAGCCTTTTCTTGAATTTACTGAATCTAAAAATTTGTGTTTTGAGACTTAACCACAACAATTCAATGCTCAACAATTAAGATATATTAATAGCCGTTTAATTTTTAATTATTGAAATCTGCAACAGTACAAGTTCCATGTTTCCAGTGTCAGTTTTAATTGCAAACACTGTCAAAGCTCTTCACTTTCAATTGCTGTTTTAAATTTATCTTTGTATTTCAGTGACTTTGCCCCATCCCAGACAATGCAGACTACTTTCATCTTTCTGGGGGCTGGCAGGAAACGATATTTTGTTGGATTATTAATTTGCGTAAAAATCCTGACATTTTGGTTGTCCATAGGTTACAGTTCTTATGACTCAAGTAACTTATTTCACAGTACCCCAAAAACAAAGGTGAGTGTTTGAACGTGATTTTTCGTTGTTGAAACCTGGGGGCTTAGATGGGATATGATTTCTCCTATGGTAATTAAAGCTGCACCGTAGTAAATTTTTCTTTGGTTTTTGTTTACCGTGCTTGCATGCAGTTAGATGTGAATTCATTACTAGGGTAAATAAAACAAGTATGGTTGCCAAAAAGAAGCAAAATTATATTTTATTTTTTAAGTTGATAATCTATTTAATTTATTTTTCCAATAGCCAATAGTTTCATCCTTTTCAACATCACCCAGTAGCTACAAACCTAGAACAAGCAACTCAAGCTATCAGCCAGGCATGAGTCCATCTCGAGCATCACGGAGTAAATCTCCCCTGCGGAGTGCAAGTCCTGTCCGCCACTCTGTGAGTCCTGGCTTAAATAGAACTACAAGTCCAAGGCTACACAACAGCTCACTGTCTCCAACCAGTAAACAGGTTTGTACCGGTTATAAAAGAAAAAGCTATTAAAATACATGTAGATGCAAAGTCAAGACTGGTTAGCTTCGAACATACCATGCGGAGCCTCTGGAAATTATGTTTTGATGTTATTGTGAAGAATATTTTTGTGGCAAATCTTTTGACTTGAGGAAAAGCATTTTGTGGCATAATAGAAACTTTTTGCTGTATTATGACCTCATGAAAATCAAGTGCCATATAATTTCCTAATTATTTTTTGCAGTCCACCAGAATTTCTGTAAAAATGGTGACAGTACATCAAAATTAGCTTTTTTTTACTAATACCAAAATAATAACAATAATAATATTATTATTATTATTATTATTATTATTATTATTATTATTGTGATTTTTGTTCTCAGCTCTCAGACGTTGACAGTGATACCATCCAAAGGCAGAGACGCGAACTCCAGTTACTCATAGGAGAACTTAAAGATAGAGACAGGTGAAATAAATGTAACTTTCTATTTTAGGCAAAACTAGTCTGACAACTTTGATGCTAAACAGTTGCAGGCCACAGTCATAGAGTATTTGAACATTTGTTTTTTGTTTTGTACCTGTTTAGAGAACTGAATGACATGGTACAAGCTCATCAGAAACAGATAGTGGCTTGGGAAGAGGATAGACAGAGGGTAAGTAAGCACTTGAAAGAGTTGGGGTTCAGTTTCTGGACAAACCTCAGAAAAAGGTCAAGTTTGAAATCCTGCTTTCCTAGGCTGGTAATCAGTACTTGTCCCTTGTGATTGGATGGGATTATTAGGCGAACAGAATAAAGATAATCCCTTTTGTTACCTTCAGCTTGTGCATTACATGTACAAGTAGCTTAATTTCATCATGACCTTTTTCACTTTTTTACACATAATATACCTGATGTGGAAATGATTTGAAAGGAAATATATGAAATGACTGATATTTTGAACTGCGAAGTTATCTAAGATCAAGTTTCAAGTTCGTTTTCAACTGCATAGGTTGTTCTTTTAACTGCGAGGATCATTCCCACTTTCATACATTTAATATACACAGTTCAAAATATGAATCATTTCATATAATTTCCTTTCATGTCATTTCCACCATCAAGTATAATTTTATTACAAACTCACAGTGGCCTGCTCTCCAGTTGCCTTGATTGGCGTTACAATGGATAGAGCATTGTGTGCAGTCATTGCAAAGGTTTTTTCCATTCATTTTTAATGTCTTTCACCATCGTTGTTGCTAAAGTTTCCTAATCCTGATAATGAGGTTTTCCAGCTGTAAAATGAATGTTTGTTCTAAAAGAAGTCTTGTAGCTTTAGGTTGATGTTTTTACTGTAAGAGGGAATGCCATGTCAGATTTTTAGAGGGCCCATTGACTAAAGATTAGAGGTGTTTGAAAGAAATTCCACAGAAAAAATTCCACAACATGGTTGTGCTCAAAATCGAAAAACCAATGGGTTACATCATCTTTAGGCTGACAACTTATATTCTTCCCCTTCTTGACACAGGTGTTTGCTCTTGAAAAACGGTCAGCCAGGCTAGAAAGTAAGTGAACACACTATTTGGACAGGTCATGTACAGCTTGATCACAATAGTTGTAATTAATTGCAGTTGTAATTGCAGTGTAAGCAATTTGCAAATAAAGCCGGTAGAAAAACAATTTGTGGCTTTTGGGGGTTACATATAGCAGCATTATTTCTAGGTCCTTCATGCTACTAACACTGGACTGACCCCTGCCGACATGAACCTCATTAGCTCCAAACACTCCTGTTCATTTTATTTTCAAATAATAACATTGTGCAAGTGTTATTGTTTGAGTTGTTTATTGAAATTGTTAATGTTTATGGCAGGTGAACTTAAAAATAGAAATGAACAATTAAAGGGATTGCAAGCAAGGTTTGAGATTTTTTATACTATTTCTAAAGAATTATTGGATGGGGTTTATGTGATATCCAGAATAATCAAGACCAAACACTTACCTCAACCTTGATTATTCCAGATATCACAAAAACCGAATCTAATAATAATTATTGTTTTGTACATTTTTTTGAAGAAAATAAGGTAACACAGCATTATATGAAACACTGTTTGAAATTTCTTTAGGAAATGATGCATTGCCACACAACCTACAGATTAGTCACAAATCTGCTAGTAGATAATTAACCCCAATTTTTTACTGATCTGTAGGTTGTGTTGATTTCCAAAGTTATGACAGATAGATAGAAGACAGATAGTGTGCACAGTGTACAATAGTGCAACTTATTGGTACAAATTTAAATGTTTTTTCTGACGTACAGTGTAGTGATAAAAATCTTATGCAGTACATTATTTCAAAACATGAATTAAAGCTATCAGAAGTACATATAGCAAGATCACGTTTTTTGAGTGCTTGAAAAGTACAACGATAAATAGCAGTTGTAGGACTTTTCAAGCATAATATTTGTTTTCTTTATGGAATTTTAAAGGCTCAAAGCTTCTGAAACTGAGGAAAAGAATAAAGTCAAGGAACTTGAAGATACACAGGTTTGAAAACAGCATTATGTTCACCTTAAACGTTCTATGAATGGTGCACCATACTCCTGGAAAGTTCATTGCGGTTGTACAACATGCTTCCTGAAATTCTACCTTATTTCAGACCAAAACTCAACTTGTGATTTTTCCACCTTTATTATCTGCAGTAATTGTGTTGACTCAATGAAGCATAGTACCTAATTTTAGTCACCAGTCTCTGCTTCCAGCCTAAAGCTGCATTTCAGACCCAAACGGTTAACATGTGATGACCAAATAAGAAAGTACATTGCAGCTCCTCCTCACCCCCCTTCTGTCTAGGGGACCTACGTTTTGATGATTTGAGATCGTATAAATTTGAACAACTTTCTAATTATGTGCTGGTTTGTTTGTTCATGCAGCTACAACTACAGCAAGTTTCTGAACATGCAAATACGTCTCTTCATCAAGTGCAAGAACTTGAAGTAAGTCACTTGTCTGCCACTCGTCGTTAATAATTTATTTCATTTATCTGCTTGCTTATTTGCCGTTCATCTTACTAATCATTAGAATGTTCACTTCTCACTTTATAGGAAAAGAATAGCGCTTTAACATCATCAATGCGAGAGTTATCAAATACGATAGGACAGCTTCAAGCTAGAGAACAAGAACTTTTAACAAAACTTAAACTTAAGGTATGTTAGACAAGCCAGACATCGAAAAGTGAAATAGTATCATTTGCTAAGTTTGTCTTAATTGACAAATGGTCTACCTTTGACGTTTTTAATTTTGCATTTTGATGTAACGTTCTGCCGAAACTTCTTGTCTGGGGCCCTTTTCTGGATGATCCCTATCCAAAAAGCTCTTTTATGTATGCCGTGTCAACATTCAATATCCAGGATTAAATTAGAAAGCAATACAATGAAACTGTGAAGGACAAAATGGAAATTTTTTTCTGAGTTAGGACCCAGTTAGGGCCTTTTTACATGAAGGTGGGGGACCCCAGGTAGGTGAGGTAACATGTGGCAAGTTACCCCACCTGACATGTAAACGTGACCACGTAAAATGAGAGATTATATGGATAGGCAGGTTACCCCAGCTAAGTGGGTTACCTCACCTACCTGGGGTCCCCCAACTCTATGTAAACAGGCCGCTAGGGTTGAATCAGTTTGAACTCGACCAACACTCTTGTCCATCCCTGTCTTGATGAAAACACTGGCAATATTGGGGACGAGTGCTGCTCCTTAATTAACAACAGAGACCTTTCGTTAAAAACCACAATGCCTAGAAAAACATACGCTTAAAGGGGACTCAAGATTTCAACTTTAAATTTCAACTTGAAAATTTTTTTGGTTTAGCAGGGAACGACAAAGAAAGGTATCACAATGTAACACGCACGTGGGGAAAAATAGGAAAACACACTCGTTGGTTAATTTAAAATTATTGTGGATATATTCGAAGCATACACGAATACGGTATATTTACCCACTGAAATTTTTTTAACGACGTTACTTGTTCAATACTACCCCGGTCTGAGAGGTTTTTCTTGAAATTTTTCTCCGCTAGGAATGAACGAGCCGCACGAAGCCACGGCGCCGAAATCGAGTCGCGGGCGGGGGAGGAAGAGAAAAACCTCGTTTTTCTCTTCCTGGCCTCGTAGCGACTGGTTTTCGCCGCTTCATGCGGCTCGTTCTCTCTGACGCGGAGAAATGTTCAAGAAAAACCTCTGGGACCATGGTGCTTAAATACCATGCTATGCATGTACTGGAGATTGCTGCCAATCTGTTAATAAACTGAGACTGACTCAAGTTTTGTTTTTTGTTAGGATAACGACATTATGGAAGCAAATGTAAGCTTAGGAGAATTACAGCAAAAGATAAAAAGACTTGAAGGGTTATGTCAAGTGAGGATTATTTCGTTTTTGTTGTTGTTTATTTAAAAAGCTATTTATTTATTTACAAGGCTCTTAAAATTGCATGTAACGGTAGCGAGATTAAGCAAGTCACTTCACAGAAGCTACTTGAGGTAACTGATTAGACAGCCACCTAAATTTTACTGAACATTTTGAAGCAGGCAGGCAGCTCGCGTAATTTTAGATGCAAATATAAGAGATATGAGTAAAGACCCTTTTAGACGGCTTGATTGGCTGCCGTTTAAGGACGAAGTAAATCTTCTATGCGCATAAGAAACGAAGACGACTGCCCAGACTACATAACGAAACTATTACGTAGAAACTCAGATGATCTCAGGAGTGACAGCAGAGCTAGCCGTTATGGAAGGTTCAATTTGGTAGGTCCGTTTTATGATAGGGAAACGGAAGCTGTGGAATAGGATTCCTCTTGACATGTGCATGCGAAAGAAGGACACCGCTGGCGCGTTTAAGAATGCTCTTAAAAGTATTTTTTAGCCGATTTCTTATGTGTATAATGTTTTCATATTTTTAAATTCTAATGTAATGTACATATCACTTTTTCTTATCTTATAGTATTTTAAATTCGCTGTGTTTATCTTAGTAGTTTTTAATATTCATAATTTAAGACTGAGGGCCACTAGTTCATCCGTTTTTCTGTCATCTGTCTGATGTATATTGCCTTTTTATCTTTTTATTCTAATGTACATATCACTTTTTCTTATCTTGTAGTATTTTAAATTTTAATTCTTTGTGTTTAGTTTATTAGTTCGCCACTAGTTCATCAGTTTTTACTGTCATGTGTTACCCTCATTAAATAAAGTTGTTACCTTGTTACCTTAACTTACTCCATTTCACCCTGCAGGAACTAAGAAAAACTGAAAGTACACTTAGGGCAGAAAGAGACCAGTGGAGAGACCAGGCGACAGCGAACAAACATGAAGTGGAAAAACTTAGAAGTACGAAAGTACATGTAGAATACTTTAAACATTTGAACATTGATGGAGTCTCTGTTGTTTGTATATGCGGTTTGGCAATAAATAACCAAAATGCTGTTGATCTGAACTGTGTTTACTGGTGAACAAATGTAAAATGTAATCTTAAACAAACTTTGCGTTTGTGTTGTTCTAGGTGACATAAGTAAACAGTTTAGTGACGCAGATGAAGTACAAGCTGAACTATCCAAGGTGAAAGTGTGATTCTTTTTAGGTGATTTGTCTTTGTAAAGCTGTCGTTGTTGGCGGGCGAAAGTTGTATATAATTACTTTCGTATTGCCGTGGCCGCCAGAAGATTGGGAAGAATAGAAGTAGTGACCCTTGGGCCGGACGTTGAGGCAAAGAAGACGGGAGAGAACCAAAGAAAACGCAAGCTAGAATTTTATTACTTGGCCAGTAAATTTCATTACACTTTCTTTTTTACAAATGAAAGTAGATTTCAAACTAATGTTGGCCGGTATAGTGCACATTTTTCTCACTTGGTGCCTGTTACATTCTTTGCGCTGTGATAGGCTCTCTGGCTTGCTGATTGTTGTGAGTGGTCAACTATAAACATTTTTTGTTCTATATCTCGCAGACTAAGCAAGATGTTCTTGTGCTCCAAAAGGAACTTTTCTTATCAGGTAAGAAAGACCTTACTTAGTATTGTGCTTCTCTAAAAACACTTCTGAGTTATTAAAAAAAGATAATTGTATGATATCTTGTTTTAGAACTGAATGTGCGTATCTTTACCTCCTCGAGCGGCAACATGCTGAGCAGTTTAAGAGTTGGAGTTTCTCGGACCTCTTGTTCCCAATGGAATCCCGAGATCAAAACGCCTGTTGTGTTTATTTGATTTATTTGTTTTAGTCATTTGCGCGGCCCCATCAGCCTTTGCCTTTTAATTACTACCGAAGATACGTGAAGGGATTATACATGTTTTTCATTAGGTATATTTTTCTGTCACCAGGAGAAAGAGAGAAAAGGAAAGACCAACTGCTTGATTTACAAAAATCAAAACAAGAGAGAACGGATTCAGAACTTCAAAATCTTCGTCAAGTAAGTATATGAAGGTCTATCTGGCTAATCCCCATTCTCCTCGCGGCTTCGCTGGCCAAAAAAAACGTCAGTGGGACAAAGTAGTCGAGGAGCGCGTTAAATCCTCCTAACAATCGGCCACTTTAGGGTGCACTTCAAACTGCAACCTCAAATTGACCAATACTCTAGGGGTAAGATAATGTTATGTCACGGGACGATTTGCAACGACAATTTTAAGGGCAACAATGTTGTGACAGTATAGCAACAATGGTGTTAAACTATATTGCGCTGAAAATCGTGGTTGCAAATCTTCCCATGTGCCATTTCAAAGTTGCACGTCAGACTGGGTTGGTATTGTGTCGAAGGATTAGGACGTCCCTTTGGACGCACAAACATCTTCTCCCAAAATTAAACGTGGTTTTCTTTAAACGACCCTCCGATCGAAAGGCCGCCATGTTACCATCGCGGGCTCAATCAGTACAGGTCATTGACATTATGTGTCATACACGAACTCTGTTAAAACTTGCCTGGAATTCTGGGTTTGTAAAATACTGTACGAAGCCCGATAAGTGCCATCCACATTTAAAATTTTCTTTTCAGTATCTTTTTCTCTTTTTTGGCGATGTTTCAGTTGGCATAAAATGTGTTCCTATCTTGAAAATTGACGTACTTTTAAACCTTCCCTTTCTACACAATTGTATCCAGAAGTGAGATTTTGTTTTCAGGGATTTCCGCTGTAAATTAACATAGTAGCGTGGTGATTATTTGCTCAGAAAATAAAAATGACAAGTCTCTAAATTGTCTACTGTGTTGTTTATTGTGCATAACGGCTACAGGACCACTTATCCGTGATTCTGGGACTCCTAGTTTTGCAGCTGTGTGAGTCCTGTGACTCACTATAGCTGTTTTATAGGTGTATCGCCAAAAAACACGCAAACCTCATCTCAGAGCAGGGCACCTGTTACAGAAATCCTGCAACGCCGGGAAGAGAGCGTCCGAAAAATCGACCCGAGAGTTTTTTGCTCGCGATTTACAAGCCAGGACATTTTTTTTAGTTTAAGTAATTCATTACAAATAGAACGAAACTTAAGGGATTGTATTTACTTATTTTTCTCTACAGATCTGTGAACGACAACAACGCGACATTTCCTACATGCAGCTGCAGCTACAGAGCTCTCACGACATGTTATCTAAACATGTTACAGAGGCTGAGTTAGTTCTTTTTTTTTTGCAGTTCTTTTTAGTTTCCTCTCATTTGTAGTAAAAACCGTGAACAATTCTTGCTTCGCTCACCCGCTCACATATTATGCTCAGGACTTATAAGTTCTCAGGACTTGGTGCATTTTTTCCACCCCAAACTCCGTATGGATTTGTTTACTAATTTACAACTGTCGTTGATACTTATCTACCACATACAGTAGTTAATGAAATCCTCAATTACAATTCATGCAGTTGAAAAGAAGAAAACGTTAAAGAACTATGAGGTTTGACCGAGTTTTTTTCTTTCCGGTCTGGACAAGTTGACAAGATTCACTGAAAAAATGGTAAAACATCACTTCTGTTTCATTTGTAGTTCGCAAATGTTATATGCACGCATGGATACAGGTCCGAATCATGTTCACAATCCCATGGATTTACAACCAAAATGAGTCTTTTGAAGAGCCAATTACCTTTCTCAATACCACAAAATACAAGCACAGTAGTTCTAATGGTAATACAAGAACTACACCTGAAGAACCCCATCTACTAAGGAACACATTTTTTATTCCATTGCCGGATTAGTATAAGCGCCATTGGCAATTACTTTGATTAAAGATTAACATTCCTTGTACGTACTCAAATAGACTTTTTGTTGATTCGTTATCTTATTCATTCCATTTACATGTTCTTCCATTCATGTATTTTCATGCAGTAAGATGTCTGAACTGGAGTCCATTCCCCCTGATGAAGAGAAGAAACCCATCAATAGCTTTTACGACGCGACAAGTTTTCACCTTAACGGGGACTTATTTGAAAATCAGGTAAATAGTCTTTCTTGGCAATTTCTTTATCTTTGCTTTTTAATTTTTGGATATGAGGATTTTAGGCCTTGACGTTAGAAAACGGTCAAAACCATTCGATCCACGTCGGAGAAAATAACACAAAGAGGAAAGCTTCAGTTTAGTCACAGCGGGTAAACTGTGAACAAACCGGCGAGCAGATCGGTCACGATTCTTCCAACAAAAACTGCAATATCTTTGTTTTCGCCTTTGAAATTTACCAGGCTCTCCACGATGAATTTTGTCAGAGAAGACAAAAGATTGTATCAGCTACATATTATAGTTTGAAGCCTTCTCGTGTGAACATATCGCAATGTTTACAAAGGAAACAGGGGTGAGATAACGGGCCGAGGCTCGTCTCTCGAAAGTCTCTGTAACTTTTCTGGTCCGTAATCAAATATTGAAATTGAAATTTAAAGAATGAAAAAGCAGGTTGTCCCTAACAAACTAGTCCATTTTGTTTTGTTAACTGATAACCGTAATAAAATATAAGAAGTTGCCAAGCTTTTAACTCGTTCTTTCTTCAATGCGCAATTTTTATTTCTGCCGCTTTTGATCTTGGTAAACCACAGGTCTGGTGATTAAAAGTTTTGTTTTCCTTCAGGACCAAGTGCCAAGCCGGTCAATGGACTTTGATGGTATGTACAATTTGTCAGTTGTTTCAGATCAGACCAGAGAAATTGATTTACTCCACAGACTCAAAAGGTTTAATGTTTGTCGTTTGAACGCTCCGAGAAAATGGTCATGTTTTATCTTTTGAATATTTGAAAAGGTACATTATACGATTTGTTTGAATCATGCCGTTTTCCTAGTTTCATATTTCTTCCCTTCTTTCTTTCTTTCTTTTTTTTTTTTCTCAGCTCCTGTAGCTTCTAAAGGTGTCGACGATGACCTATCGGCTTACATCCCTGGTAAGAATATAAAAGGTTATAAAGGTTTTGTTATGAAACCCGACTACAGTCGCAAACATACTCACTTCTAATCGCACATTACCTTACAAATCCCTCTACTTGCGACTTTATTTTAGGTGGTGGAGGAATGTCCTCTCTTTCTATGCACGCCACAGCCGGAAGTGACTTGGCTGACGATTTCGACAATCTATCCCAAGATCCAATGCAACCCGCTGCGACATCAGAGAGAGTTTTTGCAAGTTCTAATACAGAAACGTTTTTGCCATCAAGGTAATTTGAAGCAAAAACCGTCCTGCTTGTTAGCCTCCCCCTTTTTTTACTAACAACAGCTGTGACGTTTTTTTTCTTTCTTTCTTTCTTCCTTCAGAAATCCTGCTTACTTCAGCACACCTAACACACGAACAGACATGTACCCCCCGCTGAGTAACCTGTCGATCACGAGCGCTAGACAGGACGATCATAGCAACTTTCAGCTTCCCGGCTTCTCGGCTGGTAGCTCTGTGACACCTTTAAGACACAGCGACACCTATATACCTTATTCAGCTGGTGTGTCTGTGACAAAGACCTCGCCCTCTAAGGTAAGTTTGACACCTTATGAACTCGAACAAGGGCTTTTCCTCAAATGCTGACAGTAGAATTTCCAACGCAGATTTTCTTTTGCCTTGTCACGCATTCCCCCCATAGTGCTTTATTGACGTTTGACGAAGCAATGAGTATATCTACGTAGTTATTAGGTTCCTCAAAGAATAGAACGTGCACGATTAAAAAAAACGTTACACCCACAATACCAAGCAACGAAGACTCAACCTACAATTTCTATTTTTTGCTAAACTTTTAACGCAAATCTCCTATCCTTACCCACCCGTTTTTACATCTTTTTCTGCTATGCGCGCACAACATAAACGTTTTTTTTTTCTTTAGAAAAAAAATATATCTGGCTGATAACTACTAACGTAATAATTTATGTAACTGACAGAGATAGGCCATGTAATATACTAACACAAGTTCCCATAACTTGCTTTACAAGACAGCAAGTTTGTGTCTGCAAGTTAGTGAACTGCTCTCAGTTTCTTTCTTTCTTTTCATTGTTAACCCGTCCTCAGGCCGATGGGGATTCTTCACCGACCAGTAAACTTCATCGGCTGCTGGCGGAATCTCGACAAATGGTTCAAAACCTTGAACAATCTACTACATTCTCTTTGAGCGGAAGTCCCAAGCAGGTTAGCTTTTTGAAAAAGTCTCCAATGGACGTGTATCTAACCTTTGCACTTTAACAAGCACTTTGTTACAAGTAACATAGGTATAATACTATCATTGCAACCCATACCAAACTACAATACATAACCTTTTCCCCTTTTTTAATCCCTCTTTTAATACTCTAACTAACCATTTCTTGTGGGTCAGCAATATTTTTTAAACGCTTAAGTTTTCACTCAAGTTTACAGGAGATTTTTTGCCTGTAGAGCTTACAATGATTTTTTTCCCCCGCACTTGCACTGGTTGGCCGTTTTCCCGCCTTTTTCTAGTGGCGCCTAACTTACGTTTCCCGCTCTTAGCAGCAGTTTAATTTCGACTGTTTCTGTAAACTTTCCTTCAACATAATATTTGTTGAATTAAATTGGCAATCATTTGAGTAGATCGCTCAAGAATGTTGAGACAGATGCCAACATCCCTCTAGCCTTAAGGAATTTCGGGGAAAAAAGCCGAACCCCTTTAAGCAGGCCTTAAATTTGTTCCAGTTGTATGGCCTAAATGAGTAATTGTAGCGGTTTTTTATGGTTAATGAATAACACGCCCTTTTTTACGCGTCTAGGACTCAACGGTGCCCACAAGTGAGCAGTATACACCACCGCAAAGGCACTTGGGAAGTCCTCTTCATTCTCGCCCGATACCGACCTCCGCTGAATAAAACGTAAGCAGGAGGCTATTTCTTTTTCTACGCCAACGATGACCTTTTGGAACCGTAATTGGTATCAGAGGCTTTCTTACCCTAAGAACAGTCAAGAGCCATATTATGGCTCTTGGAACAGCCTATTATTTTTCAGCCTATTCTTAGAATGCGTTACCTGTTAACTATCTGTTTTTCCCTCATGATACTGCCTCATCAGACGACTTCAAGAATTAAAGTCTGTAAAATGATCAGCGTGATAAATATGTTTTTCGTGACTGTACACACAGACTCGTAGGCCCCATTTACATGGAGAAAACTTGTCCCGGATCAGAGTAGGGTCACTCGCATACCCAAGCTACCCTGGGGAGGCGAGCCAACTTTTCATACATTTCCTTACAAAACGTGGCGAACCGTTTACATTATTGTATGGTTACCCTCCTAGCCGGCAAGCCGGGCCAACTTTTCTTCATATAAACACTTTGGCTCACACACCCGGGGTAACTCGGTCAAGGCGAGACAATCAAAGCATGCGCTAGCGCTGTTGGCTGGGACAAAAGGATGACTAAATTCGACTCGGCTGGGAGGGTGACCATTCAACCCGGGGCCTGAGATAATCTAACGTTATTTCTTCCGTTTGTGTTTATGCAACTCTCTTATGTACTGTATAATTCACTGATAAACGTTTTGTTGATTTTCAGAACAAGTCAACACGACTGTAAACAGGATATAGCTTGTTGTAATGAAGTGTTCCCTTGCAACGTCGTTATGGTTGTTATACGTCAAAGTAATGTGAATGGGCAAGAGAGAATGAGCTTATAGCAACAGATATACGTGATTCAAAATGGCTCTTTTATCTCTTTCAATCCCAAGATAGACTACCGAACGTAAATATTAAAGAAAAATCTCAATTTTAAATTTCCAAAAATATACTGAAACGGTGCTACAGTTTTTGTTGAGACCTCTTTGATGGAGCACAATTCTTTGTTTCTGCTCACAAATTATGACGGAATAAATGAATCCGACGTTTTTATTGGTCAACAGGATCAAAATGATAGTAATTCTATTGAACGTTGTGCGCCGTCAGGTCCGCAAAAACATGTAACAAAAAAATCTGACGGACTTCATAACCATTCAACTCTATTAACTACAGTTGGTCCCGTGAAAAGTTCGACGTTTGTCGCTGGCCTAGGTAACGTAACCTAGATGCTTCAATTAACTATAATTCTAATTTGTAGTGAAGGTACACCTAGACTCCATAATAGAGTTGTTTTACTTAACCGCGCGTGAAATAGATAGTAGACTAATACTATTACACTCTAATTGTTTTCTTCTGTTTACTTGTAATTGGCCCAGATTCTTACATACTGTTTGCGCGTTTAGTTAAATCGCTCTACTCTGTGCTTGAGGCTTTACCTTGAATATTATGTCTTGAATTTTTTAATGATCTATACCACAAGAAACGAAAAAAGATCAGCAATAAATAAAAGAGTCATTCTTTAATATATTTTTAAAGTAATTATCTCGTTAAGACAATGTTCCCAATACTGGTGTACACAACTCTACGTTCGTGCTTTAGTTCCGAATTTGTATACTTTTCATTCGCAGATTCAAGTTCAAATCATAGTCCTTTTTGCGTCAGGTCTTGTGTGGCTATTGTGTGTGACAGTCTACTTACCTCTCTGATAGAAGAACTTAGTTTTTTATGGATTTTATCCTTTGTCTGGTGTATTCCAGTTCAGTTTTACTTTTATTAATATTATTATACCTGTATTTAGTTGTAATTTTCCTGATCCTAGGAATGAAAGTTAAAAGAGCAATTTCAAGGGTCTCTATGGTTTATCATATTTTATTGTCTGTTTGATTAGGATGAAACTTTTACTTTCCAGATTCTTTAATCCCAGTTCTATTTATATTAGGATGAACAACATCATGGTAGTGAAAATTATTGTTTATCTACAATGGAGGACAAAAATCCTTGGGTAAAGTGTACAGGGGTGCACAAACTACAACATTGCTTGGGGGAGAGGTGGAAAAATTAAGGCAGATCGTGTTAATTGTCCTAAGAATTTTGTCCTCCATTGTAGACCCCTACGAAGTAACTGTACTATGTACTTAATCTAACAGTTACCACAGCAAAGCCGGATCGCTTCAGTTCTTTTTTTCTTACTCGTTGAATGAAAACAAATGATTTTATTTAGTGTATCATATTTAATAGCAAGTATTTAAATGATGTGAATCCTAGAGTTATGGTTTGAATGATTGATATATCTAGTTAATATTTCTTTGATCTGGACGAGTGAAATGGAGCTGAATTGTAGAACGTGAAAAAAATAAACTTGTAAAAAAACCAGATGCGTTGCTGTGTTACAATTCAAACTTAATTCGTTATTGGAGACTTGGTCGAGCTGTTCTTGTTTGTTGATTGTTTTAAATTACAAGCTCAGTCTAAACTTGAATATGATAAAGTAGAATTCTTGTTTACGAAATCATTCAGATGATTTCCGAATATCGCAAACAACACTACCAAAAATTGAGATAAAGAAAAACGGGAACGAACTTTACAAGTTCAAAAATACAGCACCAAACATTTTCTTATTTACAAAATAATGTAGCACAAAGAGATGGCACATTTTAAGAGTGATCTGGCTAAATCAGTGAGTTTAAGTTCTAGAGAAATAAAATGCTACAGGCTCAAAAAAAAAAATATATCATTCCCGAAAAGTGTGATAGACCTCTTTAGCTTGTATGTTTTGTTTTCCCAATAGAGGTCCCAGGGGAATTAACTTTTTGTGCTTCATGGGTAGATATGCACGAAAATAGACGAAATTTGAAAGAAACCATTCTCTAGAGTATTATCCCATGACCTGTATTAGGAACATACAAGCTAAAGAGGTCTATTGGCCTAGATACCTTAACTTAGCAGACTTAGCCTGCGAACGCCAGACGTTTCTCCTCGCTCATCGCTGCTGAGGCACGTTTCGCAAGGAGGAACGTCTGCGACTCAGCGACAGAAATTCCATACTGATGACGTAATTCAATGTTTACATAATAAATCTGGTAGTCATGGGGTTCCAAAAGCAGATTTGTTCAATTTTACGATTCTCCTGGTCGATTTTGTGTTGTGTATATTCCACAGGTATGGCCTGTTTTGTTATAGATTCATCGCGTTTACTTTGCCTTCTGTCTTGGGTCTGTCATTCGTAAACAATGGCTAGAGCAATGTAACTACTCCCACGTCCAATCAGCGCTTATGACCGGATTCCGGACAGATTTTACGTCATCAGTATGGAATTTCTGTCGCTGAGTCGCAGACGTTCCTCCTCGCGAAACGTCCCTCGTCGGCGATGAGCGAGGAGAAACGTCTGCCGTTTGCAGGCTAACCTTAACTTTTGACTGATTCATCGTGTGTCGACTCCAGAGCCTTGGGTTTTTTTTTGGGGGGGGGGGCGCTTAATCCTTAGTCATGCGCGATACAGAATAGCTGTGTCTCGGCTGTGTCCGGCCATGGTCTGCTCATGCGCAGTAGAGAAAAAAAGTTGTTTTGCTACTGCTGCATTCAGTGCTCTCCTCATCAACGCAGTGAAGTCCCTGAGTTGCAAGGAGGACCCTGGGAACGAGGTTGCCTGTGTTGGTGGCAAACTGCACACAACTTCTGCAACTGCCGGAAGTAAAACTTATCCGCCAGTGGCTTATATTTGGAAATTGCTCTAACGGCAAAGAAAAAATAAACCTTGTGCGAGACAAGCCGAGCGTGAGTTTGTACACGTTATATTTCGACAAACGCTGAACAAAAGCATGAAGCTATAGTATCATAATAATTAATCATAACTATAAACCGGTGTGACGATGAGATAATTTAGGATAATGTATGTACACCTGGTAAATTGAATTTAGACTACAAAACAGTCGGTTATGCCCCCAATATTATCATTTGCATTTTGAAAATTACATGACAGAATTTCTCTCCCGTTAAAAGCCCATGGGATTCTGAGTTGCAATTTCCCTTTCTATTACAAGCCCCTCCGAATGAAATCCCCTCAAAAAGGCTTTTAAAAGGTATAGATCCTGGGGCTTTAGAACTTTGTGGTATGACAACTACTGACAGCGCTTAATTTCCCTCTCAAGTATATTGACTCCCAATATTTTGGTTTTGTAAAAATAGCAATGAATTGCCGACAGGTAAAAACGACGGCTATTCGTGTATGCTGAAACAAATTAAATATAGTCAGAAATTTATGAATAAATGTTTATAACAAAAATAAAATGAATCTCAAAATCTAATTTGAGATAGTTTTGCAAGGATCGTGAGAAAAATATTATCGGCAAAGTGAATCAATTAAAAAAAAATGAAAAAGAGAGAGAGACGGGAAAATTCGTGCTTCCGCTACGCAAAATTTGTTTCCAACACAAGAAATTCCTAAATCAAATCATTTTCGAGCAGGGTTTCTCCGCTTGTCACGTGTACCTCAAGAGTAGAGAAATTAAAGCGGGATGAAACGCGTCGGGCGCTGTCTACAAGTACATGTACAGTTCGTGACAGTATTCCGAAAATTCCATGTTTAAAATGAAACGGTCCATTTGAGTTAAAAAGAGTTCCATCTCACAATAGTTGAAACCCGAACAAAAATAGCTTCTGGAGTTTTCCGTTCCACTTGATCTTGCGGTTGGAAAGTACCGAGTTTCGGTTGAATGGATCGCCCATTAATTAACCAAAGGCTCTTCGATTTTCTGGGAAGATCGAAGGGCCCGGCTCTCACTGGTTCGAAGGAATCTTGTTGCAAACGTGAACAGTTAAATTCCTTCGAAGTATTGCATTCTTTATTTTACTAGTATAATCTTATAGTTTTCTTATTTCGCTTTTCATTAACAATTCCAAGTGAACGAGGCAGATCTTAGTTTTAAATTCAATCGCAACAGAAACATACAATTCAACAAAAAACTGTAAAAAGTTGTCCATTGAAAACTGATCTCTTTCTTTAATAATATAGAATTAATTTGTCTTTCGATGGTTGGCTGCATTGACAAAACAGGTGAATTGAACGATTTGTCAAAAAGAGAGATCCGTTCGCGGCATTTCAGTCCATTTCAAAATGAATTGGATATTAGTGTCTTAGGGTTGTGCCAACATTTTGCTGAAATTTCAGGATATTTCACTCTCGATCCAGCACTTTCTAATACCGATATATAAATTGCCTTCAGCCGTTTTGTCTTAAATTCCGGCTACAAAACAAGTGACCAACAATTGATCGCATAATTGTCGCGTAATTTTTAGGGCGAACGCACGTAAATTTTACGCAAGTAAATAATTAAAAATAAGACGCAATATATGAAAGGTCGATCGCTTGTAAGCGTAAAAATTGAACCTCGCTCAACTTCTCGTTTAAGCTCAGCAATTTTTATCCTTCCCCTGCTTTATTTACGTGATTAACATTTGCATGCGTAATTAATGTAGAAGCCAAAAACGCGTCAGTGGAAATCAACTTTCAAACTGTCGCGGCCTTGTGCTATTTACCAAAGTATAAAAATATATTATCATGCAGAGCATTTATTTTGAGCTTGCTAGATTTTAAAACTAAAAAATTATAATTTATTTCTTTTATTCTAACAGAGAGAAATAAATCCGATTAATTTGTCTTTTACAAACCCCCTCGGAAGAATATTTTGAATTCTCTGAAGGACTCGAACCCAAGTATATATCAGCAGTAACTAGTTAGTAGTTTGGACAACTCAGCCATTGAGCTATATGTATTATAAAGCCAGTGAGGGGGATCAAACTAGTAAGGTCTCTTTGGAAGCGTCATATGAATATTCAATCAAAGTGAAGTCCTTTTTAGCAACAGAGACTTTTGTGATTGAGTATTTCAGTCAGGAATATTCTCTGGAAGTTAGATACGTTGTACGCCACTCTTAAAGGCTAATAAGGTCTTATCTTACAAGCAACTTTTTTGACGTCCCTTAACTACGTTTCAAATCAAAGAAAGCAGACATTTTATTTTAATATGAACGTAAATAACATTAAATAGTGTGAAAGTAAAGAGAATATGCAAATAATGTGCTCATGGTGTGCTGAATACGGTATCAGCGACGTACCATTAGTGACAAAATGATCACTTAGCAACCCTTAAAAAGAGGAAGACATATTTTTTCAGATCCTAGGAAATTACCAGTGTTAGTTGTTTTTACCAACCAAGTGCCATTTTACAATTTATCAAGCAGTTTGTTTTAAGTGTAGATTGTTCTAGTCATCTATTCAAAACTTCGCATTGTGTTCATCATTTCAAGGAGAACAAAAGTGAAATTTGCATAAAGTGGTTGTGTTTTTCAAAACAGTGCTGGCAGCGATCAGGCCTCCACGGTAGATGGCAGGTTAAAGCTGCAACCAGCTACCACAGTAACGACGAAAATTTCTAATTGCATCGCTGCGTTTCATTCTTTCGTATTGAACTGGCATCGTAAGTGCGCTGGCTTCGGCAGAAGACTTCAACTAAACACTCTGAGTGGCAAGTTATGAGAAAGCATGGAGAGAGCAGTCGACGTGGTGCAAGACCGCGCTCCAATATGGCTGCGATCGATGCCTTCCGAAGCTACAAAAGATCAACACAAGGAGTCTTTTAAGACACGCGGACCTACAAGAAAGCCAGAAGCCCTGTGGTCTAAGACCAAAGAACCAGAGATCGTCCTCGAGACAGAAGCCTTCCAGAAGAAGAAGCAGAAGAAAAAATTGGTAGAAGATGACGAGCTTGATTTCACTAAGGCTCGAGAGAAACTTCGAGAAAAGTTTGAATATGTGCTCACCATTCCAGCTGAAATAAAGGAAAAGCTTCAGTCCATATGTCTGCGAGATACAGCTTCCAGAGTGGAAGTATCAGAGGCCGAAGAGTCAAGATCCGGTAAAGAAATTGATTTTGATAGAGAGTATGACATCATCGAGTTACATGAGCACATATTGGTTATTGGAGGAGCATCAGGGGGACAGGGGAATGAGCCGACTGATAAAGTAGAAGCCTATGACATTATGAGCGGAGAATGGCGACAGATCGAACCCTTACCGCTGGAAACTACGGCTTGTTATGCCACGGCAATTACAGGTAAAGTCAGTTATACAACAATAACCACAATATATACACTAAGTCTGTTCGATAAGCATCACAATAAATTTGTGACAACTTCCGTTTGGTAGGCAATAATTCCTAACATAATAAAGGTTCTTGGAACATCATAACCGTAACAAATTCTCTAATCGCCAGCAACTGACCTGTAGTAAGAAAATTCAGTTGGTTGATCAGAGCATATTACGTAATTTTGAGTCTTTGAGAAGTGGAACAGCTATTAACAGACCCGAAGGTTATATAGTATTAGAGCAACATAATCAGTGCGTGTATCCTTTACATCAAATTGTTAAAATATAGCAGCACGCAAACATGAGTGTCTTTGTTTCCGAAAGGATCTTTCACGACAAGCACTCAACACAATACAGAAATAATGTAGAAGCAATGATCCGAAGCACGCCAATCTCTGTCACGTGCAGTTTTTCTGTTTATGTTAATATTAAAATACTGATTTAGTTAACAGAAGGTCACCAACTTCCCCTGAAAAAAAGGCTGTACACAAGCTTTCACAGACTCCTCCTCACCTCAAGATTTTTCGGCAGCTTACACAAGAAAGACGAAACTACAGGAGCGTCAAAAAATCAATAGGTTGCGGAATAAGCAAAATCAGGCGTCAGGCCTTGCAAAACAAACATCTCTTCACGTGCACTCACTGCACGATTACGACGTGATCTTTCGTAATTTCGCCATTTATGAAGGACGCTGGAAAACACAAGATTCTGTTTCATTCTCTGAACTTGGATACGGACCTTACGAATTCCAGTCTAGCAAAATTCGCATACTTGTTGGACGGAATGGAATCATCTCGATCAGGGGAGTTTGCAAATAATGCGAATTCACCTTTTACGAGCGCGGTTCGATTGACCGTAATCCGGAATAAAAATAAACGGAATTGACAATACAAATAATTTGTTTTGGTATTTAAAGAAAAAATCTGCTCGAAATAAAACATTCCGAGGTATGCAGCGTTTAATTGGCCAAAAATCGTTGTAGAAGAGATCGGTAACATAACTTCTGCGTATTGTTATTCCTAGCCTGCGAAAACATCCGTTTCTCCTCGCTCTTCGCCGATTGGGACGTTTCGCGCGTCCCCATCGGCGAAGAGCGAGGAGAAACGGATGTTTCGCGCAGGCTATCTTATTCCAGAATACGCTACGATCAATCCAACGCACCTTTAGTGACGTTTTCGCTGACGTCGCTGGCTGGGGTCGGCCTTACACAGACACAAATGAAATAATTGCACCTCAATTGGTGGCCGGCGTGGGCCTCCAGGTTTTGATTTTTATCCTCGACGCCTCCAAGACCTTTACTGAATGGTCTACATATTGCTAGACCCTCACTAAGGTGGCTCAATGACTGAAAGTAAACTGATCGCCCTCCTATAGGTACAAGAATTAACTGAGCCTTTACAAACAACGGGGGAAAACTACAAGTTTGTCTATTGCGTTTTTATTAATAAAATAGTTGTCGTGGGAAATTTTCCGCCAAAACGCCTCCAGTTGCCTGTGGTCTAATAGCTGTTAATTGAGATATGTTACATTGGTATGCCTGCGGTGCGGACGGTCGGACAGGCGTACAGTCACGTGATGAATGAAATTTCTCGGATTCGCCATTTCCACATTTCCCATAAATGCACCTTATTGGCCCCCCAAAATTTTGCATAAGCATCGTTTTAAATTTCTCTTGGGACAAATGTAATAACAGGAGAAATGAAAAACAAAGGTTATGCAAAATTTGCGGGGGCAAATAGGGTGCATTATCGGAAATGTGGAAGTGGCGTAAGGATGGATAACCAAGTTTTCTTAGGTATGAGGCTCCACTCGAACGCTCGAAACGCGTGTGGAGCTCTGCTAAAACAGCAATATCCTCATGGTAGACTTAAAGCTTTTAAGCTCCCTCCTGCCCTATTGACACTGACCAGGCTTCATTCTTACCAGAGCTGTGACTCTTATTTCAGGTATTCCTGGGATTGTTGTTGTTGGAGGTTTCGGCGACTGGAAAGCACTGAATACAATCCAGATGTATGACTGGGTGAGCAAGGAGTGGCATGTACTCAAACACATGAGAAAGAGACGCTGGGGGTGTTTCGCAACAGGAACAGAACACGGAATTGTTGTGGCTGGCGGCTGTGATCAAGGCAGTGTCTTAAACAGCGTGGAGTTGTACAACATGAAAAAGAAAGAATGGTACACATTGCCCTCAATGTTGGAACAACGCTGCAACTTCGGTGGTGCTGTCATTGGCCGCAAACTGCTGGTAGTCGGTGGTGGAGCTGGTTTTTATTTCAACAGCGCCAAAAACACAGCGGAGATTTTTGACGGAGAGCAAGGAAAATGGACAAAGTTACCGCCTATGAGGCGCAAGCGTTATGGTTGCGCGGCAGCAGCGTGGAAGAACAAACTTTTCGTGGTTGGAGGCTGTGACAGCAATGGAGATGACATCTTAAATGTGGAGGCGTTTGATATCGAAACTCATGTTTGGCTCGATTTACCACCATTACCCGTTGGGTATTCGTTGTGCCGGGCGCATATTGTTCAGAATATGCTGGTAGTGTTCGGGGCTGATGGAGGAGAAAATGCTAATATCGTGTATGCCTTGGATTTTGAACTTAACATTTGGAGCAAGTTTATGGAAATACCGCAAGGACGTAACGCTTATGCTATAGCAGTGGTTGGTGTCTAGAAACCGAGAACAATTAGCCTGCGAGCAAGAGCTCCTTTTGGGGGATTTCGTGAAAAGTACACTTCACAGCTTCGCGGCTTCCTCGCACGTCCTCGAGTGGCTCGTTTCGCTCGCCCAAATAGAAGAACTTGCTTGCAGGCTAAAGAGAAATTTGGAAGGGCCTTTAACGAAGAAAAAGCATTTTGTGTCATAAAATTATACTAGAGAATTTCCTTCCATGCATTTTATATTTAAATGGTCAATGCTTAGTTTAACTGATAAAATACCGGAATTTCGAATCTTGCGAGCGAAGTTATTTTCATCAGTGGCTGTAATAAAAACTGTGTTACAAAAATAGCAAATATAAAATAAGTGACATAACTGATCCTAAGTTACTGGCCCCTTCTTCACTCTGCAAGGTACGTTGTAAATGTAGGAAACCTGTTCCAGAGCACAGGTATCTACCAAATACAGTTTGATATAAACGATCAAACAGTGCATTAACCGAGCGAACAATGTGTCTGCAAGTCCGTAATGGAGTTTATATCAGTAAGTGACTGTCTATAATCAAGTCAACTACGCGACTGACAAGCGACGCGAACGACTTCGTAAACGCTAAAAGCCATGCAGGAGAGAAACCTCTGCAGCTCGCGCATGGTATACAACTGTATTTTGCTGCCCATAGTGAAGTATTGGGCAAGGCGAGTTGACCGTAAGCGTTATGTAAAATGTGTTTTTTATATTTTTTCACAGAATAGTAATAAATGTTAGACGATTGTTTACAGTCACTCTACGAACTGAAAAGCCTTTACTATTACGCTTCAGTAGTAAGGGTTTTGAAGTCGACAAGCCGAAACAATGCATGCCTAAGGCAAACATATACAGAAAGATGTCGAATATTTATTGGGATTGCATTAAACACAAGATCGACGTTGTTATTATAATTCTTCGTAAAGGACACTTAATGTAGACAATTTTGTGGAAATTTTTCAATTAAAGAATTTCATAGGCTGCTTTTCATAAAATTTTAATAGTACGATAGGCCATTTCCGAGTTTTGCCCTAAGCCTCTGTTTCAAAGCGAGGCTAAGAGCCAAGCCATTGACATGCAAATGATATTAATCATAGCTCATACAAATAACACTCATTTTCATTAGAAACGTTTTGCACGTAGCCTAGTTTGAAAAGTAGAGATTTTATTGAGACTTGGAAATGGCCTGTTGACTTGATCGACGTTTTTGCTAGCCTAGCAGGAGGACTTGGCCTGCAAACGCAAGCGTATTTCTGGTTTCGAGTGGAGACAAGCTATGTCTGCGTTCGCATGCTAAGGAAAGAAGATTGAGCTCTGCTTTTTGTTTACACTAAACTAGCCGCATTTCATACTAGCAGCTGGGAACGCTAAAAACACTCATGGGGTATTTTCTTTTTATTTTCCACATAGCTGAATAAAATAAATCCTCGTGCACAAACACTGAAAATAAGCTGAAACATGTAAAATGAAAGGTAAAAAAGACTGTAAAATTATTTCGATTAATTTTAACCAAGTTTCGGTTTGTACTGCAGTTTTAGTTTGCCTGGAGTTCATGTTAACCCTTAATTACATGTTAACCGAGTTCAAAATAACGGAACTCTTCATCATATCTATTGCAAATCAAATAAACGCACATCGGATTGAAGCAATAAGAGTGGCGCCGCCTTCAAAAAAAGATGCCAACGAGAGTTGTTTCCAGTCAACAGTACCGCTTAATATTTCAGTCCTTTTTTTCCACATTCTACGATTTCTCACTGTGAATATTGTATTGTTTTTCGAATCCATTTCTTGAGCTTCAACACATCCGCATACACGCCATACCCCTCGTAACGTCCACACCCAGCACTCCAACTGGCCACACCCATTAAGTACCACTTTCGGTTTTTTTCACACACGAGGGGCCCTCCAACGTCGCTGTTACACACACTATCTCCTCCCTTAGGGTAACCAGCACAACGCATGCGTTTTGTGACCCGATAACCAAAAGAATGCCAGTTCCTGTATCTTCTTTTGCAAGTAATACGTGACACCAGAGGAAGTTTGGCTTGCTTCAAAACCTGAGCAGAAGACAAAGAAATATCTCAAAGACTGACAGGAAATAATTACAAGAGAGAGAGAGAGAGAGAGTGGGGTGCACTCAAGGGAAATGTGGGTAAAAGACAAATATTATGCTCAAGGCAAAACAAAATTTGATACCTTGAAGTTCTGTTTAGTACTCCATTTCCCATATTTTCCCCAACCAGTCACGAAACACTTCCACCCCGTAGCAAAGTCTGTTTTTGGAAGGCAGACGGGTAGAACTCGGTCATTGTATTGTAGAGTTGTGTTCAGCTTCAGTAATGCCACATCGTAATTATAAATACTGTTTATGTTGTGTCGAGGATGTTTGTAGAGTCCTCGTATAAAAATGTCTTGCTCGAATCCATCAGAGGTATTGAGATGGTGGTCACCTAGTTTAAGGGAAAAACAAATATGGAAGTGGTGGTTAAAGGTTTTTTGGACGTGTATGACATGTTATATGCACTGTCACGAAGCCAGCCAGGTTTTTCCGGAAGCAGCCGGCCTTTTCCCGCTCCTCCAAATCAATTTCTAAGGGAATATGTCCCAAGTGGTCCTTTTATCTCTTAATTGAATATTAATGCGGAAAAGGCGAGGAAGATACGCGCGAAGGAAATAGGAAGTTTTCTTTTCCCTGTCTCCTTCCCATCGTTTCCTTCCCCGAATGACGTCATAGTCTCCTACGACTATCCTGTGGGCGCTTACAAATAAAAAGAGAGGATTAGGGACGAGTCAGGAGAAAAGCCCTTCAGTGTCTCTCTTAGGGAGCGCCTGGGATCAGGCTTGATGATTTGTCATCTCTTAGGGAGCGCCTGGGATCGAGCTTGATGATTTGTCATCATTTGCAATAGTTTTCAAAAAACTGCACGTCAATGTCGAGGGAAATTCAACTTAGTATATGTATATAATGATGTATATGAAATGTCAATTCTTGTTTATTAATGTTTCAAAACAAAAGAATATTTTCGAAGATGAAAATAGAAGTTGAAATGACCACCAACATGGCCGCCGTGACGTCACGTGTAAACCAGCAATAGACCTATTTGGCTGACTTAATGTTGTACCCAATTCAAATCCCCCGGGGTTAAGATTCTTTGTGTACTGTATTTGCATTATAATGTTGCATTCACATTTAAATGATATGGAAATTCCTGACACAAAGAGTTTTATTCCCAAAGGGTTTGAATTGGGTACATCATTGAGTTAGCCGAATAGGTCTGTATGTTCTTCCTGCGTATCATTATTATCATTACTATTATTACTACTATTATTATTATTTAGATTGTTTTTCTACCTACCTGCAACGACAGTGAAGTCTTTGTGATCTTGTCCATCGAAGCAATGTGCGGCTGTTATGATCCATCGCTGGTCTATAACCGACCCTCCACACCAGTGCCCTTGGGATTGGTGTTTTATTGACACTTGCCAGGGCCACCCCCCTGGTTTTGTTTTTGTGCCCAAAACTGTCTTTTGCACTTTACTGCCACAACCAGGACTTTCTAAAATGATAAGAGGAGTAAATTAAACTTTTTCATTTTGATAATGATAAAACGTGTAAATGGAATGATTAAATAGCTGGCGACACTGAACGTTTTGTATTGCACGTACTAATTAGTTGAATTAGTTCTTAAATTTAGCTTTTGCAATACTGTAATTCCTTTATGGTCATACAAATAAAGCACTTGTTGTTGTTGTTGAATATTTGTTCCATTGCAGTGCTGATATTGGTAGAAAGAAGCAGTTCTACTATCAGTAACGCAAATACCGAAGCTGATCTTAAGTGTTGTTCTTAGATTTTGTTTCGAACTTTTGAACGTAGACACTCGCTGCTATCTTGGAAGCTAACATTCTCTTTGCAAAGCCCTTTCAGTCATTCTGGTGCAGGGCAACAAAAGAAAATTTAATGAGAAGAAGAAGAAGATTTTGCGTAGTTACTTTTTAAGTGACCTTCAAAACAAAACTTAATCAAGGCTCGTTAAATAAAAACAAAGGCTAATTCCCATATTTTGACAGGCAAAGGTAAGATAAGGGTTAAGCCTGTTATTGATAAAACCGATTACTTACTTAGTAACTAACAAGACAATTTCCTCAGTCTCTGGGTGTTAAATGTAGGCCGGAGAGTTTAGGTCATTCTCTGCAGAACAGTAGACTAAGTTCACTTACATCCCAGCCATATGTATCCCCTTAGGAAGTGGTCCCGCGGTACCCATATTATGCATGCAGTATGCCTACTCGCTTACCAACTTTGTAGAAACAGAAAAGCATTTCATCTATAACTCTGTTGTGCATTCCAACCCACTGTACGTCCCAAAACACTGTCTGACCAGTATTTCTCGCCAATGGCACCTCCACAGACACCTCAATGCCGCCGCCATCATCATCTATCTTTACCTGGGGGTTCTTAAAGTTTTGATCATCATACTGGCTCAAAAAGCTGAATGTCTCGGTAGTTTTGTTCCAGCACAAGATGGCGATTGGGCTGTAGTGATAAAACTTCCCAAAACAGATCCCAGAATATAAATCCGGTGTCAACTTTTTGACATTGCCTGACCAACTTACAATTGCTTTGTTCGAGAGTGAAAGGACTTTGGTGTGGCACTTGTTGAAGTTTGGACTCTGTGAACTGCTTGTTTCTGAAGGTGAAAACAAAATAGCTCGAGTTAAAAAAAAAAAAACAAAACAAAACAGCAACACTACTTAATGTAAAATCCTTAAAATGCTTGTTTTGTAAATTGTTTCTGTTTCCGTTAACGAAAAGAAGGAGACGATCAGATTTGACCGTCGCAGGAAAATCATCTTAGGGCCAAGACTAGCATCGGAGACTACGGTGTGACTGTAATGATGCACTATATTGAAATATAATGACTTTAATTCATTCATTCATTCATTCACATCATGGAAGAATTTTCTTCTCGCGTTCTTTACTTAAAACGAAATGCGCCGTTCTTTTTCACAGCATTTTTCCAGCTGATGTAAAGAACTTTACCTGCAAACCAGCCTTTGTCACTGATGATAAACGCTATTTTGAAACTTTCGAAAATTCAGAATTCAGGTAAAAAAAACTCAGGAAAGCACCAGGGCTCTGGTTGCTCAAGGGTGATTAATGTATTTATTAGACTTACAACTTCCTCTTCGTTCACTTCACCTGCTCTACCTTGAACAAAAAATAGTCTCAGCTTCTCTACTAATTATTTTCTTTCTGCTCCTTAACAACTTCTTTTTTCTTACTTGATGCATGATGTCTACCACTTTCACTCAGCAAAACATTATCCTACAGGAGCTCCCTTAACTTATGCATGATAACTAATTATTTTCTTAAGTACAGTTCTCGTGCAGTTTAATTACTTGTAATTGTATAACTATCTTGGAAGCTAAAATTCTTTTGCCAAGTCTTTTCAGTGATTCTGGTACAGGTTACGTGACTGATGTCAATTCCTAAAGTACAGTTAAGGAGAAGACAACTCCCAGTCAAAAATGCCAGGAGCCAATTCAAGGTAAGATCACTGAGTGTGTTTTTTAAAACGGAGAGCGTAACTACATAAAATAGATAGCAAACCTCTAACGGTTAATTGCTGAAAGGTATAATAGTCTAAAATTTTTCAATCAAAAGATAAGCATTTTCCGAGGACCAAAAAGTTTGGAGATTTCCGGGAGCCCAAAAACCCTGTTTATTTCCGGATACTCGAAAGAAGAAATACTTAACTCTCTCTCGTGATCCGACACTTAGAACGTTCCAGAACCTTTTGAAAAGCTTCCTACAAACAAGGAACAAATTTCTCCGCATATTTCAACCTGATTTTAAATAAGAATTGTCAGCAATCGACAACATTTTATATTTTACCAAGGGCGGATTAAGAGGTGGGCCGAGGGGGACGCGGCCACCTCTTTCAAATTTTGTATTAGGCTTATAGAATTCTCAGAAAAATAAAAAGTACGTTTATAACTGGCTAGTGGGCAAGTGTCCCGGCGCCCTTTGGCAAAATCCGCGTAAACAGGAAATAAATATTTAGATTAGTTCCTTTTTAACCTGTATCTTTTTACCACAGTCAATTAGGTTGCAATGTTTATTGTTATTTTTGGCAGGTCTTCACCATCGGAACCAGTGCATTGGTTACCACTGCAAGAGTATAGCCCGAATACCCCGACAGTTAGGAAAATAACACTGAAGGCGCCCGGAATAGGCAAAATCCGCGGCGAAACCGAAAAACGCGAAAAGGCTTGAGAAGCAAACAGGCCAACGATGGTGAGTTCAGTAAAATTATAAAATATAATTAAAATATTGAGTGGAGCATGATATCTTGCATCGATGAGAAGTCAGTAAAGTCTTAGAAGTCACCGATTATAATTTTTTTAAAGAAATAAAAGTTTACTGTGTGAACATTATCTCAACTTCCTTATTGCCAGGTTTTTGTTTTGAATGAGCCTGAAAAAATTCTGATCACAAAGTACTCACCCGCTAAACTATAAACTGAAAACATTAACCTACGTTGCACTACCATTAAACCCATTAGACCTCACCGTACCGATAGTCAATGCAGCATTGTACAACAAACCTTAATCTAGTATTCTATCATGTTTGTTTATCCGTAACCTGAGTTGAAAGGGAGGTGGGAGCTTTAGCCATCAGGACTTGTCGCACATTGCAGTCTTAATAGTTTTCTAACTAAGACTTGGTTCCACTCAACTTTACATTTGAAATGTAAAACAACCATGAATTTTTACTTACCAACAAACACAGTTATTGCGATGAAGAACAATGACATAATTAGACGTTCAGATTTCAACATCATGTTCAGCTTAGACCTATAGAGATGATATAGAATTTAAGGCAAATATGTACTTTGATATCCACCTCTCCAAAAACACACTAAGAGAGCTAAATTTTAAATCATGAAGTGAGCTGAATCGAGGCAACAGTTCAATTTGGTTTTTGTCCAATCGCAGATGCTCTGAGTAGAACCTGACAGAATTGATTGGGATCGAACTTTGTTTTTCTTCCTATTTTAGTTACATGACACTAACTTGACCTTAAGCCCTTCGGAGAATAGTTAAGTAATATAGAAAATAGAAACATTACACTACAGTGACACTAGAAATTGGTCGCTTTCCAATGGTCATTATGCACGATTACGTCAGATGACTAGGCAGATTTCATCATTAGTAACCGGTGAACGTTTTGATCAATGAACTGATGAACGCATCCAATTACTCTATCAATATACAGTTCATGAATTATATTTCGGTTTGCTTTGACTTTTGCGGCGAATTATCAAGAAAGTAGCTTAATTGTCAAATTTTACTTAATTTCTTGTTCTTAAAATATACAATTATGTACAGCTTTAACCTGCAATACTGCTTGTACTTGGTCCTGCAAATAAGGCTTGTTGTTGTCGTCAGTGTCATCACAATCCTCGCTTACAAGCAAAATTGCACTCTTTCTGGATGAGTATTCTTTTCAACTATAATGCCTTGGAAATTCATTTATGCAAAACTTCGCAACTTTACCTGATTTCAAAACGAAGTTTGGTGGTTAAATTTTCTCGTCTGACCGGCAACATGCATAAGGGCTATTCCGCTTGAATCTTGCAAACTCTCGTCTACAATACCTGTAAAACTAACTCCTAAATTAGTCCAGACGCTTAGCGTCTGTCGATTCTCCAGCCCTTACTTTCTTATTGTTGGTTAGCAAAGCTTGTCAATGTACTCAAAGAATTCGAAAACCTTAACAGCTGAAAGCCTGAAACTACCAATGAAAATGTCCCTATAGGGTTACAGTCTTGCGCAACATTTTCTTTGCCACCGGACACGGGATGAACCGAAAATTGGAAACCTGGATGTGGGATGGTTAGTGGTGAGCGGGATGGGCCGGCGGGATGCGGGATGCGGGAAGTCCAGGAGGCTGGGATATTGCTCCGGGTTGAAAACGGATGGAAAGACGTTGTTGTGTGGGCTCGTACTTCTGAAATGCTGTTCTCGCTAGTGCATAATACTGGAAACACTAAGTTTAACTAATATGACACTGAAATAACCTGGCTCTCAGGCAGCAGAGACGTCGTGAAAACACTGAAGCCAAGCGAAAATTGGACGCGCGTGCCCTCCGCGTTTTTCGCATATTAAGTTTTCACTCATCTCATGATCAGAGTCTGCACTTCACGTATTTTGGAGCCTGCTAGCATTATTAAATCCATTGTCTTAAACTATCAGCTATTACTATGGATAGAAAATGTAATTGGTTTTGTTGACGAACATATCAGCAACATTTGCAAGGTTAGAGTTAAAAAGTGCGGGAGTTTTAATGAGACTGTATAGACTACAAGCATGCCGTTCATGGTGGCGAGCAAAGTGCGCGCGGCGCGACAAAACGCATGCGCGAGGACGAGTACATTCTTCGTGATCTTTATATCTCTCTGACTTTTTTGTTTTGACTGGACATTAACTGGACTTAAGTGAATTTTATAGTCAACGCTGATTTTCCGATTGCGCCATAACCTCGAAGGAAAATATGATAATATTCCTTACAGCCAATCGGGTTTTTACTGATGTAAGACGAAATTTCAAATGATTAGGATGGCCTGTCATGTCCAGTCAGGATAAAAGGAGCTATAACACTGGGCTTTTGTCAGAAGAGATAGAAAAAGCTAGTGTGAGATTAAGTTGACTTGTAACAACGCTGAAGCATTAGAAGAAATACAAAGTTTGCTGAAAGAACAGAGTACGTGTGTCTTTTCTGTGAAGTCGGCCCAGAGCTAGTCCCCTTCAACTGGGTTCGGACTTTTCACACATTCTTGGCTGTCCTTTTGCTTGCCGTCTCGCGTGACCTCTCGCGATATCCGGCAAAGGAAGACATTGCTCTCAGGCTACTGGGATTGAGAAACTCAATTCCTGTACAAACTTAACTACATTCGTGCTATCTTGCTGCTGTCTGCTATCTTACCCCTATCTTTTTCGCTGCCGTTTAAAGAGGACATTTGTCGCTCTGGCCAGTGACGTCTGGAAATTGGAAAGAATGGCTCGTATTCGATATATAAAAATTCTAACACTGAAAGTTGCACGTTTTCACGATTCCATTGTCTCATAATTATTAGAAGATACTTACTAACGGAGCCCAAAGGAAAGAAAAGCAAATATAGAAAAACATTTGCGGGCTAGAAAGCTTCGGAGTCATATTAGAATTTTGACATATCGAACGTGACTGGGTTATTCAGGAGAGGGCTAATTACTTGCTTTGGAGACCGGGTAACTACTCCCTGTGTATTCGGCGTAATCAAGTTATCGTATCTTAAAACATCGCTAAAATTTTGGATATAGCTTCCCATTTCCCTTTCAAAATAGGAGGAAACAAAAGGTTAACCTAGGATAAAGAGTGTATTTGTTTATGGAAATTCAAGTTTCGATAGAGATATCCCAATAAAGTCGAACCTTCCGAAAGCCGGCGACTTCCCAAAAGGGTTTTGGGAGGTCGAAATAGCTGTATACAACATTGCACTTCACATATTTAGTATCCCGTCGCTTTTGTACTAAATGGTTCATGCTACTAGAAAACATATAAAAGTCATAAGAATATAAGGTAAACTGTTTTTCAATATAGTTAAGAAAACTTAAGGAAGTTTTCTCGAAATTGCATTTGCTCGTAAAAACACGACAAAGAGAACAGAGAAAGAGCGCATGGCAGTGGTTAACAAACAAACGATATCGGTCCTAGTCGCACATATATATTCTTTACTGGACAGTGACCCCATTTTCGGGAAGAAAATAGACTGAAAAAGTAAAAACACTATAAATGAATTGAAAGAACAACCTAAAGGGTCGCTTTTAGCATCTTCTACTCACAACTCGTCCCTTTTTGCTCGAACCTCAGTAAGAAAAACTGCGCTCCAATAATACTGAACTCAAATGTTATCAAAAACCCAAAAATGGCTTTTAAGGCTCGTCAGCGTCAAACTCCCGCACTGAAATCTAACTCAAAACAACAAGCTCCCAACTTTTCAACTCCAACTTATTCTCTAAAAATTTACAAATTACCAACTACCAAAATTTACAATTGTTAATGAGTATATTTCGCTTAAGACCTAACTGCCGCTCAGTATTAGAAGAGAAACCTTATAAAGTCATCTACCAACTCTTTGACGGACCCAGTCTATCTAACAGACGTCTTAAAAACTTCCACACTGGTACCTACCTCATATTTTACAATTTTTGATCTGTTCTTTCATCAAGAGTTTCCGTGTTTTCCCTCTTAAAGAGTATAAAACAATATTGTCTAAATCGTAATCCAATGAAGGTGTTTCATGCCTTAATGTTTTCCTCAATGACGCAAATATCGACCGGTCTGCCAAATTAAAATATCCATCAGACTCTTTATAAAAGGCCGCAAAGGTTTAAACTTACGCAGGATGACACCCATTAAAGCAGCTAAAGAGCTCCAAATGCTTTTCGCAGACCGGAGACGCCAGTTAATACCACATAATTGTAAAAGTTATAATATATAAATACAGCAGGCATTTCGTTTTTGTAACTGACTTCGGCTGGTGGTTTTAAAATGTCATCATATCCATTTGTAGTTGTTCATCCTTATTTCCGGTCTTGTCCGGGAGGGCATATTAAAATGTTATAATTCAGTTACCATCTGGTAGCAAACAAACTACGATTAGTTTGATTCATTCAACAAATACTAGCTGCTCACATTCTTGACTAGTTAACGCATGTTTGGAAAACCTTTTTTAATTCGCACGACACACTTGCAGGTTTTATTATCAGCTGTTCTAGGCTCCGAGATAGTCGGTTACGCGAAATTGAGAAAGCGCGAACATGAAAATTAAACGGGGGGAATCTTCTCGTTTTTCTTTTTCCGCCACCACCACCTTTTCCCAGATCACGGGCTCATATTTTCACGTGCCTTTCACTTACCCGTCATTCTAACTATCTAAGGTCACTTAAAAATGGCATAACCAACCAGGAAAATAAAAGAAAGGACTCTTTACAGAGTCTATTATAATCTTAGAAACCAGCGTGAATTTACTCGTTTTTTTCATCATGTTTTTTTTTGTTATGTTGTGGTGTTGTAAGCAGATTTGAAGATAGCAGTCCGTCGCATACATGTAGGTGAATTTTGCTCAATCCTAGCGCGTTACATTTTAGCTTATGAGGGCTTATATATTTATTCAGGATGATTCTATCTATCTATCTATCTATCTATCTATCTGTCTGTCTGTCTGTCTGTCTGTCTATCTATCTATCTATCTGTCTCTCTATCAAAGTTCCATGCTGGATGAATGTTATTGTTCAGGGGCACCCAACGAGAATATAGTTTAAAACCACTAAAAAATAGCATTGTTGAACGTATTTTAGTATTTAAACGGTAGATAAAGGCATATTTCTATCCCCTCAAAATTTTTCATCTGTTCGGATTTCCTAGCTGAAAGTCTAGTGATCCGAAAATTATAGGGATCAACCTTTTCGTAAATTTCAGCCAGAAAAAAGCCTCCAGAAAATTCTAGGTGACCTTTTTAGGGTAAAAATTCGTTAAAAATGGGCAATTATACCATTTGTTAAATGTTCGAAAATCCGGCTAGGAAAGGCAGACAAGCAAGAAAGTTTACAAAAAATGTTACGAAAATTCTAGATCTCAAATCGTCTTCCGAAGAGATATTTTGCAAAAATTGACGTTGGTTGCCCCAGATTGTTTTCTAATGTGATGCATGATGTAGGGATTTGGTGATGAGCAGGTTCCATTTACAGAGTCTGTTGATTTACTCAGAAGATCTTGTCGTGGAATATATCCCAGAAAAGATAAGAAGAGGGCACCCCATAGTAATGTTATGTATCAAAGGCAGAGCCAATGATGTTCCAATATGAAACAAACTGCCCACCCACCTTATGGATTAGTATCCTTGGCACCCCCTCATTTCTTGGCGATACCAATTTCCTAGGAAAATTATTTTTTTCAAAGCGTCCCAACAAAAAAGTGACGTAACAGGAATCTGCTAATCCTCCGGGCGGGGGGGGTTTCTGAGAAAAAATGGAACGTCCCAGTGAGGGTCCTGGACAACCTCGTCCCCAGGGCGCTTTTCACTAGCGAGGTTGGGTCCGGGAAATCGGGACCCTCACATGAGACTATCAGTCGTTTGTGAAGGCCAAACGTTAAGTCAATGTCCGGTGTGTGCGCCAGTGTACAGTCCTCGGTCCTAGTTACTCCACGTAAATTAAGACGTTTCCCGTGCAGTTAATTTATGAGACAAATTTTACTCATCCTTACTCGCCCTCAAACCGGCCCAAAATGCTGGCACATTAATACTTTATCTGCATTAAAATTGTGGTGAAAGTTAACCGGAATTTCCCCTTTAGAGCCAGCAAATAATATCGGAGAATATGAAGTTTCTTCCCGTACCAAAGAATATCTTTTTTTTCTTATTTCTTGTTTTGCTAATACCCTTTCGACGACAAATTCCAACCTGCCCCCCATCAGGAAAAAAAAAAAGTGGAGAATATAGCACAGGGCCGGGTAAACTCGAGCTTAAATATTACACAGAACATATATTAACAGTAATTAAGGGCTGATAAATGTTATGTAAGGTAAACAGCCTTTAGTTGAGTTTCCTGATTCAAGAAGGCGATCAAAGTAAAGTATTATAAAAAATGACCAAAAGCGAATTACCTTTGGCTTTCTGTACTCGGCCAAACATCACTCTTAAACCAGCTTCTCTATCACCTTAAATTTACTTATTAATGGTTATTTAGAGTATAATTACAACAACAAAAATTTTACGCTACCGTTTTTCTTAAAACCTACACCGAAAACTACAGAATGTAAAAGCAAATTTGGTCTCGATGTTTGTGCACTTTATCACTAATTAATTATCAAGTCAAACTGAACTTGAACAAAAATTTTGAATTGAAAATAAAATATGTACACGTTATTGACCAAGAGTCAGTTCAAAATAGCTAAATATTGGCCAATAATATATTCTTTTTAGTTGTTTTTCGCGCGCGCTCGTTTCAATGTACTAGGACGAATTCGAAGTACTGACTATAAAAAAACCAAAAAGGACAAGACCGATTTCAGTTCAGCCTATGAAAGAACAATGGGGCTTCTGTCTTAGTTATTCTCTTCTGAATGGGCCTGTCTTGCCCGCTCAAACAGCCAATCAAAACACATGTCTTGATCAGTTTCAATATAACTTCTCATGGTGAAAACAATCACAGTGACGAGCTAATATTTGAATAAATCCTGTTGGTTAACATTTTACTGAAAGGAGAGTCAGTTTAGCTTAATGGTCTTCGTGATAATATCTTTGTAATATAAGCAATCAAACGTGATGGTAAAGTTTCTAAGAAGATGGTCATTGAGTGACTGTCTTTTATCCGCTCCATGTTTGTGTCCGCACATTCATACAAACTACTGACATACCACTTCAGCATTCACAGCCTTGTTTTCAAGCTTTTGTGAATGGAATTAGGCTCGCTAAAAATTTGCCACTACACAACGTTATCAGTCTTCTATAGTTTCCTTCCTCAGCAATATTGTTTTCAGAATTTGTTTCCAACAGATCCAAAGATAAGCATAAAAATTATACTGTGAAATGACCTCCTGATTCTTGTTAGACTTTAACTTGCTATATCAGTTAAAATCTTGCCCTTGTTCCATTTCTTCAACAAAACGTGCTGTTTGTTCATCAAATTCGTTCCAGAGTGCTTCATAGTCAGGACCTGATGAGGGTTTTCTACGACAAGAGGAACGCCGATTCCGGAGCTGATCAAAGAGTTGGTTCAACAACCCTTCATTATTCCTTCCGAAGGTTCCGGTGAAATATGTTTCCGGGGTTTCTTCGTCCTCATCCGAGTCCAGAAGACCTGATCTTTCTGTCGGTGATTGATCACCGACAGAAGTTCTTGATCTTGCTGGGTCTTTGTGCTCGAACTCTTGTGCCAACCTTTTCTGGAGGACAGTTGCGTTAACTGTCAAGTGAGTTGCTTGATAAAACATCTTGCTCAACTGTTTACACTCGTTTGAAGAAGGACCAAAAGCTTTTGCAAATCTCTTGTATGTCTGGTCTATCCGTTTTGGCAAGTTATCCACGAACGTGGCAAAGTGGTCGATCATTTCTTCTTGACTTACCTTTACATTCTTGCGACGAGAATGTCCAAGGAGTATTGTGCAAAATTTGGCCCATTCTATATAGATACGTTCTCTGATGCTTGGTAAATAGGAACACGGTTTAACGTTTTCTTTGGGAATGAGGGATTCATCCCAGCTGACGAAGAACTTGGTCCCGCAGAAATTGCTTCCGCCACACTCAAAAGCGTGAGAGCGGGGACCTTTCATTGGCAGCACTAGACAGTCATTCAGGTTTTCGTATCCCGACTTGTCATGCGTGAGTGTCAATACTCGTATATCTCCTGGATGGTGACAGGGAATGCAAGCCACGATGACCTTGCTTTTATCTGCGAACTCTTCACTTTCGTCATCGAAGAGAGTTGGGTTGAAGTAACACTCGTCGTAGTTCAACTTGCCGTGAGGATCACATACGCCGAACACCATTCTCGATTTTGGGACCAAAATGTAAGTACGTGGAACACGTTTCAGTTTTGGCTGTTCATGTTCTGGGTCATGGACATAATCGATCATTTTATCAATCTCGTCTTGTCGCAGCTGTGACGTCAAATTTCGATTCACGGAGTAGTTTCGTCCAGTTAAGCGAAGGAACAAATCTGCTGAAGCTTTATCTTTGCACATTTTCTTCAAAAGTTTATAATAACCCTTCTGTAGACTCTTGATGTACTCAACTAACACTCCTCTGTCTATTAGGAGCATAGTAAGAAGAATGTCAAGATAACCATTCTCGTGAGGTCTAGAATGGTCCACCACACACATAAACGTAATTGCATTCTTTATCGCCTCTTGGATGTCGAATTTCTGCATAGACTCGTGCAACTGTACTTGGTGACTGACATTTGGGGGCCCATCTTTCAGGACTAACATACCTTCAAACTCTTGGTAGCGAACTAAGATAGCACTAGGTTCCGGATACCGGGTACCTTTAAGCTGACTTCGCAACTTGGCATGAAATTGCGGATACATAAACCCACAGCCAGAAGTGAATATGTCTCTTCCAAAGTGACTTTTTACATCTGGTTCGACCACGACATCATCTCTACTTAGTTCCAGTAAGTTATCAAATGTTGCAAATAACAAACCGCACCTTCTTGCTCGCAACCGGGGATCCGTTATCTGGTAGAAGTCGCCAAAGTTTGACAGGAGATCATGAATTCCGTATTCTGACATGTGCATCATAAAGCACGTTTTCTCTGTCATTTGACTTTCAGAATAACCAAGAAAACGGTACTGTTTTCGTTCGCAAAAAATGCCTCTTTTTAAGACGTCAACGCAGAAGTGGACCGTCGGCGTTTTAAAGGTTACAGTCATAACATGCTCGTGACATAATGTGCCGTTTCGTCTCAGGTATTCAAACAACAGGGTATTTTCCAGTTTTTTGTACGTGAAGAAGAAATTTGTCTCGTCTGCGCCGTGAAACTCTACGTGTTTAATGAAGCCATCGCTTGGACCGGAAATGTTTTGTGGAATGCTAATGGTAACAGGGAACGCCATGGGCAAGAAATCTGACCTCGAGTCAATTTTTAACTTGTTCGCAACCCTAAAATGGGGATAAAATAAAAAGCCACCAAATGAATACTCATAAGCTGAAACCAAAATAAAGGATGTTGTACACTCCGAGTACTCAACGTTTAGACCCATTTCTGGACAAACCACCCGGCCGGAAATCGTGTGCATAAAAATTTGACGTGGTGGGAGACCCGCTACAATGTATATCCAACTCATGTGAACATACTAAAAAGCGTGGAAAAATTACATCATCCCAAAACACAGCCCATATTTTCTGAGGCTTCCCAAACAAAATGGCGCAAAGATTTGATTTTCCAACCAGAATTTCCGGTTGCCCTATGTAATGGTAAGTACCGTCTGCAGGTAGCAGACCAGAGACTACTCGGTGGTGAGTCTTATTTCACCAAGATTCTCGGATGCCCTATTACAACTGTAATTTTATTGTGGCTAAGGGTTCTATAGAATGAAACATTAATTTTATGCCTTCTATAATAAAGAAATTGATTTTTTTTTATTTGAACCAATCCTTTCTTATTTCTGATCGTTTAAGATACACCCTAAATTGTAGCTTGGGACCAGGCTCCTTGGTAGACCTGGTAGGGAAGAATAGAAAAAACTGGCGAGCAAAGTAGGCTTTTGTAAATTACCCTAGTAATATAATTTTTCAGGCATTTTAGAAAGTATTGACGAGGCTCGCACCCATTTTTCAAGGTCTCAGACATCCCTTTGTGTTTGATGCTGTAGAACTTTGGCTGTAGTGCATGTACGGAAAAGCGCCGCGACAAAGTGAAACAACATATCTAGCATTGAACTAAGTGTATTTTGTTGACATCGCCGCTTCCATAGCAACAGAATAACGATGACATGAAATTTTCTCGAAATCTAGCAAAAATCCACTAGTGTGCTAATAGTTTAGACCATTGCCTTTACCTTGGCAAGATGTGAAAAAAAACCTGTGGGTCAGTTTTTGAAATAGAATGTTTTAAAAATTTTGCGTCACAAAAACGCCATTTTCACTTTTTGTTTTTAAATCATTAGACAACCTCGTCCCCAGGGCTTTTCCCTTAAAAAATGTATGGCCCCACCAGGAGCTGGCCCCACCCATTTTTTACTGGAAAAGCCCTGGGGACGAGGTTGATCATTAGAATGATGATTTACGATGCCGGTACAATCCAAATTCATATACTTGGCTTAAGGTGCGGTTCAGTTCTTTCAATAGTGAAAATTGGCATGCAGTCGCTCTTTGCAATCACACATTTTGCCATTGTTACTCATAAGATAAAGTTGCTCATATAAAGGCAGCTCCTGTGTAAGCGCAAAAAGATCTCATCTTTGGTTTTAAGGTGGCCTGAACCTATTTATATTCGAGTTGGTTATGTTTTTGAATCGCGTTTTTCAGCAGCTAGGAACGATTTAACCTATTTCTGTGATCTCTGGCATCCTTAATAAAGTAGGGTGGAAATTAATAACATCTTCTTTTTTTGTACGTATAAAAACTTTTGAGGTTTTGGCATATATTTGGTCCGCATTTTTACAAAACTGTAAATGATTTCAAAATCATACGACAGATTTTTCTCTTACTTCAGCAAATAGTTTTATATTTGCTTTATATTTTATATTTGTTTTATATCAATTTGAAGTCAATTGTGACCATACAACTCGCTGCACAAAATGCTGGTCAAATGAAACCTTAAAATGCTACGCTAAAAAATTTGTTATAGTTGACAGACAAACAGAGGAAGACTGAGTGCTGCCTCACTATCTCCTATCTGAAAGGGTATTCCTACCCAAATCTTTATTGCAAAAAAAAAAAGAACTGAATAGTCAGAAACCTACGGTGAATACAGTTAGCACTACAAGAAGAACAACTTTATGCTGAATGCGCGGTGAGATAGAAGAACTGCTATTTATCGAAATTACTATTTGCCCTTTTCGAAAAAAAAAAATCTCAAAAAAGCATATATAGCATCTAGGGAACCCCCCTACGAGTTTTTAGCACCAAAGGTTCCTTTTTTGAGGAAAAATAAAGCCACCAACTCCAGTACTTCTAACCATCCATTTTTCAGTTGCCATGAAAACCCTTAATTGTACTTGGTAATTCATTCAAGCTTTTTAGCGGCTCGTTGATTCAGACGTCTCGGGAGTTTGCGACTCGAGGAGACGGCTGAAAATTCCAGACGACGCATTAATTCGTATCTCGATCAGAAACTTTGCTTCAATGAAAATTATGTAGAGACAGACGTTAAACGCAGTCGGTTAAGGATGCATATATGGCCTATAAATGAATACAAGTAAACGATGTCATGCTTTCATCATAAAATATGATAGAGTTTCGCTTAAGTTGTAGATATTAGCTATATTAGAGGTACTCCTTATCACTTAATAAGTACAGTTCCTCCACATTTTCAGTAATTCGGAGAAATCTCAGTTTGATGTAGCATGCATTCATGGTAAAACTCAATACACTAACACAATATGGCATGCATTCTGAGTGACTTAGTGTTCATAATGAACGATTATCCCGTCGGTAGGAATTTGTAGAAATGCACGCGGGGGGCTGTAGGAATCCTGCAAGAATAAGCCAATCAAATTTCTGTCCTGTAAATACGTCATGTATTAGGTGCGACAGTGCACATTTCAAGCCACGTGCGAGCTCTGTTGGCGGCTGTTGTGCGCGCAGTGTTGCGTTTTCAGGATGCCTCCAAAAAGAAAGAACTACAAAGGCCGTAGTCCTAATGTACTACGGTACATCGAAAGCTGCGGAAATGAGGAAGATATTGGGAGCTTTCTATCGTCCAATCTCGCAGCGGGCGCAAGGCTCGCGGCAGAAAACGAAAGCCAGGCACACGACGAGAAAACGAGTCGGACCTATGAGCTCCGGCTCATGTCTTTGGAGCAGTTTGCTCAGCAAAATGGAGATGATGCGGTGTTGTTTGGGCCTAGTAAAAGGCCCTTTTTGGCGGCAACAATCCAGACCTACATGCGTAAGTTTGTCGGTTTTATGCTTCTCTGCTTGTATGGTGGGTGTGATTTTTTTGCTAAAAAAAAATAAGTAGTGAAGTCGTTTAATTCGTAGCGAGATAACACAAGAAAATGTCGAAACATATTTTCGTCTTTTCTTAATTCATGTGCGACTTGAAAGAGTAACGTTACTTTAATGTTCTGTGAATGTAGCCGATCGATCACCCCGCTACTTATTAATAAACTTAGGCTTTTAGAATGTGACAGCTAATTTTCGTGCTTGCTATATACTGAATGGTTTAGACGAATGCGTGGGCCGGCTGTGACGCAGGCTAGCTTTTTGTCTTTAGCACTCGTTTGCTTGTCCCAAAAACCAAGATCCGGGAACAGGCCATCTGTGGCAATTTCAAAGCTGCTAGAAGAAGCTTGCGCCTTGATTATTTAAAAAGCATGGGGTAATTGATCCTCTTATTTCACAACTCTTGAAAACTCAAAAGCTTGGTAGATTTCACACCTAAATATTAAACCGGAAGTTCCGTTCACAAGGCAGGGCTTGGTAAACGGCTGTTCTGAAAGAAAAATAAAGTAGTTTGGGGGCCGTTACTGTGCTAACCCTTTAAGTCCCATTGTCAAGAGGATATGAAAATTAACGAAACGATCACCTGAGGCAAAATGGTTTGATCTGTTATCAAATTCTCTAAACTTATTCTTTAAGAAAGGGCTAATATACGGCGGAAGCCTTTAGTCTGCGTTTGTCACACACCACTAAAGACGTGTACGCTTTCTTTGGATTTTCCATCAGTGATTTTGTTACCTCTGCGTCCTGTGTCCCTGATGCATAAAAATTCCCAAAGACGCACAAAAGTTCATGGCATGGGTCCTGTAGGACGCAAAGATCAATTGATCGATCTGAGGATGCTTTTGTAGAATACCCTGTTTGTGTGATTTCTGTGTTTGTTGTTTAACAACGCATATTTATTTTAGTCTTAGTTGTGCTTTACAAAAGAATGTCTGGTCACATAAAGGCCCAAGCATTTTCAATTTCGGACTTGTTGTTTTTTGAACCAAGATTCAATTGTTCTGCAGTGGGACTCACCATAACTACTTGTAATAAAATCAAAGGGGAAATTTTTGTTTGCAAAAAGAAAACTTTTTACTGGCAAATGTATAGAAAATTTAAAAAAGTGTTTGTAGCAGATGTAGCTGCGTGTAGAGCCCTTAAATTTTTTGTGGTAGATTAGTTAGGAGTGGATTTTTATTCTGCATTTCTTTTTTTAGAACAGTTGTTTTACATAAATTATTCGACATTAGATTGTCATAGAACAACTGTAATTTATCACACATACGAAACAGCAGTGGAGGATGCATTCCCAGGGTCTCTTCATGTGAAGTGGCTTGGTTGGTCAAGTTAATGATGAATGAGATCCCTCCTCACTACCATGAAATCCTTTTTAAAAATTTTTGTTCAGATGTGAAGGCAAGTACAATTGTTTCAAAACCCTTTGCCATTATGATGTTATTTAAAGCTGCCAGGGCTTTTTGCCCAAATAGAATGTAAGTTTATGTTACTTGTGGCAGTCAGTATGCAAATTGTGCCGCAAACTTGGATCACTCACACATAAGTGACCATTCACATAAAGTTGGAATAACATTTAAAATAAGTTTATCCTTTTCTGATCTCTTGCCAACCATATTTTACACTGGGCAAAATTATTTCCATCTAAACGCAATGGAAGTAAATCATGCACAGTCTAGTTACATATAGCTTCTTTTAATTGTTCAGGGTTATGTACAATAAAAAAAGATTTATTGTGTGTCCTTAGAGCAGGTTTCAATGTAATATGCCTGTTGGGCACATTTGCCCCTCATTTTGTTGACCTCCTTGTTCTGTATTTATACTTCACATGTCAAGCTGGAATGACATCGTCGTATGGTGTGGCTTACTAATTTATTTAAAAGCAAACCTTTGTTGTTTAATTTCTTTCAGAAATGTTAAGTGAGACAAAAGGCAAGAGGCTGGGGACACTCCGCTGCCGTGGCCTTAAACCTCCAGTTGTGAGAGGCCATGCTGCAGCCTTCACATATTGGTTTAATGTTTTTGGGCACACAGGCCCTTACAGCCAATCCATCGAGGTCCTACCAGATGGGTCCCAAAAAGTTATTGCCAAAGGGAATCCTATGAATTCCTCAGGTAAATGAATTATTTTCTTCTGTTCAATTGACGATCCACATGCATGTTAGCTCTTCCTGTGAATTATGCCTGGCGAGGGGAAATTAGCAAAGTGTGGAATATAAGCACATTCTGTCTTAAACAGTCTTCCTCAAATTTACAGACATTTCATCACATTGGTAGAAATCTCAGCAAGGCTCTGTTGTTAGTTGTGGTGTTCGTCATTAGAACAAGTCTTTTTTTAGTGACTTGTGCAGGTTTTCTTCCTTCAGTCAACTTGTGTTGTTTTCAGTTTGCTGACTTTCCACCATTGGCACTTTTGTTCTTGTACTTTTTTTGCAACGTTGATATTGTACTTGATGGATCCTTTATTATATGTCTTAAAATTAATACAGTGTATTATAGTAGCTGCATATCACTGCTTAACTCTGACTGCTGATTTTTTTCTTTAATGTTACTTCAGTTTTGACATACATACACTAAACAGCAAAAAGCAAAAGTACCTATAATCACACATATGTTGAAAATAGCCATATCAGGGTGTCGAAAATATATTAACTTAATGTTTGTTTGGAGACCTCTTTGCCTTTATTGGCCTCTCACAGTTGAAACTGTACATCTTGTTGTCACCAAAGCCATATTTTCTTAACACTGTGTATCTGCATGCTCAGTTTCTCAATTGTTGCCAGTATCTTCTTCCTTTTCATAAGTCATCACTAGAATCAGGTGCTTTGAATATAGTTTGATAAACCCCATTAAAAGTTATCACAGTCCATCTAACCAGCTATTCATCCAACCTACTCACTGCTCTTGAATTTTTAGCGGTAAAACAGACCATAAAGTAGCTTGTGAGGAGGTCATCGCGGCCAACAAGAAGAGATGCGCGTCAAGGGAGGGTGGCATATGAGCCTAAAAAGGCCCCTCCATTTACCCTACATCAGTTGTTGAGAATGCGTGAGTACTGCTTCAAGACAATAGAGGTAATTATTTTGAATTTTAGAATGTGTATACAATGATCCTGCAGATGGATTTATAATAACTGTCATATGTAAATAAGTATTGTGCTAGAAAATAGCCAGTTACTTTTTTATATGAAATGTATGGAGCTGTATAGCTCCATTTTATTATGAGATCGTCAAAGGGAGTTAACTGAACAACAGTAAGAAATACATAATTAATGAGAATAAACAGTACAAGATAGTTTTCATCCTTTTTAAACAGCTCTAAAATTATGGTAATTGCAATATTTGTCTAAAAGAAAGATGCCTTCTTAATTCTTTCTGCTGGGTATATGTTTATTTGCTTGAGTTATTAAACTTTACATAATAATTAACAAGTTGTTGCTTGTTTTTATTCTTTTAAGGGAATGCGTGGGTTGTGGCTTTGGACCTTGACCTTATTTTCATTTGCCCTCTTCCTACGAGGTGAGGAACCTCTACGCCTTAAGCTGCGACATTTAAAACTGCCTCAAAACTATGCAGGTATGTTGTACACTTATATACCGGTATTGACAGTGAAGTGTGGACAACCTTTCCTAGGCAGATTAAAATTTGAATCTAATTAGCAATACTTCAATATCGAGTTCATTACATTTCAACAACAGACCATTTTATAGTTTCTGACTTGGTAACTTAGCCTTTGAGGGAATGTGAGGCTGGGGTTGTTCTTTTTTCTAAAAAAAATAAGCTCCTTCTTTTCGTAAAGAACAATACATGCTTGAAAAATATCAGTCAGCATAATAACAATACGATCTACATGATAATTAATGAAAGCAAAAAGGGATGTATCCACAACAAGGTCAACTCCAGGGTCATTTCAACCTGTTGCTGTAAAATGGACTAATATTATATATGGCACTAACTTATAAGCAGGATAGTTTGATAAGTCACTATAACAAACTACTGCAATTTGAATGAATTCTTGAATACCGGTAGTTCTTTTAAAAACAAAAGGAAACTAAAATGACTTCTAAGGACAAATAACTTAATCATACCTGGAAAATAAAAAAGCTTTAGATGGTAAGTGTTCAGATGTGTAAAATCTCACCAAAAGATGATAGTTAAATTATGTTCAATGATGTCTTAATTCTCCTGAGAATTTCTAATCTAGAATATTCGCTTCAATGGTTCATGTCTATATCCCAGATAATAGACTTTTAATGAAAATTTACATTTTGCAATAACCTTGAATCCTTATGCTTTAAATATTGAATTGATGTTACATTTATTTATATTTGTGTTAAGTTGATTCTGGTAGAGTGCCACAAAGAATCGAGGTGAAGATACCATGGTCCAAAGCAGACAAAAAAGCCAAAGGTGACTGTTTTGCTACTGTCAAGTATCCTGTTTGAGGGAGACTTTAAATGGAATACAGTTGATTAACTTTGTGTCCATGCAATGATAATTGGCATTTGGGCATGCAGGTCTTAAGGCTTAGTATTATCATCATAATTGTGCATTGATTTTAAGACCTGAATTTGTTGTTCTTCAGTGTACTTCAGGAGTTCTCTAGTGCTGTTCCACTTTTCATCGAAAGTACCAAAGATTAATAGCATTATTAATTTTGTTTACCTAAAACAATAAGTTTAAAATATGCTGTAGCTACATGATCACTTACTTTTTTTTATTGTTGAATTAACCAAACTGAGACCATGTTTCTTTTGGGCACCATTTTGAACCTTGCAATGCTGATGTGATGGTCATTTTTTAAAATAAGTTATTAAGCTCTTCCATTTTCACAATAATCTCACTGCAGGTGTGACACTATCTCTTTGGGCCAACCCATTAAACTGCGAGTTATGCCCAGTTACTGCCCTTTTCACATGGTTACTTATTACGGGTTAGTAGATAATTGTATTTGTCACATAATTTAAGCCCTATTTTAGTTTGTAATATTTATATTATGTGCCATCTTCTTTGAAGAGATTGATCATGTAATGTAACATTCCAATTGATTTGGTGTTACATTTTTAGGTTAATCCATAATGTTGGCTTTGATTCTTGATTTTGGTACTTTTTCCTTTATGCTAAAGCTATTTTTTATTTCATCTGCAGGAATTAGGAAAGGGCAAAATTATATTTTTTCCCCGAGTTGCTAAAAACAACCGAGCAGTCCTTCCTAACTGTGCTCGAGGTGTTACTACATACAGGAAAACCTTTTGGAGGTACATGTGCTCTTTCGCTTAATTAACAACAAGCTATCAGTTCCAGCAGTACCTGAGTTTTGAGCTGTTGATGTAAATAAATGGTACACTTTTTGGCCAATTTACATGTGCCATTTAGGCACCCTTGACAATCAGTGTAAACAACAAAAAATCAATTTGGATATACCGGTACCTTTTATTTTACTTTCTGCTCCAAAGTAGTCTTTACTTGGATAAGCCCTGTCAAACTTGTTATTAAAAAAAACTGTCCTCATTAATATAATGTAATAACAAAGTGGTGTTACCAGACTTGTCATTGTTGTGGAGCTGTGCCAAGCGCATGCCAACTGCACTTTGTCCAATTGTTTTTGTTTTGTTTTTGTTTTTGTTTTTACTGTGGCAATGTCAAAGTGTCTAGTGGGTGAAAGATGGAAGATTTAGTTCGGTCAGCCGGATTGAAAATAAAAAATACCTAAAGAAACACAAGAAGTCTCTGAATAGTAGGCCCAGGTACCCCAGGATGACTTAAAAAGTGAACATTTACAGTATGGATTAACAGAATGGATGATATACTGTAAAAAATGTTCCTGTTTTTCTCTATGTTTTACTATGCTCATTTTTAAGATTAAAATTAAGGGAATTACCAGTATTTCAAGTGAAAAATGTTTCAACAACATCATAATTTTTTTTTTGAAAATGCTAACAATTTGTGTCAGTTGGGCGACACTAAATGGAGGAAAAAGAGAGAGAGGATGGCCTTACCTGTGGAGGCAAATAGAACATCTATTTTATTTCTGTTATGTTTATTTTGAACCTATTTTTAAGCAAGTTAGAACTGTCAGAGTCGTGTATTTTATTTATGTTTTTGCATTTAATAGTTCAGTACTGAAAATACCTCATTTTAATAATGTACTGCTGAAGCTTATTTTTTCTGGACGCCACCTTACGATGCATGCCCATTGAGGAATACTCTGTGTAATACTAGTCAATAACCTTAAATATTTGAAATCTCCTTTGTATTTTACCAAGATTTATAGTGTCTAGGTCAGAAAAGTTGCAGTGGGTTCTGGATACCATTTTATTTATGGCATAGCATTTCCACTTATTGTTTTAGATGTCAAAGGCTCTTTTTGGTAAAGAGTTCACCACACACAGCATCAGACGGTCTGCGGCCCGATGGGCTGCCAGATGTGGGGCTGATGACAGCTCTATCAAAAGAGCAGGCAGATGGTATGTGATCTCGTGTTTTTTATTTGTAACTTAGTATTGTCTCAATATGAAATATTTTTATTTAAATAAATTATCTGTCTTATTCACTGTTTAGCTCTCTCTGTATATATATATAAATATATACACAAGTTTATATACATGTATCTCATGTTTTATTGGTCTTTTGCTTAATGTAGAAACAGTAAAATAGTCTAAATCAAGTGTTGCATTCAATTTCAGGAAGTCAAACAGTTTTGAGCTCTACACTCAAGATGCCAGAGCTGAAATGATAAAAGAGCATCATGATGGCCAACCAGTCTCTGACCACAAGATCTGGATTTTCAAACCCCTGAGATAATTAATAAAGAATATATTAACCTGAATGCGCACCATCTTGCAGTGACGTTTTTTCTTTTTGTAAAGCTTTTTTACCCTCCCCCCTCTACCAGTCACCTTGGATTGATTCTGACAGGTCATTATAGTGGAGCTCTTACAGGCACAAAGCGTGCGCTGCAGAGCAGCCATGCTAAAGAAAATTTGGTAACCTATGCATCCAAGAAATTTCGATAGTCGCATGACCCTGTGTCAGCCCCACTTCTAGAACCACAGCCACCCCAATAAAAAGATAACAGGTATGGACAAAAATGATTTTAGTCCTTGAAAAGTCCTTTAGTTTTTCCAAAAAATTCTTCTTGAACCAAGTTATTATCATTAACTTCCTTTTTTACTCAGGATGCAGTAGATTTAAATAAAATTTACACTTATTAACATCTATTAAGATATCTTTTCTCCTTTAAATCATGGTTGTGCTATCGTATCATGGTTTATGTAAGTATGTACAGAGTAGTTGTAACCCCTGTGAAATGACAAACATGCAATCAGAAATGCAATCAGAAATGTTACTATGATTCTGACCTGTAGAAGTGTCTTTTGGTGGCTTCTGTGAAGAACTGCAGAAATGTTACTTGTCTTTGGAATCAAGAATTTTTCCTTGTTCAGACATGTGTACAATATTAACAATTGTTAAAGGAACCACAGTGTTATAATTTATGCAAACCATATGGAGGGTCCACCAGGCTTGCGCCCAGCATACATCTGTAGTGCTGAAAATACAGTGTTTTGGAGACTATAGTTCTTCCCATGCTCATGCCTCAAGGTGATGGAGAGATGAGATTGATCATGGGAATGACATTGTATCGCTAGAATGTTAATTTAAAATTAAAAAAAAAAAGCCCTTCATTTCTCAGGGGCACCTGACGAGAATATAGTTGAAAATCTACAGTATTGGGCATTTTGGGTTCTCTTTTGTACAGAAACACAGTTTCAAACATTTTCTCCTAAATTTGTGCATCATTTCTCACAATATACAATTATTCCCCGAAGGAGAGGTGAATGGTGGTGGGTATATACCGAGACACGAAGCGTAGAGGTATATATCCACTGCTATGAACAGAGCCTGAGGGGTATAGTTGTTTTAGTACTTACCAAATCAGTTGGGTTAAAATCAATAAAAAGGAAATTTTTGTACTCAAAACACGTTCCTTAATTGGAGTTTATTACGTTTCAATTGACAGTGTTCGGGGGATTATTTTTATAATTTTCTTGCAAACCCAGTGAGAAAGTTTTTTTTTCCGACCTGTAAACCGTCTGTCAAGCAAACTTTTGTCTCTTTTTAGGTATTTGTTAGTACAGATGCTTCATCTTCCGCTAAAATTGCATCTTTCGAAACTGTCGCGAAAGGAGACGCCACTTTGAAACCCGTTCAAAAACAGTGAAATGCCAAGGGAACCAATGGAAAATTGCTATCCACTGATTAGGTGAATACTAAAATTGCATATTACCCTGTTGTTTACTCATGCATAACTAACAGTGATAATGATGAGGATGGTAAAATTATCGCTACACCTCTCCTCCCTCCAACTCCAATTCCCCCTCCCCCCTACCCCAATAGAAAAAATAGATTTCTTGATCTGCATAACTTTTCAGATTAAACTCGGCTGACTAACTAAAAACACCTGGGCCGGGTTGTTCAAAGCCGGGTTAACATAACCCAGGGTTAGTAAAAAATTTGAATTCAGATATGAAAGCTTAAAATGCAAATGCAGTTTAATTCTTTTTTCTACAATTTGATGATTAAATACTCTAAATAGAATAGGGAAAATTTCCGAGAAAACGTTTTTGCTGAAAAGAAAAAGAAACCCGGGTTAAAATTTAACCCTGGGTTAGCGCTAACCGGCCTCCGAACAACTCGGCCCAGTATATCAACGATAACAATAATGAACAAAGAAATGCTATGAAAACTTGAGACGAGTGCCGAAATGAGTCTGACCTGTCTGTAATGGTAAAGTTTTCAAAAAATGTAACTACGTACACAGTCCAGAAGCGCTGCTCTCCAGCCCCAGCAACCCAGCCGAGAGCTTATTTGCGAGACGATCTCAGAGTCATTCGTGACGTAACTTGCCTTGGTTCAGACGATGCTTCATCCGATGATTCATCCTCGCTCGATTCTTCACGTATTGCCCCAAAGTGCTGAAGGGCGTGAGCAGTGGACAATTCTTGTGGAATGTCTTCTCCGAGTTCTGTACGGCACTCAGGACAAGGAACACCGCAATTGAAGCAGACTGGCATGTCGCTAAACCAAGGCATAGTGAAGGGTTCGTTGACGGAGAAGGCGCAGTTTTCTTTAGGATATGCTGGATCTTTTCTCCGCCATTGATCTTGGCACCATTCGATCATTCTTTTTTGTCGGTCTATCCCCTGGTTTCCATCCCTCTGTTGCGGTCTTAATTTCTGCTTCTTCCATTCTAGCTTTCAAATGGTCGAACGGTCTCGCCTCTAACAGCTTGCACACGAAATTTGCAACAACTTCGTGCATTTTCCACGTGAATTTCAACCTTTCCATTCTCCGTCTCTCTACCTTGAACCCCAGCATTAAAATGAACTGCCACACAGCAATATCGTACAGAGGTCTGAGAAACGACAATAAATTTGAAGAAGGCATGATGAGAGAGAGAGAGCAAACAGTCGTAGCGTGACAATCGATTACGCGTTACCTCAGGCCTCTGGTTGGATTCTGGACACAATGCCTGGTTGTTTGATTGGTGATCGTCGGGCATTCTCGACCCCAGTGCTTATGGGTTCTTCTCTTCATGCGCAGAAGAGCTCTGGGCCGAGATTGATCGTCTGGTCATTTGCAAAATGTCGTCTTCGTCGTCCACGTGTACTGCGTCAACGCAAACAGTCGTTTCGAAGGTAAAACATGTACACCCCCTATTTTCCGATCTCCTTGATCTGGCAATTTATTCCTTCGGTTGTCAGAGCGGTCTACGAGCTCACCATAAAGTTCGTGGCGGTCCAGTGCTGGAAGGAGTCTCAGCGATTCTGGGTCGAATGTTGTTGACCAGCAACTCGGAGACGAAGGCAGCGTTCGAAGAAATGACACCTACAAGGCTAGGTAGCTGATTATTTTTAAATTTTCGTTATTTAGGGACAGTTTGGTTGAAACCTTGAAGGCTTTCCTTGGTCACTACTGCCCCGCGCGAGCAAAAACAAAACTGCTTGCGTGTCAAATCGGGTAATGCACTAGTCAATTGTAATCTCGACCCTCAAACCCCCGCGGATAGTAGGCATTTTACGGCGCAATAGTGAGGGAAATACGGAGATTTTACATTGACTTCTTGCATCGGTCCCTGGAGGAATACCAGAAATTTACGGCTTATACCTCTCCCGGGATGGGGGTGGGGGTGGCGTTTTTTTGTTTCAGTGTTTCGGTCACGTGATTTGTTTGCCCGCGAAAGAAGCAAACATGGCGGACTCGAACGCTGTTGGGATTAATGAAATGTTTCGCCGGCTTAGGTCAGCAAAACTTTCGCATGTAGCAGACAGGGTCCCAAAGGGGTTTAGGGCTCCGGGGCTCCGGACCAAAATGAACAGGGCTCCAGGGCTCCAGGGCTCCCGAGAAATTTATCAAGGGCTACAGGCTCCGCCCTTTTTTTAATTTTTTTATTTTAAAATCCAAAACCAAATCCTAGATGGAAGGTGTTGACAGGCCAAACACCACTCATAAGCTCGTGATAGTGTGATACATGACCTTATAGTTTTGCTCTAATAAGGAGATCTCCCAGCGGTTTTGCTCTTTTATATGAAATGATGGGAGGCTCGTTGTATATTTCTCTCAGCAGCGGTTGATTTTGAAATAAAGTGCCATTTGCTCATTAAAATGTTTTTAAGGTTCTGCAAAGCAGGGTGGTACGTGGTAATGAAGGCAGAATTTTCTTTCTGTCGTTGTTCTTTTGTAAAGCTGACTTCTGTTCGGTAAATTCAACCTCAGAGGTGATTTCTTCTATGAGATTGTGAGGGTAACCTCTAGCGCGAAGGCGTTTTTTGAAGTTCTAGATGTTCTCATGGGAGGATTTTGCTGAGGAGTTTGTTCTCAGAAGTCTAAGGGCTTGGCCTTTTATGAGACCTTTTCTGACCCCGTGAGAGTTACAGGCAGAAAAATGCGTGTATTTAAAAGTCTCCGTAGGGTTAAAATGTACGTGGATCTCAAGGATTCCTTGGTTGTGAAATCTCTCGTCTTTGTTAACAGTTGTAAGCATCTCTTGCAGGTTTTTCCCTGAGTTTTCACTCATAGTAAGATTTTAACAATTTGTTTCTTAACCAAGACTGCAGTTTCGGAACTTTAGCGTTCCTCGTCAGTTGCTAGCAAAGTCTTAGGTGTGTAGAGCGAAAATGGCTGTATAAATACTGGTCGCTAGGATCGGAAATACTGGCTTGCCATTGGCTGGTGGAAACGAAACCAATATTTGATCCACGTTGTTTTGTGTTTTCAGGTCAAAAACGCTAGGTTTTGGGTGAGCAAGAGTGATAGTATCTCACTGGATAGTAGTGACGCAAAGTCACTAGCCTTTGTTAGTGTTGAGAGAGTTTGAGAGAATCTTTCTCCATAGATTAGGGGTATTTTCTCGTACACCTCTCGAAATCACCCGAGTACATTTCTTTTGATGAGGTAACACGAGAACCAAATTTTTGCTGTAAAAATATCTGACACTACAGTCGAAAGGTGCTATGTTGGTTTTTCCAATCTCTAGGTAGGACAAAAGCTTAAAGACCTAAATCAAGCAATATATATCTCAGTAATTTAGAGTTTAAACTTTAATAAATGATGCAGTTAAAAGTAGTAAGTTTGGATTGCAGCGCACCCCAGAATAGCATCATTACAGTGAAAAGAATGAATGTAAGTTAGCCTCAGTCTAGTTTACAGTGTACTGGTTTTGTTACTATCTTCCTTCCGATTCCGAGCAAACAACAAACAAAGCACATTATGACGCTATCTGTGTGCAAAAATGTCCGAATTTTAATATTTGGGGCTACGGGCCCCCCAGAGAAAACGTTTTGAGGGCTCCAGGCTCTACAGTAAAATAATAATAGGGCTCCGGCAACAAAACGATGGGGCTCCGGGCTCCATGGAAAACATTTTAGGGCTCCCGGGATCCGCCACCCCCTTTGTGACCCTGTTCATTGTATCAACTTATTTACTGGCTGTAGAGGTAGGGGAAATTTCCTTCTGAATCTGTCCCTGGGGCCTGGGGAAGTTTCTAAAATTACAGAGCTGCTCGTGTGAATTCCCCACTATTCCCCGGGGCTTTGGGGGTTGGGGTTACAATTGACTAGTGCATAACTGTCATCATGGCATATGTTTTTCCAGGTTGAGGGGTAGTTAGTACCTATTTAGAAGCTGCGGGAAGTTAAAAACTTAAGTCTGTCAGACTTGCAGCGAAACTCAAAAGAAATCCTCCAAAGCAAAATTGGGCTAAACCTCATTGATGTAACTGTTCAGATATAGGAAGCTGTAAAATCACTGACTGCAGAGTGATAATTGATGTGACCATGCATGATGAAGAGCCCCCCTTGTTTCTGATGTGTTCATCAGGTGTATATACACATTTTAATACTTACTTCAATGCCTTTAGGTAACTGGAAACCAGGGGAGATCCCCACAAAGGAACTCCTGACCCTGATCTCTTCCAGAATAAAAATGCAGAAGACGAATGGAGTGATCAGTGAAGCTGGAAATCCTCAAGTGCCTTCACTGTTACTTGAGGAAGAGCAATCTTTTTCTGAGGAGGAAGATCGCGTAAAATACCGATATTTCCCCAGATGTTGGAGATGCGGGCAACATTGCCAGTTTTGTATAAAAAGGAAGAAATTTTTTCCCAAATTTGGAAGTTTCACCATGGAGTAAGTCTATGTTGTTTTAGGTGTTACCAGGTGCATGTAGCCCTGCAGAAGCATGTAACTCTGTTCCTTTGTATGTTTGCTGTGTTTTTTTGGAGAACCAATCATTAAGTGGCTAAAAAACCCAAGCATAGTTCTAAACACATAAGGCAAAGGTAGATGAGGTACTGATTTTGTTTTCAGTTTGTAAAACATTGTAAGGTGCATTGAGCTTTGTAATTGCACCATATAAGAATGTATTTATTATATTTGGCAAAGATCCAGACTGTCTGAGACAGGAGTTTGAAAGCAAGTGAAGAAATATTAGTCGCATTCTGCAAGACTAAGTGCTTTTCAACTGTTGCTACTGTTAGGATGAGGACTCATTAGAATAATATTTGTAATGCTGTAAATGAATACCCTATAGCACCACAGTTTAGCATTTAACATAATTTAGAGAAATTGCTCCAGACATTTTGACTGAAGAGCATGTAAAATAGATGCATAAGTTAAATGACAAATTTAAGTTTAATTTCCTCTTCTCTACAGATATGCCTCTCCCTTCCTTGATGTGCTGGAGGACATTCTCAAAGATGACCCTGATCAGGATGATCAGGAGGAAGAAGAGGAAGAGGTGATGGAGTCAGAGGAAGAGGAGATACATTATGAGAACTATAAGAAATGTATCTCTAGAGAAGATATGAGTGAAACAGAGGAGGAAGATGGGGAAAACCATGAAGATGAAGGTGGAGACGAAAATTCTGACCATGATGACGTGGAAGGGATGAATGAAGAGGACATTATTTGACGTTTGGCTATTTGGAGAAGACCGAAATGCTGATATTGTATTAACATATTATTATTTTTGTATATAACTTGTATCATTAATTTTTGTAACATACCCCTTTTTGTGTCCACAGTTTCCTATATATTACACCTTTGTTGGCCAATGATGAGAAACAATATTGAAATCATGTTAAAAGTAATGTTAAGTGATTGCCAGCTGATTAATTTTTGAGTGGTAGTTATGTGTCAATTTTACATATGTTTTCAACAATGTTGTCGGCTTTCTTGTCGTTTACCACAGCAGTGCTTGATTTCGAACAAGCTGAATTCAGCAAATTTTTTCATTTATGCAATGGCTTTAATGAACTTTCATTTGGAATCCTTGACATCATACCAGATGGCTCTGACAATTTCTGCTGTATTTTTTATTCATAGGGAAATGGGACGGGGTTTTTGTGTTTATGCAAATCAAAAGAACCGTACTCCTTAACATGAGAATTTTAAGTCTTCTACTTTATCTTGAAGTATATTATCCGATGTTTGTGCTTTTGGTTAAACTGGATGTCCCCACTAAAAAAATAGCAATAAAGTTGAAAGCACCCAATGAAAAAATCTTTAATTCCAGGCAATTAATAATTTTTAAATCAACCCAAAGTCACTTGAGGCAAGTTTGTAACATCCCCCTGTATTGTTAAAGTTTATTTCATGTATGAGTTTGATCTTCCTACTTGCACAAGATGTTTGATAATTACTCTTCTATGAGATGAGGTGGTAATCTTTCACAACTAATTCCATTTTAGATATCCTGTAGTTTTTGGTTTGAAGAGATACTAGTCATCTCTACTTGAAATCATGAACGCTCTAGAGAGATATTTTGTTGTGCGCTTTTTAAACGTCGGATTTTACAAAACAGAGTTTTCGAGTGAAAGGGCTAATGTTGTAAAAGTTAAGATAATTTCTCATTTCCCAAATAACTTATCATTGTATTTCTGGTAGACCTGGCTGGCTTTCATTTCCACATCTCCTGAAAATAACACGCATGACTAAGACGCACTGACTTTACCAACACTTTGAGCTCTTGAGCTTTTTAGCTTATCCCAACAACCCATAATTATTACAAGCGGTAGAGTGTTGAAAAAAAAAATTATAGGTCTGGGCTCATTATGGGTTGGCTACGCCCCTGTACGTTTAGTTGTACCGTATTTGGTTTCTTGGGAGTGGTCCGCATATGGAATAATCACATGGATATATAGATATTGTACCTTTACCGATTATCGATGTTGTTAATTATTATTTGCAAAATTAAAGGACAGATATGTGTTTTATTTCAACTGGCTCTAATGTACTTCATAGGAGATGATAGGAGATCAAGTAATTTTTGAGTAAAGCCGGGCAGTTTGGACCAAATTATTGTAGGGCAAAGTTGAGCCGGTGCTCAGCCAAGTTGAGTTCTTTACGTATCAATACCTTGTATCCCTACGTTGTTTCGTGTGCACAGTGTTCAGAAGGAATATACGGCGGACAGATAAATCCATTCGTGTAACCAATTTTTTGCAAAACCTCGAGGCTAAATTATAGTTTTATATTGCGGTCGCTGTTAGATTTCGTTAAAGTAAGAGGACCTTTTGCGTCTTCCTCTTGCATTAATAGCTGGGGTCTACATACAGTGCCTAAACCATCACCGATTAATCAGGACGTTTTTGATGCAAATTTAATCCGTGGCCTCAATAACTTTGACACCCGCCCCAGTGAGTTAAATTGGAAGGGTAACTTTAAAAATATGAATTTCCCATGGTTGGGGAAAGGCGCATTTAAAGACCGCTTTTAGGTGACTTTTGCGTGAATAACTCGTTGTGGGTATCAACAAAGTAAGAAAAAAAAAAAACACGGCCACACCAGGGACACTCTTGACGTTGACCAGGGACGTCCTTATACTGAACGCACTTCCAAAAGTAATGGGCATTGTGTAGGTAAAAAAAAAAATTATTAAAAATATCTGTTCGCAGGACTATATATCACCTAGAAATTTCTATAGCTCAAAAAAGGCTACAAATAAACTGGATAACTGTTCCATTCATCTAAGATGGTCTGAGTTTTCCTACTAAGTTCCCTGCGATTTTAGGAAGTTTCTTTTTCCCGTTTGAAACTAGGGCTAACTAAATAATCAGTGTTCTCTCGTCGTTTCGAAAGTCCCCGTCGGGGTAGCCATTATAAAAACCTTCCCTAAAACAGTCCAGAAGGCCAAAGCTCCCCGAAAACGTCCAAACAGGTTGATAGTTTTAAAGGCTGCTCACACCAACTTCTAAAGCATAGAGAAAACAATTTTAAACACGTCGGACGTGATTGGAAAGATTCGGTCGTTGTGTGCCCTTGACGATACAAGCTGATAGTGCAGATACAGAAAGAAACATCTCAAATAGCTGAATGAATGGTAGACAGGGGTGGGGGTAGGCAGTTTGAGATACCAGATTTAATGTAAAACAAACGGCTTTGATGACTCAGAATGACTCAGGCTGGAATTAGGCCGTCATTACTAAGAGAAAGTTTGAGATGTACATGATCAAAAGCCATTATGGCCATAGGCGTACGGGCAATTTTTTGCCAGGGGGCGGTAATCCATTTGCCCAAAAATTCTTGCAAGTTGCCCAAATTTTTTACAAAACAGTCGAAAGGAAACTAGGGCCATGCAACAAAATAGGCCGTACTGGCATATGAAAGTGGCTCGATACAGTTTTTCAGAGTCAATACCTGCCAAGTTTGAGCATAAACTACTTCGCCACAAACAAGCATTTGGAAAAATTGCCACCACAGTTGTATTAGATAAAGAGGAAATTTGTCATGATCAGGATTGCACTGACATCGGAGCTGTCATAGCAACGAAATGACGCCATTACCTATTATACTTGCAGCAATATTTCTCACTGGGAACTGTTCTTACAAAATCGTTCAGGGAAGCTCTTTCCTCCAATAGTCGCCTCGATGTACGTGAAGTTAAAACGGAACTGTAAGAGTGTTATGGAGATATTTTGGGATGAAGTTTTTATTGTTAGAAATAAGGTAAAAAAGGAAAATCTTGATGTTTAGAAAACGGAGTTTCAATCGTATTAAAAACGCGTATGAAAGATCATGGAGATAGCTCCTGCCAATTGCTACTAAGGAAGGATTTGATTGGCGCTCGATCTTGTTAGGGGTTTCGTAAACATTTCGGTCTACTTAAACAAATTAGTGAATAATTTTTAAACCCTTGATAGATTTTTTTAAGAAATTTATGATTCTTCTCGTAATTCAAACTGAGAATTAGTCAGCCACTTCACTTTCAGACCCATTGCTGAAGCGTGTTCTGCCACACACTATTCTAGGAGCGGAGGTGATTCTAGAAAGTTATGCGGAAGTTTATTCTAATCAATTCATGACTGGAAATAGCCCACTCTAGCTAGTACAGTGAAGTACAGTGCCCAACAACAACAACAACAAAATCAGCATATGATACCCTTCCCTTATAACCAGAAACTCATCACGTGCTAGGCAACCACTGTCTCGTGTGAACGTAACTGAATTATTACGCCGACTTCTGGTTAAAATAGAAAATATTTATGTCTTCAAAATATAATAATAATAAAAAACATCGAAACGTCTTTAAAAACTGGCTTTGCCCAAGTTTTCTCTTGCTGCCCAAAAAATCTGAGTTGCCCAAACTTTGGGGGCTGCAGCCCCCCTCGCCCCCTCGGCCCGTACGCCTATGATTATGGCTCTTGACATAATTGAGTAACATTGATCATTAAAAATATGGTATTTTAGATACATGAACATGATGTCAGCGTCAAGCGACAGTTTGAGATACAATTTGTAACTCAAAATACGTAATTTACCGGTAAAATGAAATTTAAATTGAAGTTTAATCCCTCTTTTAATACTTATAGTGGAACAAGGCCGAATGTGCTAAACATTTAATGGTTCGCACAAAAATTAGCACCACATTTAGCGTTACCTCAATGTATGGCATTACTAATTCACCACAGTTTGAAATGTCTCAAAATGTGGCACGTCTTCCGGTGCCACAGAATGAGATAGAATTTGTAACTCAAAATATGTCATTTGCCGGTAAAGACATATTTTGCAATAACGCAAAAGATGACCGCACCATAAGCCACAAGTTGCGATATCTCAAACTGTGGCCTTCTCTCTTTGCAAACGTCGAAGTTTCATCCCTCTTTTAATACTTATAGTGGAACAAGGCCGAATGTGCTAAACATTTAATGGTTCGCACAAAAATTAGCACCACATTTAGCGTTACCTCAATGTATGGCATTACTAATTCACCACGGTTTGAAATGTCTCAAAATGTGGCACGTCTTCCGGTGCCACAGAATGAGATAGAATTTGTAACTCAACATATGTCATTTGCCGGTAAAGACATATTTTGCAATAACGCAAAAGATGACCGCACCATAAGCCACAAGTTGCGATATCTCAAACTGTGGCCTTCTCTCTTTGCAAACGTTGAAGTTTCATCCCTCTTTCAATACTTATAGTGGAACAAGGCCGAATATGCTAAACATTTAATAGTTCGCACAAAAATTAGCACCACATTTAGCGTTACCTCAATGTATGGCATTACTAATACACCACAGTTTGAAATGTCTCAAAATGTGGCACGTCTTCCGGTGCCACAGATTGAGATAACGCAAAACACGGCACGCAGGCGGTGGATGTTTTTTTAATCCAAACAGCCTATGGACGCTGTTTACCAGAGAGTAAATTCCTTGATCTGATCCTTGAAGTGGCTTTTAAAAAAATCATAATCCCACCACAAACACAACCCAGGAGCACCCAACGATAATAAAGTTCAAAACCGCTTAAACATACCAGGTTGAACGTATTTTGGTATCTTAAAGGTAAATATAGGTATCTATTTATCCCCCCAAAGTTTTGTATCTGTTCGGATTTCCTAGCTGAAAAGCTAGTTATCGGAAAATTATAGGGATCAAACCTTACCTTTTCGAAAATTTCTGCCAGAAAAAGGGCTCTCGAAAATTCTAGGTGACCTTTTTAGGGTACATATCCGTTAAAATGGGCAAGTACACCATTTTTGTAGACATTCGAAAATCTTAGGAGAGGCAGACAAGCGAGACATTTTACAACAAACGTTCCGAAAATTCTAGATCTCAAATCGTCTTTCGAACAGATATTTTCCGAAACTTGACGTTGTGTGGCCCTGACAACCGGAGCATTAAAAAAATGTCAAATGATTTCCACAGATTGACACACCGTATGCCATGATTTGAGCTGCGCTTAAAACCTGTCTCGTTCATTAATCAGGACCACATTTTTGCGTTAACTCAATCTATGGTATCGCAGTCCTGTACTATAGCCCACGACTCTGATGCCACAGATTGAGTTAACGCAAAACACGGTATCCCCCTGAAGGTCATATTTTTGCGTTAACTCAATCTATGGTATCGCAGTCCTGTACTATAGCCCACGACTCTGATGCCACAGATTGAGTTAACGCAAAACACGGTATCCCCCTGAAAGGTCATATTTTGCGTTAACTCAATCTATGGTATCGCAGTCCTGTACTATAGCCCACGACTCTGATGCCACAGATTGAGTTAACGCAAAACACGGTATCCCCCTGAAAGGTCATATTTTGCGTTAACTCAATCTATGGTATCGCAGTCCTGTACTATAGCCCACGACTCTGATGCCACAGATTGAGTTAACGCAAAACACGGTATCCCCCTGAAAGGTCATATTTTGCGCTAACTCAATCTATGGTATCGCAGTCCTGTACGACTCTGATGCCACAGATTGAGTTAACGCAAAACACGGTATCCCTCCGAAAGGGCATACAGTGAAATCTTTCTCAGCTCTCTATAATGCGGACACTATTACGGACAGTTCGTTTGGCCCCAGAAATGACAAAAATAGTACATTCCCTAACCCCGGTAACACGGACAGCTCTGTAAGGCACAGAAAGCCGACACTTGGTTCTGTCCCTTTTGTGTCCGTATTAACGAGGCTTACTATCCGCGAGAAAACACCGCATTCTTCTGGTGAGATGAAACGTTTAATGGAGGGCGGTGTTTATGGGTAGTTTTGCTACATGTATATATATGTTTTGGTAGTCTTTTTTGAAATTTTAATTTCCCTTTGTCTTTGGGTACAGTGAGAAGTGTAAAATATACTGTAAAAAAATAAATAATTAAAAGAAATATATCATAAAAAAAGGAAAACATTTAACAACGGCACACGTAAACATATATACCAAAATTCAATACAGGTTGGCAATTGGGCATACATAACGATACCATGATTTACTTGAGTGATCAGAAAACAATGCATTCTCAGGGCCTAAATACCAATCCCAAAGCAACCTTTACTGAATCAGATATTATAATGACATGTTTGTTTAATGTATTCACTTCTCATCTTTCGGTTTCCACAAGCTAACTAAGGGCATTTATCAAAGTCAGAACTGGCCAGCTGGAGTGGTAGGCAATTTTCAAGCATTTTTACTAAAATCCTATTGCTGCATTGCATAATAAGGTCATGATTTATAGTGGATTTATAAACTGGCCAGGGTGGCTAGTTTTGCCTTTTAGTGAGCAGGCTAAGACAGTTAGTGATGTTCACCAATCATTTCCTTCTCGTATACTTTATTGTAATCATACTAAGTTTGTGAACACTTTGTAACCAAGACAGTTTTTGTTCACCAACCTCTACTTACGTTTAACAAACCTTGTTTTGTAAATTTAAAAATTTAAATTGGAGTAAAGAAATTATAAACTTAAAAGTGATTAAGCTTTTAACCTAATTTCGGAAGAAAGTTATTAGTTAAGTACAATTCTAACGAGCATGCATTGCCAGGATACAACAAAAAGGCGGAGCCAATGTCACAAGTTGAAGTAAGACAAAAAACCTCTACTTAGGTTTACTATTTAGGATTTTATATAACTTCCCTGGCCGCAGTTCATTATACTGAGTAAAAACAAGGTTTTCATCAAAATTGTATTTCTTAAATAAGTTGTATATATATTTCCTTTGACTAAACAACGAAGAATTTTTTCCACTTTTAGATTTATGATTTCTCATAGCAACTGTCCACTTATGAAGTGGAGGGCAGTTTATGGTTCCAACTTCCCAGAGGTCTTTCACCTGCTGCAGCTTCTCAATGTTTCGTGGTATAGACAATGAATCCAGCCATTCAACCAAAGATGCAGATCCGTACTCCCTAAACATTGCTAACGTTGCAGGGTCAGTGATAGCTATAGAAACAGCAGGTCGGTTGTCTGCAGGTGGGACTAAGGCAGATGTAGGAATAGACTGAATTTGTGCAACTGATGCAGATATAGGGCTGGTTGTAGAGATAGGGACAGTAGGTTGATTGCTGGCCAGAGAATGTGTTGATCGAATAGCACAGTTGATTGACGAGGAGATGAGGGATGTGCTAGGGGTTGACAAACTAGGTTGGTTGATGCCAGAACGAACAAATGCTGTTGTGGAGAGTGGTGCACTAGGTTGCTGGTTTGTAGACTGGATGAAAGGTGCAGGATGTGTGGACAGAGTAGTATGGTGGGTTGCAGATGAAAGGAATGATGTTCCGGGCGGGGAGGGCGAGGCTGGGGTTGGTAGAGCAGCTGAAGGGTTTGAAGAGATGATGCTGGTTGAAGCTGAGGTTGGTAGAGCAGCTGGAGGGTTTGAAGAGCTGATGCTGGTTGAAGCTGGGGTTGGTAAAGTAGCTGGAAGGTTTGAAGAAATGATGCTGCTTGAAGCTGGGGTTGGTAGAGCAGCTGGAGGGTTTGAAGAGCTGATGCTGGTTGAAGCTGGGGTTGGTAAAGTAGCTGGAAGGTTTGAAGAGATGATGCTGGTTGAAGCTGGGGTTGGTAAAGTAGCTGGAGGGTTTGAAGAGATGATGCTGGTTGAAGCTGGGGTTGGTAAAGTAGCTGGAAGGTTTGAAGAGATGATGCTGGTTGAAGCTGGGATTGGTAAAGCAGGTGGAAGGTTTGTAGAGCTGATGCTGGTTGAAGCTGGGGTTGGTAAAGCAGGAGGAAGGTTTGAAGAGCTGATGCTGGTTGAAGCTGTGGTTGGAGAAGTAGCTAGACTGCTTGTAGAAGGGATGGTGCTGGCACTATTGGCCACCATTGAAATGAAAACAGAAGACCAATATGCTACTTGTCTTGCTGCATGAAGTGCAGGGCCAACATCACTACCCGGATGATAATCATCAATTTGCTGCGAGATGTTCGACACTAAGTTAACCAGACTACTTGGTGCAACTGGTCCTTGATGAGGTGGTTGGCAATCTCGACTGGCCACACAGTCTTGGTGCAAAACAAGACTTATTGTTTTTGCATCTTGCACTATTTGTGAGGCAGACGGAATTGGGTCTGATAAAACCTTACAAATCTTGTCTCGGGATTTCAATTTCTCTAATACCATGCAGAGATCTGACTCCTAGAAAAGAAAAAACAACTGTAAAACTCTTTCACACAAGCAGCCACATGATGCATATGTTGCAGTTTAGCATACAAGCTGAAAAGCTCTATTAAGATCTTATTTGCTTCTTTACCTGTTTGACGAAAAAACTGTCTCAGTCTTTTGTCAAGTGGTTTATACTTTTGATACATTGTATAAGGAGATGAAGCTAGAAATAAGAAAACGCTAGAGCAACCTACGAAAAAAAAAAACAACAACGGAAATATAACCCAAAATTCTCAAACACGGTTTCTGAAAGTAAGTTGGCCCAATTTCAACCATATTGGTGCACAGGCAATAGATATTTTGCGGCATCTTGGCTGGATCAATATTATGACAGATCATAACACCGAAGCTAATTTCAATGTTGATGCATACCACAGAAGAAACAGCAATAGTTCTTTGACACAGAAGGAAAGTTTATGTTACATGGAGCAGGGAATAATATCTTCTAATACACTGGTCACCCTATAAATCTACTTAAATACAAAAAGAATCCATACATTCTGCACCTGCTCAAAATGCTTGGACCCTGTTTATTATGGTGATAAACATTGACAAAATCACGAGAGAAATCACAACGTACGAAACAGAAAATATCACTTGGATTCTTAAAAACATTGGAGGATAACAGCCATATTTCAGCTTGATGTGCAAGACGAACACAAACTGATAATTTCCTCTCCTTTGGAAGCATCTTAAGCTAAGTAAACTCAAATCAAAACAAAGCTGTAAACGTTTTTGCAGATAACTGTGAATTACATAATAATTTATAATTTGACTTGTGTCATGACATGTACTTGTAAGCAATTTATCAAGTGCGACGAGACATGTAGCTAATGCTTCTCTTATACTTTTCTGGTGTTTATGTGTATGCATGTTTGACATGTTTTACCTTTTCACTCCAAAACTGAATGATAATGGTGGTTCTAACTTTTGAATCTGTGGATGAAATCCTATGGTGGGACCATTCAAATGAAACCTCTCTCCCTGTTTTTCAGCATTTGTTACTTTAGCCCCATCTGGGAGTGAAATGGTTAAGTAAACACCCAAATGCTACTTAAACTATTTGACATGCATTCGGAAGTGGTTTTCTGCAATAATTGGCCTGGTTGATTACAAAGTGCTAACACATGGTCGTATTTTAATCAGATTTAATGGCATTTAACATATTACTCTTCTTTATTATTAATATACAGTTGTGTTGCCAAGGAGAGAATACACTTACAGGCCCTTAGCAAAACTCTGTCAGGTGACATGACCTTGTCAATCATAAAAAGTGATAAGTCTTACAAATTAAAGTTCAGAACACAGAGTGCAATAAGATTAGCAACACTGCTATTTGGGTAGACACTCACATTGACTGAGAGATTAGTGATATGTGACAGATTTTAAAAAGATTGGAAAAGTGTTGTCTAGAAACAAGGCTTTGCCATCCAATATACAAACCTTTTACCCTGTTTAAACTTTTTAAACCAATATAAAAGACAAATAAATAACATCAAGAATTTATTCCCTTATTAATAAGGAAATTATCTGCCTTGTCTCACTCACTTCATCATTGTCACTGTCCTCACTGGATATTTCCTCCCCCTCAGATTCTGGCCCCTCTGAACTCTGTAACAAAAGCAAACGAAAAATTAATGTGATGTTGTCATGAAGTAAACGATACAACATTAAACATTTTCATCATTTCCTTGAAAGCTTTACTCACTCTCAAGGAAAAAAAAACTAGTTACATTTGATGGGAGAGGAAAGCAGCCATATCTCTGTAACTGCCCCAAAATGAAAGTAATAAAAAAGGCAAATGCAAATTTATATAGGCCAAATTATAGACCAAATTATAATATACCACTAAAAGCAAAATGTGAAAAATAATTTTTTACAATTTGTTATTATCTCTCACATGATAATATTCCTATGTAAATGTACTATCTTATCTTATTACAGCCTCATTACAATACATCGGCTTGCAGGTAACAACGTTCGCCAATAAAAACGGTAATATTATAGTTATAGCAGTGTTGCTTGCTATCAGAAGCAAAGTAGATGCTACCGTAGAGTTCTGAAAGTAACAACCCTCCCCAAAAGTAGCGACCCTTCAAAAGTAGCGATATAATTTCAAAGGTGTTAGGAAATCCCGAAAGTAGGGACCCCCAGAAAATAACGACCCACAACAGAAGTGACATTTTTTTTCCTTTGTTTCCTAGCTCTAATAATAACTTATTCATTGGCTGGAGACAAAGGAAATTCTGGTTTAACCTGCAACATCTATGCTACAAGAAGTACACTTCTCAAAGAAAGCGATGACACACAAAAGGTTAATAGTATCAAAATGGCCTGCAATTCTACATTTAACTATAACAATAGTCACCTAGTGAAGCTGGGCAACACTTTCTTTCCAAGATGCATACTGAAATCTACTAATGACTAAAATCTTACCCTAAAGAAAAAGGTGCAAGGTACATTGTAAATTTTAAAGGAAAATGAAGTCCATGGTACCCTGTATGTGTCCACCTTACCTCTTGTTCTTGGTCAGATTGAGATTCTTCTGATGAATTCTAAAAGTGCAAACAAAAGCAGTCGGTAAATGAAGAAAAATAACTTATTACTTGCAAACACAGCTCACAGGTTTTGGTGGCTTTCAACAAGTGGCTGTGGCAATACATTTTAGGTGGTGGGGAGCCCAATAGTAATGGAAAGAGCACAGAAACACTGTATCGCTACCATTACTAAGGCGAAAAGCACTAAAACTAACTACCAAACCCTAATGGTTTGGCCAGTGAAAATTGAACACTTGTGCTTTTTTTAAATTGTCAGTTTCCCCTAGTTCAGGGCTACTAGCTCAACTCATTTCAAAGTCACCTTTCAGTGACTAAGGAATATCAAATTTTCACTATACATAAATTCTTGGTTGAGGCACTTTTCACACACATTTTATGAGGGTTTAATACCCACAAAACAAGGACACAGGCAGCAAAATTGGTAGCTTTTGCTGCAGTTTCATTTGAAAAAAAAAACATTTTTATAATTGCAATGCCAATCAATATGGTTGCAGCTTGCAGCGACGTTAACTTGCAGCTTGGAACACTAAATAGCAACAAAGCACTAAACAAAAATCTAAAACCGTATAATTTCTGTCGATACTTCACAACGAATTCTTAACCTTTCCAACTTTTACCGATCGGAAAGGAAAAAGCAGATTTTCTTAAAAACCCTTCCAACGTGGCAATATATTTATCTTCAAAAACAATTCTCTGCAAAACTTGACTACATGTATATGCAGTAGAATCTAAAGTTCTCAAACCCTTGGATTCACAAACCTCCCCATAATTCAAGCTAAAATTGATTCTCTTCCCCAATCCAACACTGTAACTTTACCCTGGATTTTTCCAACCTCCCTATAATTCAAACCAATTCTCTTTTTCCCAAGAGGTTCAAAAAAGGGGATTCTACTGTAGGTTACTCTTCTCCTCTGTAGCTGTGAAGTGCATACACTTTCTGCTGGCTGAAAGACGCCAACATAGATATCTTCCTTAAGCAACCTTGTGCTGAAATACATGTATGTCCTATACCTCTTAGATGCCATAAATATCTTTTAATGTGGTAGAAAAGTGACCAGTTACCCACTCCTGGGAAGACCTATGATAACAAATGCCCTTTACAAATTAGCTTGGAATTAATTTACGGGATGAAAATGATGCTACTGGGAAAATATCACTGAGTCTAAAAATCTCGGCTTTAACAAAAGAGTCTTAGAATCTCAGGCACGCTAAAAGATGACCCGTCTTGAGGTGTGAAATTTTGATAATTTGGATGAGAAATTTTGATAAAAAAGTTTGATCTAAATCAAAAATCGAAAGCCATTTAAGGGGTAAACTATGCTCTTCCAACGCAAGAATTTATGCATCGAAGAGAGCGGTGCTCCTTTCAAAAGTCAAAGAACACGCGAGAAAGTGAGCTAGGATTGGACGCGTGATCTCAAGATCCGCTTAAAAGAAGGTCGAATAAAACATATATCTGCAATAACTTACATCACGGTTGTCAACAGGAACGTTATCAGTCGACATCCTCGTCTCCGAAGCGGTGGAAGAAGAAGCAGAAGAGTCGAAGCCACCGTCCGCCATGATGTTCTCCGCTGCCAGCAAAATAGACCTTGGTAACCAGGTCCCTGATGACTTGTAGGAAAATGTGACGTCACTGTAGGAATCTGTAGGAATTGGTAGGAATCCACCACCATATATGGCACGCAAAAAATTTAATAATTCTGTTACGCTTTTCGCGGTACGTCCGATAATCAGTATTTCTATCAAGTCAAATTTGATTTCAGGTCACTTTTTTACCTTAGATTGTTTCTCAATTTCATTTGTCTCCCGCTTACCTAGGAGACAAAGGAAATTGAGAATCAACTGAATTAGGTCTGAAATTAAAAGGTTGATGGCCTGTTAGATAATTATACAGCGGATTGCCCAACCTTATAATCAAATTCACACCGCTAAATTCCCAACAGTACATTAACTGATCTAACGGACCATTAGTAACCAAATGCAAATGGGTAAAAGTCAAACAAAGACTCGGTATAATGCATAAATTTTTCTAAGAAACTGTTATTTTCTAGAAAAAAGAAATAGTCGCCGGGGTAAAGAAGAAAAATGTCAACAACAAACTATAAAAATAAATGTAAACAAAGTAGTATCGACAGCCAGCACAAAACAGAAGAACTGAGCTAGCGACTCAAAGTCACGGGTCTCTTTCAGTAATAGCCATTTCCAAGCATAACTGAATCTTGTCCAGTCTCACAGCTAATTGGCGGTCAATAAGCCAATCGAAGGGAATAAGCGGTTTGTTCCATTACAGTCGCTGCAAAGTATGCATTACTTCCATAATGTAGTCACGGCCTCTTAAGGCTGGTTTTCAATGCAATAGCGACGGACTCGGAGTCGGAGTCGGAGTCGGAGTCGTAATCAGAAGCGTAGACTTTATGATCTACTGAAAACAGCGTTCCGATTCCGCTTTGGGCGTGATCCATTCAACCAAAATTCCAACCGGTCCGACCGGGAAAAGAGGACCACCTCAAAAGGTGGACCCGTTTTTTCGAAACTTTTCCGGTTGGACCGAACCGATCCATTGAGTTTTGCACCGAAATTTCCGGAAAGTTTGGTTGAATGGATCGTGCCCTTTGACGCCGTCGCTTACGTTCCGCTTATGATCCAGTAAAACCAGATTGTCGGAAGCAGAGGAACCAAACCAATACCAAAGCGTGGGAACGTGCATTGTGATTGGCTTATCCTTCCGCTTCTGCTTCCGACTCCGACAATCTGGTTTTCAGAGCGCTTTCCATTCAACCAAAAATTCCGGTAATTTCGGTTGGTACATCAAATGGAACGGCCCATTTCGGTTTGGTCCGACCGGAATATTCGGGACCAGCTTTGAAGGTGGTCCACTGTGAGCGGTCTGGTCATTTCAATCGGTTGGACCGAAATGTCCCTTTCCATTTGCCAAAATTGTTGTCCCCAGTACCGCTCTTTTCTATCCTGCTTACAAGACCAAGTAGTTTCCAATGGAAAGTGAAGTGCTGTGAGTAAAGCGTGACATCTCAAATAGTTTGAATCAGTTGCAATTTTTTTCGATTTTTGATATTTGCCATTAACAGTGTCAAATAACTGACGCAACACGACACGTAGGTGAAAAATAGTGTGTGAAATCAAACTACAGTTGTATAAAAGTCCGTGAGAGTCAGCGTAGGCGTATTATTTGTCTGAAACCTGTCGACAATATTTAACTAAAGCAATTTATCAATTAAGCTGAAATGAATACAACAAAGCCTGGCTGAATACAAATTGGCTAAAACACCGAATTTATTTACCGTACTGTTCACAAGCATTTTTTACCTTCACTTGCATTCATAGGCTTTCTACACGAAATAGGATTCCTCCGCCTTTAGTTTTCAAAAAGCCCCTTTTCGATAGTCGAGTGTTCTTTAGGATATAAACAGTATTTACTTTTCTCTTTTAGAGCGTAATTATGTGTGTGCCGAAATTTCAAACCGGAATTTTTGTTGAATGGAAAGCGCCCCTAGATCATATTAAACGGAGTCGTAAGCGAAGTCGGAAGAAAATGGAAACGTTCTGATTCTTCTGACTCCGATTCCGTCGCGCTTATGACTCCGCTTACGACTCCGATTTTTGATTTTCACTAGGTCATAAACGCTCTTACGATTCCGCTTACGACTCCGACTCCGTCGCTAGCGAAAACCAGTCTTTACCGTGCGTGTTGACGTTTGAATTTTAAATTCAGTTCACCGCACTGAAACTTCTCCTGAAGCCTATCACCCTGATTATTTCTTTTTTATGATAAGCAATACCGTTTAGCGTGATTAGGGGGCTTGAAATGGTGAAAATCAACTCCTGCCTGCAACAAACCTATTATATTACTAGTAGTGTCGTCGTCTTAGCTAAACGTTTCTGAAACTGCTGAAACGGTGAAATGTATGTTGTTAGTACCTTACCTGCTAGTGTTGTTTTATACCTGTAGTATCTGCATTTCCCAAAAAAATTCAACTAATTTTTGAAGACTGCTTGGCCCAGTGAATTTCTTAAATGTCAGCTCTTTCCAAAATGGATCAAAGATGGCGTTTACAAAAATGACATCGGCTACTTAGCCAGCTTTCATGTTCTCACGGTTGTGCTTTTTCACTTTGTGCAACAATATTTCCTCCTCCGTGACCACCTAAAGGTATCTTGGTATCAGAATATAACAGCAAAATAGAACTTTTTTTAAGGATCATTCTGGGAAACGATCACACACCTAATCATGATTCTCGGAAAGACAGGAATTTAAGAAGATGATTGACATTGTATGTGTAATAAGATACGACCGAATGAGCAGCGCAAAATACAATGTAAAGGAATGCAAAATACAGGACTCGAGTACTTTAATTAATGCGAAGTTATACTTCGGGTAGAAAGAAACAGAACTGTGGTGTAGTTCCAAGGGTATCATCTCGTAAAGTGAACACGTTAGGTAAAACTCTAGACCAGCTGGGAAAGGGAGAATATAGAAAGGCGGGCTAGAACGCGCCCCTTTTCTACATACAGTCGACTCCCGATAACTCGAACCTTCAAGGGAAATAAGTAAGGAAAAGTTACAGTTTTTACTGCACAGTGAGCATTTTAATCACATTTCATCGTAGAAATGTTGAGTGAAAATTGAAAGATACTTTTAGATAATAAATCAGAACGTAAAGTAACAAAACGTTGCCTAAATAGAGCATGCATTTTACTTTTTGATAAGTAAAGCTATTTCACGTTAGATTTGTGACACACAACATCAGCCTCCACTATCGATCCACTAGTAAACTAGATGCCTACAACACGTCAATGGGAAATTCAAAATTCAATGTTTCGGAGGCAGTACACTGTTTTTTCCCGACTTTTTAAGGGCTCAAAACATGGTTCGAGGTATTCGAGGATAAAATTATATGGAAATGATCTGAGGGGAAACAAAAATTACTTCGAGTTAGCGGGAGTTTCGAGTTATCGAGGGTTCGAGTTAGCGAGGGTAAAATTACAGTAAATGTATGACGGAAATCCAGGAGAAATCGATTTTGGTTCGAGTTAGCGCGAGGTTCGAGTCAGCGAGGGTTCGAGTTATCGAGAGTCAACTGTACTTACCCGCCGTCAGTCCACCATCTCTTTAGTCCCGTGGGCAATGTACGCGCTGAAAAGAGGCACTGTCGTGTGTTAAAAGGTTTTCTAATCAAGCAAACTTGCCTGACCTGGTTTACGTTAATTCCTTCAAAGGTATATCCGCAGAAACTAGACTTAACGGTCCATATTTTGCTTCATTGCGGGAATGAATCCATGGGAAATGCGTGGGAAATATATTTTGCCTCATCGATCCAAGCTGACAGTTTGCTCTAGCTGGGTGCCTCTGAGTCGGTGAATGGAACTAACTACGACTAAAATTCCTTCCAGGCTTCTTCTAAGTCCAACGCTATCGCTCATTTTTCATGTACATGTTCAAACCGAAAACTCTAAGATACTATACTGTATTACTAAATCTGTTGCCCTAAAAAGTAACACTAACATAAGGCGCAGATCCACACCGGTTTCAGAGGCGGATCTAGGGGGAGGGTGCAGGGGGTGCGCCCCCCCCCCCTGAGATGACCTGCGGTTTTCTAATACAACTGGTATTCTGCCAAAAAAAAAAAAAAAAAAAAACGATGAGGTTTATTGGTGTTGAAGTAGAGCAAAAGACGAGTGCACCCCCTCCTTAAAAGAATCCTGGATCCGCCCCTGGGTTTCCCTCGTTTTACGAAAATCGGTCAGATTTTTCAGAAATAAATATATACTTTCCTAGTTAAAATCTGGCCAATATCCTGTCTGAATGACTACGAAATCCAGTAAATGTGACTTTAGGGAGTAAAAATCTAATTGTTCACGTCCTGGGGGACCCCCCAAAGCTTGCACCTTCGGCGCTAGGAGTTTAGGAAATCGCTCTGTATTTATCCTAGATCGGCGCCTAGGGTCGTACCCTACGTGCTCTCAAGCTATAGCCTACTCTTCCAAACTGCGCATATTTTACACTCCGCATTGCACATACTCACAGTGGCACTTTGACTCGGTTTCTTTTTTCCGGCATTCCGTCTGCCAAACCCCTGTAGGCAACAATTCTTCTTAGTTTTAATTTCCCACGTCAAAAATTAAATCAAGATTCGTAGATGTGATTAATTCTTTGTAGTTTCCCGAGGACTGATTTGGCCTTTTCATAAGTCTATTTGTTTTTTCTGCGTTTTATTTTCCAAGCAAAGGTTTTATCTTACACCTGGGAAACCTGCTGGAGTTTCTTAGAAAACTACCGGAAGTAGCAACAGATTTCCGAGAACGCCAAGAAAACAATTACACTTGAGATCATCGATGATATGCGTGGTGAAACCTGTTTAGGCTTATACTTGTCTCATTATTCTTCATGGCACAGAAATTTGTCTGGAAACTGAACTTTCTTCTTGATATCGAAAAGAAAAAGTAATTGAAAGAAACTCAAGCCTAGGGAAACCAAGGTAGGAGATGCAGGGGATCGAGTTTGTATTTTATGGTGGTTATAAATTAAGACTTGTGGCACAGAGTTAAGTGTTGTTGAAATTGATTCCTCGACCGTCTCCCAAAACTGGTGCAGTCCCTGAAATTTCTTTTATCCAAAAATTTGGAAGAGGTAAATCCACGAAGATTTCATATATTTAAATATTACTGAACCATGATTACAGAGAGGTGACGTTTCGCCGCACAAATATTAAAAATTCGTCAGTGGATTTCACAAAGGTCTTAAGCTTGAGCAGCAACGTTTTTGAGCGACGCACGTCAACCGAAAGTGAGCCTTTTTCTCTTTCAATTTGCTTTAGCACTACCAAATTTGTAAGTTTCTTTACTCTTATAGAGACGATTTGCCCAAAAGTTTGTTCAAAATAACAGTTTGAGGGTGCAAAAAAATCCACTTCCGGTTGACGCGCGTCGCTCAAAAACGTCGCTACTTAAAACTCCGTTGTATGTCAAATGAACTGTGGTTCGATTTCATCCTTGGTTTTAATTTCCTTTCGGGTTTAGAGAAGGTATTTTCTGAAAATGGGTTTGAAAAATATTAGAAAAAAATTCAATCAATATTGAAAGCGTAACAACAAGATATATATTGGTGTACATCAGGATGTTATGATTTTTTCATTCAGGCAATCCGGTCCTTTCACTGCGTTATGTGTAAATAGTAAGTTGGGCTTTCGCTCATGGCACATCGCTGTGGTCACACTACAGATTGCTATTTGGTAGTGCAACATGTGAAAAGCGGAGTCATTTGTTTCTTCCGGCTTCTTTTCAAAAAATTAGGCTAGCATTTATTCGGGAGCCTGTTGTTTTTAATAAAACAATTATTCCAGTCGCGCGACGCGCTTTAGTTGGTTCAGCGCTTCCTCAACGAGCGCTACAGGGAATATTGCGCAATAACTTGGTATAATGACACGACTATAAAACATCTGATAGGGCATTCTTTATGCAGGCAGGGGTTTTGACTAAAGATCGAGGAGACAAATAATAAACAAAAAGATCTAGGGAGAAACCACAACTGAACAGCACAAAACACAAATTAAATAAACAACAGCAGCTTTGATTCTAGTCCAACCTGTGTGAATAATTACTCTAAAAGTGGTCAGTTACTGAGTCTAAGTTCCATAAAATCAGTCCTAATGGATTGATTTTATCATGGTTGATAGCCATTCCGCAAGGGTAACTGCTTTTAAAATGAATGTTTGAATGACGAAAAAATGAAATATAGCCGTTAAAGTCAGTACAAAACTAACCTTGATTGACAGCCGCTGAACTGAAGCTGAGCTAGCTGGTCTTTTTCTTAGTAAACCTTCCCGGCGATGGGGCCGTATTTTGTGCCAGATGAATTCTTACACCCTCCTCCACCAGGCCACTTAGAGAGAGTCCTGTATTTAAAACATATTGATATTCGTGGAAGACGTGTGCAGCCGCCAATCAGATATGACAGAGTAGAGGGTGGATGCCTCTTTCTGGAGTACCTGATATCTACAGACGGACCTCAGGTAAGGAAACTCTGTACATCATGTGCAATGGAGCAACAGTTTAGGCACACCGGGTGTCCGAATTGTGACATTTAGGAGTTCACGGACATTCCAAAGTCAAATAGCATGCATTTAAAAAATTCTTTCCTTCTCCTTTTTTTTCCTGTGAGTTTCTCATGGAATCAATAATTCAAATTAATTAATCCGCCATAAAGTTACAACAAAAAACTGACAGGGTTAATCCATATGTATGAATTTATTAGCGCCTTATACGCCACAACACTTGTTTTTAATTCGGTTGCTGAGTAATTTTGGTTCCTATCCGATGTCTGGAAATATTTCCCCTTTCTCCTTTTAACCTCTGGCAGCCTGGCCGCAGTTGTTCAAAATTAAAGGTTAAAAATCGCTAAATGTCTGAGCAGTGGATAACACATGTACAGTTGTTATTTGTGGCAGTTATCCACTAGATGTATTAATAGTGATCAGGAGCCCATCAAATTTGATGGGCTCCTGTAGTGATTTGTCCATCGGAAAAAAGAAAGCACAAAACACTAACCGTTATGGTTTGAACTGGGTCCTCATTGAGGGAAGGCGAGAGATTAGCCATGGTCACCTTTAAGAGACTATGTGACTCCGTCTCAATAGGTGGTCGACAGACTCATGACAGTGGCTTTTAAGCAGGGAAGAGGAGCGGACTCGAAGGGTGCTTCTCAAGAAATCTTGAAGCGCGGGATCGTCTTTAGCGGAGAAATGTACCGATTTCTAGGTCATTCTAACTCACAGCTTAAAGAGAAAACCTGCTTTTTGATGAATGCATCCGACGAAGACATCTACGATCTACTCACAAAGTTTGGAAAATTTTCCAAGATCAAGACGGCAGCTAAGCGTGCAAAGAGGTACCCTGCTGGATTGATAAGTTTATAAAATAGCAGTGGAAGATGTTTGTGCGATTGTAAGAAATTATGTGTATACGACATCCTTCTCCACCCACTGTACTTGTAAATATCAATTTATCCGCGATGCATACAGAAAAGGGTTTTGCCTGTTATAAATGAATGTTACAGTATATGTTATATAGTTGCATGATATGTGTAAGTTATAGACCGAAATTTAAAAACAAAAATTTTGAGTGCCGGTTTTTTATCTTTCAGTATTAACCTGTATCGTTGAATATCGCAGACTATTGTCTCAGGGGCACCCAACGGCAATTTTCGGGAAAATATCTGCTCGGAGGACGATTTGAGAACTAGAATTTTCGGAACATTTGTTGTAAAATTTCTTGCTTGCCTGCCTCTCCTAGGATTTTCGAACATCTACAAAATGGTATAATTATCCATTTTAAACGGATATTTACCCTAAAAAAGGCCACCTAGAATTTTCGGAAGCCTTTTCCTGGCTGAAATTTTCGAAAAGGTAAGTTTTGATCCCTATAATTTTCGGATCACTAGACTTTCAGCTACGAAATCCGAACAGATGAAAAGTTTTTAGGGGATAACAATATGCCTATATCTACCGTTTAAAAACTAAAATGCGTTCAACAATGCTATGTTAAGTGGTTTGGAACTATATCCTCGTTGGGTGCCCCTGTTGTCTACATTATGCAAGTACTCGGCCTAACGTTGCCGATTTTTTGTCATGTGCTTATGTTATCACGAGCGGGATAAAGAATTTTTAATATGAACAGGGTTTATAAGTCTCTTTATTAAAGAAAACTGATGGCAAGTTAGCAAACGGTTTTCGAAATTTGTTCTTCAGATTTAAAGGGACGTTGTATTGCTTCCATTAGCACACCTGTAGGACAATGTAATACCTGTTTTGACACAGGCTAATTCTTTTTGACATTTTCTGATCATTTGATAAACAAGCCATACATTTTTAAATTAATGCGACACTGCTGCACTCCATCATAGCAACATGTGTGTGATACTAAAACGTCAAGACTGAATTGCTTGTAATGTCGTTATTACTCCGTTTATAGGATTGGACTTTTGTTTTCCACGTTTGATCAGAGTATTAGTTTGGCAGAGGATGAATATGAAATAATAGAAGACGTGAAACGAAATAGTTACATCTTTACAGATGGATGTGGTCTTATGTCTGATGAGTTTGCGCAAAGGATTCAGGATGTACGAGGCCTGGAAGCTAAACCCTGTGTTGTGCAAGTTCGGTACCAGGGATTTAAGGGCGTTCTTCTTCTCAGTCGACAATTAGGAGATGGCCAGGTCAAGGTTCAGTTTCGAGAATCAATGAAAAAGTTTACTATCCCGGATGAACGCATGCGCCAAACGTGTAGCACGTTCGGTGTCGTGAAATGTTCACGTCCGTACACCGTGGGTTATTTGAACAAGCAAATCATTATGCTCCTTGCTGACAGTGGGGTTGACCATACCTGCCTTACCACGCTGCAGCGCAATTTTCATTCTGTGTTAAGGGAACTCGGTATCCATGCAGAGCCCACCGAGAATTATCTCCGAATCAAAGGCGAGGACAAATTGATAGAACGGCTTCATAATTATGGCTTGGAGAGCCACCGCCTACAAAAAGACCTGAAAAGTCTTCGTGCAAAAGAGATAAAAAAGATGCAGAAAGAAAATATCACTAATGAAAGCAGTGGTGTTGATGACGACGAAAGTGCCAGTCCCTCGCAGTCTTCAAAATGCAAACTGAGGGTCCTGGTACACAGGTAGGTGCTGGTACCCATACCTCCCCTTCCCTGCAACTCCATTTAAGGTGCCACTGTTAGTCGTTATTTTGTCGAATTCCACTCCGGTGCTTAATGGCGTTCAACTGACATGTAAAATTGCCTATCGCCTTCCAGCACCCCTCTATATATGATCGAACATATACTGAAACTGACCACCGTCGTCTCATTCTAGATTCAAAATGCCTGATACTAGTTGGGTGCGCGCACTTGGGCTCACTGTGTACTTTGTTTGCAATAACTGTGGTTAATACTTTGCACGATAAGTTTATATATGGCCCTTCAGTTTGGACTGTGAGCATAGACTGAGCAGCACGAGCACGACTGCTTAAATCTTTGCGGGCTTTGTAGATGATCGCTTGTTAAACAATTCTTTTCACTGTGACGGGACAGATATGGCGATGACTTAACCTTCGATCTACCACTCAGCTATCTCGAAGGTTATAATTAAGATTTCCAAAACATGATTGGATTGGCTTATTTTTTACAGATCAAGACTGGTGTTTGGTGTTTGTGATCCCCTTAACCAGCTTCAGTATGGCGAGTGTGTTTTCCAGCCAACTTTATTTGATGAAGTGCAGCATTCAGAATTCCAAGTAGCGCAAGAAGTGATGGTTGTTCGTAATCCGTGTTACCACCCCGGTGACATACGTGTCTTGAGACTCGTCAAGGACAACCCACAATACGCACATCTAAGCGACTGTATTGTGTTTCCAACGAGAGGACCCCGCCCGCACGCTGACGAATCTTCAGGAGGGGACCTTGATGGCGACGAGTTTTTCGTCAGTTGGGACCCAGATCTGATTCCCAGATGGCGTCCTAATCCGTTTGACTACTCGTCTAACAGCCCACTAAACGTCATTCCAGACACAATAAAGAAGGTACCGAGATAGCTAAAGGCTTCTACAGTCCACGATTAGTTTTAGTCTCGCATCCTCTATGAAAATTGAAGCCTACTTAGTCTAAGTGTAGAGCCCATCCGCCCTCTTCCCCCCCATTCTGCCCTACCTCGAGCTGTAAGTTTAAAGGAAGCTTACTCTGATTAGTTAAAAGCATGAAAACCAAAGTAACAGAAAACTCAGACCTTCAATTAACTACGGTTATTTCTTGGACAACCATTGTTAGCTCTACCATTCCTCTCGATTACATTAATTTCATCTTGCAAAATCCAGTTGCAAGTTAATTATCCGGGAAGTAGTGAAATTTGATGATACCTGGAAGGCTCTGGGGCCCTATCACGATGGGACTTACTTAGTTTGTCTTATTGAAATACTGACGCACAGATCAGGGTAAATGTCCTGATCGACCATCCCCGACCGCGCATGTCGTGGGAGAACTTCCGTGCGGTTCCCAGCCAACAGCTACCACATGTGTTGTGTGGAGCTGGTGCTTAAAGGAGTGCGGCTTCACGTACTCTCCTCGGCAGTAAAGAGTCTTTGAAATACAGGTTCGCCTGTTTATAGATCTGATGGCAAGGGCGAAACAGCTGTCCATGGCTTCCACTGGCCGGATGATATGGCTGTGTGCATGCGTAAGGTACTGGCCAGGCCGCGGGTTGGTGCAGTTGTGCCCCTTACATTTGTCTTGTCTTGACTTGCCTCAGTTTGTCCTAACTATCACGATGACTATTATTATTGTATGCCTTCTTTCAGTACCTGGAACATGTTGCCAGCTCAGTAGAACAGGGTGTGTCTGCCTGGAGTCATAAATTACTACCATCACTGTTTGGAACACCGCAGGAAGCAGAAAAGGAAAGAAATAAGAGGGAGCGACTGCACATGCTCAAGTATTTCACTAACTTCAACAACGATCTGGTTGGAAGGGTGGATGCCATATTCATGAAGTACGCAGCATTGTATGGGCCTTCTTGTCGTGAGTGTGTTTATTTAAATAGGTAAGCAAGTCACGTATACTTTTCTCCCCTCTGTAAAATAGAACTGAATCAAATTCTCATGGGCTGTCAGTCATTAGCGAAGAACAAACGCCTTGGAAAGGAAAGGTTAAAAGGCATATGAGTCAGTGTTGGTATTCTGCTATAGTTCACTTGCATTGCTGCCAGAATAATAGCTACTGGCAGTTAATAGTGCCATATGAATAAGGCCGCTTCGTGATGGTCCCTTTTTCTCAGTCGATTTAGGTCACTGGAACAAAAATGCCATTTACGAATTGCCCAAACTCTGTTTCCAAACGACGCTAAGTGCAACTGAAGCCTTTGATATGAAAATAATTTTTAATTTTCATGCAAATAAAACTCATTTTCACAACAAAGGTTTTGAAATTAGCCTCGTTTTGGTATTGAAACTCGTAAATGGCCCATTAGATTAAGAGTCGAATATAATTACCCTTGAGTGTTAGGTTATACACTTAAAAAATTAAATGAGGCCTTCAAAACATCACCATAGACACTCAGTATCACAGTCAAAATATTCTACTAAGCCTTTTCTCTTTGTTTGATCAACCCTTACGGTAGTCTTTTCCACATCTTTATTTATTCATATTTCTACGAACTTGACGATCGCGATCTTTTAATCCGAAGTTGAGATAAGTTTGTTCTTACACGTTGTTAGCATTGCTTTAAAAACCTTTGCATCAGTGTCGGAAACAACCGTCTTTTTCTGTAACAGGTTCTTTTCTGACGCCGTGGATATGCTTGCGGAGAAACAAAGCGTCATTGCCGAGCTTTGCGAGTTAGAGCGTGAGTACAAAAGAATAGAACGCAATCCACCAGACCGCAGCCCAAACGCTCTCGGGCAGCTTCTTGGGTTGATCGTTAAACAGAAGCCGCCATTCCGACGAGGTGATGACGTGTGGACACGCATGGAGGAAACGACACGATTATTTGTGGAGGAAATGACAGGAAGATCCTAACTGATCCACTGGAAACAGTTTTAAGAGACGTTACAACCGACTACTATCAATTTGTAAGTTAAGCCGAAAGTTGGCCAGAATATTACCCGACGACTACTAGTCTTGAATTGGATACAGACTTTACGGCTATCGGTTAATTTTTTTCAGTTACTATTAACCAAAAAGTTAAAAATTAATTTCTATTGTTTCAAAGAGTTAAATATCAATAAACCTGTATTTTTTGTATCTTCCAGCAAAATAAAGGTCTTAGGATCATCTCGGGATAAAATGAAGTTATTCCTTTTTTTACGCATAGAAATGTCAATAGTCAGTTTAAAAATAATCTTTGTGAAAAAGCAAAAGCAAACACGCGAACGCCCAACTCAAGGCAGGGGGGCGGGGGGCATTCATTTATAACAGAAATGACCGTTTTCACACAAGAGACGGATTATTCGTGTGAGACGGGTTATTCGTTTGATAATTCGCGTCAGATAGGTAATATGTCTTAATTTGAAATGGAAAGGGTTTTAATTTTGAATGAACAATCCGCCTGACTTTATTGGTCAATTTTGACGGACAGTTTGAAGATGGATTATCTGTTTCAGATAGCCTGTGTACAGCGGCCCCCTCCCCTCACAAAAAATCGGAGAAGGGGTGTCTGTGGGGAAGGGGGCGACTGTGCACAGGCTAGTCTCAGACGAATAGTCCATTTCTAGCTCTAGTTTGAAAACGGCCAATTCCCGTGTTTTTAATGATAGCGAAGGACTGTACAGAAAGACTGTCTGCCGTTGCCTTGTCCATAGGCCTCATTATTCAGCGCGGCTCATGCGTTTCGGGTCACGTGGACCGAGCGAGTTTTTTCTCAGATACGCCACCGAAATGCCTTAACCGAGATTGCGTGGGCGGACGCCGAACAGGGACTGGGCATGGCAATGTCTACCTTAGCGTCAGCGAAAAACAGGGAACGAGGTTTACAAACAGTGACATCTCTGGGTGTTGTTTCACTACTATTTCGAGGACACGACCTCCTGTGCAGTCCTGAAAATCGCAAATTTTAATCCCCAGCAAGAAGCCAGGTTTATAAATGGAAAAAATTGATTCCCCGAGAGAGCGGCGGAGATGGAGTCTAGGTCTTGGTCACAACTAAAAGGCCCTTGGCCTAACGTGTGCACGGATTCAAAGTAGCCGGGAAATAAATAACGCAACCATAAGTGAGTTTAGCACCTTCCTTAAAATTAACAAATCTAGGACACAATTTCCTTTACGGTTAACTCTTTTTTACCCTATATACTGCTAACTTTTAAAATTTTTCAGCTTTTACGGCTATCGACTAAATTTTTGCCCGTTTTACGCCTATCGGTTAACCCCATTGAGACCCTCTCACAAGCTTAGTAAATAAATAAATTAAATAGATAACGATTTAAAGGTAACACATCCACTAGGTGGTTCTTCTGCTCTTCATCTACCTGATTACTGGTCGAGTTGGAATTTTGGTTTTTAAGGAGAGGGAAAACCGGAGTACCTGGAGAAAAACCTCTCGGAGCAAGGGAGAGAACCAACAATTAATTCAACCCCGACATATGGCGTCGAGGCTGGGATTTGAACTCGACCCACATAATGCAGGTGGGAGGCGAATGCCCTCTACCCTGCGCACCCACTTTCTCCCCAGCTAAGTTTAGATTTAGTTAGGTTTCTCTTTTCTTTCATGCATCTAACGGATTCTTTCTATTGGCTGAGTTTCGTTTTGAGGAAAAATACATTACATCAAGAAAATGCATCATTCACCTCGGCTTTCACAAAAGCTGAGACAACTACAGTCGCACCAGGCACATAGATCAGAGATTCTAGCTACATAATGGTGCTTGTTCACGTATAGTAACAATGAAATGAAGGCATCTCCGCTAAGTTAGGGAGTCGGTTACGATTTACTCTGAGAAGAAGTCAAGGGTGTGGTCTATCTCCAAAAGAGAGCGTCCGATCAACATGGAACTAAGCAACGTGACTAAAAACTGGTGAAGAGAGCTTCATTCTCTATCTTTTTTGGATAGTTATCAATCACGCGACCACTTATGCCTTATCTTCTCTCTATATACAGTGGCTCGGAAAATTTGTCTTGACTGAAAAGTTTTGGCAATATTTTTTTTAGTTTGTGAAGCCTCTTTTCAAATGTAATTGGAAAGGAGACATGAAGTTTTTTTTGGTTATTTCTTGGCAAAAAAAACCGGCCCATTTTATTGTCATGAGACTGACGCGAATTGCAATTCGTTTTGAGTAGAATTTCGAACGTCATTTTGCACGTAAAGTGGTGTTGAGTTAGTGTGCACTCAACTCAACCTAAAGAAAAGTAAGGAAACGTGATACCATTTACGCTGACTTGAGTCATTGTGACAACGTGTTTTCAACTGGATAGATCGTGTCAAGTATAAGCCCTTGGCAAGGTTTCATGTAAAAGATAGACTATTCCCCCTCCCTACCCCCCACCACCGCCTTAATATTCAGGGATGCTTTGAAAATACACCTGAGACACCCATCAAAATAGGGCGATTTGGCCCTCTTTGTTTGTAGTGCGATGAATGTCATGTGTCGGATCTTACATGTAATTTTTTAAAAAAGAAAAAAATTACCGGCCTGAGTACTCTATTCGGGCAAATTCCTTTAAACCGCAAAGACCAGTGACCTGAGATAACCTGATCTAATCCGTCAAAGGAATGTTAGCCATGCGATACAATCGATATCATGCACGAAGCTACATTTGTTGAATATTATATAATGGTAAGTATAGAGTTTCTAACTTAAGAACTCGAACACACAAAGACACAGGGAATTTGCTTGGTATCATTGTCACTATTTGCAGGGGACGAGCTTCTCTTGAGTAAAAATCGATTACTTTTAGATGCAATTGCAACAAATCTAAAGGATCAAAACCTGACAACCAATATCGCCTCAGCAAAGCGACAGATTCAAGTGCGAGGGCGGGAGTTATGTTAAAATTCTAAAAAACACGACAAAGGAAAGACACGCCGCAAAAAGAAAGCAGAGTGGCTTGGCGATATAAAAAGATGTTGCTGGATTTGCACTGAGACTGAGAAATCAAGCCGTTAGAAGCTCAAAAGGATTGGATTTTGGCTCAATTCGCGGGTTACAACGGATCCGTTTCTGCTCCTTGAGAGTGCATAATTGTACTCTGCTGAACAGACGTAAAGTAAAACCACTTTTCTTGACTTATCGCGTTGTTTGGGGTCAACTAGACGTGACCAAAATATTCTGGGATGATTTTAACGCAATATAACTGTTCGGATCGGTTTAAACTCTCCTAATCGCTCGACAACAAGGCTCTTAACAAGAGCTAAGTTGCAAAAACCAGTTGTCTGCTTGAGAAGACACAGATTACTACTACTCGTCGTTTAAGCCAGACATGGAAGAGGCTGAAGAGAAAACAGAGACAGATGTTGGGAAACCGCAATCCACAAATGCCAGTCTAGAGCAAAGTGGTAGAAAGCTGTCCTTAAAAGATATAAGACGATACGAAAAGAAAACACTATTGTGTCCGGGGGGATGTGGAATTGAGCTGGAGCTTGGTGATATTCCCAAGCATGATTGTATTAGAGATTTAAGGCAAAGGCTTGAGAGCTTGGAAAACAGTAGCATCAAAAGCAAGAACAGTACGTCGAGCGATCAAGGCGGGGCAATGGAAGCAGTGTACAAAGAGCAGCTGGCGTTGCAGGATCGTAAAATAGAGCAAATGTCTACCGAGATAAAGGAGCTGCTTTTAGAAAGGTCGCGTCGCGATGAGATTTTCAACAACAAAGAAACGTTCTACAAGGAGCAGATTGCAGCGCTAAAGGAGCAAGTTGCTAAATTGGAGAAACGGCTTCAACCAAGGAGGCCTTCCAATCACGATGATGATCCGTTCGAAGAAGGTAACGAAGCGAAGGAATGGGCTTTTAGATACGACAAGCTACTCGCTGAGAAGATAACACTGGAAACACTATTCCAGAGACGTGAGCGGGAGTTTCAGCGAGAGGTGGAAGCGCTCAAAGAAGAGGCCGCAATGCTCAGAGAAAGTTTACACCTGGAGAGAGAGATGCTGTCGCTGGAGCACGATCATGAAACCTTCAACAAGTTAGCTAGCTTAACAGACCAGCTTGAGTCCCTGGTACAGCATAAGAATCAACAGAGAGCAAAACACAAGCACCATAAGGCGTCCAAGGAGATCAGAATAGGACAACATATTACAAATGGTAGGATTCGGAAACGCATTCCTAACTCTGTTGGCAGCTCAAACTCTGAATTCGATGAGGAGGAAGATGTGGACATGGAAAGACTTAGTAATTAAACAACACTGAGCCTGAAAAAGTGCCTAATAACTTTAATAGGTCCTCGGAATCTACTGTCTACAGAGCTGTTTATTATAATCGTTTATTTCTCTGTTTTGAGTGGTCATGGAGCCGTTAACAATACATAGAGCCCCAGGGTAGAATAAGTTGTTTATAAACAATTTTGTATCTAATAATCAAACTTCAAGGTGTCGTGATATTTTCTGTTAAATCTGGATCTGGCTATAGCTGGATTTTCAGTCGCGGATAACAGTAGTGATGATGACAAAAACCATTGTTTTACTTTGTTTTTCAGTATTTTGAAAATATTTGGCTCACATTGTATTCCACCACCAGTTGTGGTTAAAATCTGTGTGTTTCAAATTCGATGTTGTTGTTATTCTACGTATCCCCTGGAAAATATTAGCCTTAAAAAAATTATTCTGCAGTTGTCCAGCAGAAAACATCGCGGGTTAACTGTTCGTAATTAGAGACTAAATAATGATCCAATAATCATACTGCTGAGGTCACGCTGTCTTAGGCAAGCGAGAGGCGAAGCACTATTCAATCAGTCTGATCAGTTGTCTCAGGATCCGAAGAGGTCAATCGATACTGAGGTGATCCCTGAGTAAAATGTGCTTTTAAAGGATGGTATTTCAAGGATATATGTCACGAAGAAATTCTCAAGATGTAAGCTCTTCAGTAGTTTTTCTATTTCGTCAAACTCAAAGAGAGAGAGAGTTTGTTTAATGTAGACAAAAGCGCTACGGCTACGTAGCTGTAGGAGGGGAGGTAGCAGTAATCAGAGGTCTTATCATATTAATTACACGGTTAAGTACAACGACAAGTAAACTAGGCGTGAATAACAGTGTCCAACAGGGTTTAACGTTACCGTACGCCAACTACTAAAACAAAGTGTTTTTGCAGTACGCTATACGATTCTGTGTGTGGTGTTAAATTCCGGTTTTTTAATGACTAATTTGACCCTACATAATACGCCCAATATTATAAAAAAAAATTTGTTTCGCACTTTCATAAAGGAAATACGATCAAACGAAAATTTACACTACTGGCTCCAGCTGTTCAAAACGTGGATAGCGCTATCCACCGGATAAATCTCTATCCACTGCATAGCGTCATTCAGGGTTTCCCAAATACTTACCCGCTGGATAGTGATTTATTAGGTTGATACACGCTATCAAGTTTTTGAACAACCGGGGCCACTGCCCAGGATTTTATTCGCTCAGAAATACATGTTAGTTGTTAGAAGCGGACTCTTCAAACAAAAAGGAAACACATCCAACCCTTTTAGTATGAAAGAGAAAAGAAAGAAAGGACGTCTTGAAGGCAACTTTTTATTTCACAATATCAGAATACAGATTCTCCAAAGTACCTACAAATTTTTTATCAAAGAAGTGGAAAAAAATTGTTATGATTGTTGATCATGTTTCCTTGACCTCTCATGTTCATTATTGAAAGCATAGAACTACTTAGCCTGGCTGATGGGATGACGAAAAACTCAAAGGAGAAACTTTAAAGATGAATGACAACTTGGATATCCCTTGTCTAGCTGACATTTCAAGGTATACTTTAAAAAAGAGAACCATCCTTAAGGCAGCAACAAATCGTGCACAAAGAAGATATTGAACGGAACTTTTGTTCTCAGACGAGGACCAAGAATTGACCCTTTTAAAGCTGGAATAAAAGTCGAGGCTCGAAAGCTCCTCTGAATACTTTCTACTACATTTTGTTGGTGCTTTTGGAGACAATTCTACTCTCTTTCTATGAAAATTATTCTTTTTAAATGAACAGTATACAATGTAGGTGGTTTGTAAAAAGTATTGCATATTGGGTTTTGATCTCCAGTTATATTTGTTAACAAAACTTTTGTGTTGCAGTATTTCTAGTCGGGGCTAATGAAAAAGTCTTCTACAGAAAATCACTTCACATACATTTAGACCTATTCCGTAAGTAGAAAATAACTGATCTGTAACGCACCACCTAAACGGTGCCACAAGATGTATGGTCTTTATTCATCACAAATTGTAAACTCGATTTCTCTGCAACAAGCGATTCATGTATTTTGTGATCAATAAAGTTATCAAGAGCCAATGACAGGCTTGAAACACTCATCCCAGCGATCTTCATAACAATCATCTCACACTGTATCCGAACTTCCTCAACCCTCCAAAACAGTTAAAATTGAAGGCAAGGCTGATCGGACAGCTAAGGGTGACAAATTTATTTTCCTAATATTTCGACTGGACAAAAGCTAGTCTTCATAAGGGGCGGTTTCAAAAGTTAATTCGTTAGGATTTCTGTGATCAAACCAAGTGGTGACAGATAGTCCAATCTTTGACGGAAAAAGTTCTGCATATATCAGGGTGCTGTCCTCAAAACGTTAATGAAATAAACGATTGTAGAAAAAAACTTGTCAAACTAATATATGCAAAATTAAACAAGACGAAAAAGACGTTTACGTCGTAAAAGGATGGGAAAGTTCATAAAAAATGTTTCATTCCACGCAAATTGACGGGATAACTACAATCTAATTAAGTTAATCTAAAAGACTAAAATTCAGTTTAAAATTTACCGGTGTATAATAATGCCACGATTTTTTTTGTGGAAGTAAAACCTAACATTGTGTGAAGATGTTAATAGTATCAAAATATAATTTGTTTAAAAGTTATAAAATATATCTTTTTGTCGGTACACAAAGGATCAAACTTACATATTCATATTTTGTAACTTCTCAGGCCGCAGCCATTATATCAGTACCCACAGGACAATTACAACGTTTTCTTGACGTAGTTTTCAAGATTTCGCAAACTGTTTTGTCATTGGTAACATGGTCTTGCTGCCTTGATTACTGATCGATAGAGTAATCCTGAGTAATGATCGCCTCCATGAGTTCACTTTGAACTGAGTTCTGTTTGTTCCGCAACTATTCGCTTTTGGTTCTGCAACGGTATTTTGTGTACAAATAACATTACACAGTTATTTGCTACCTGACACTGTCACTTCTCAGACCTGGTTCCACCCTCTCAGCAAGGAATACATGTAATTACATTTTCTTCACGATGTCCTTTATCTCTAATGCTAGTTGACGTTTGTCCACTGAACCAGAGAAACATTCTCCTGGAAAACACAATAAAAGTACAAAATAAATACTGAGGTTCACTAAGTCATTCTTTGGTCTGAAAGGAGAAGGCAAATGACAGGTTTTGGATAATGTAAGCGCATTTAAAATGCAAACATCGCGGTTAGCTTAATAAGAACAAGGGCATCCAACGAGGATATAGTTCAAATCCACTTAACAGCATTGTTGAACGAATTTTAGTATTTAAACGGTAGATATAGGCATATTTTTATCCCCTAAAAACTTTTCACCTGTTCGGATTTCCTAGCTGAAAGTCTAGTGATCCGAAAATTATAGGGATCAAAACTTATCTTTTCGAAAATTTCAGCCAGGAAAAGGCTCCCGAAAATTCTAGGTGGCCTTTTGTAGGGTAAATATCCGTTTAAAATGGGTAATTATACCATTTTGTAGATGTTCGAAAATCCTAGGAGAGGCAGGCAAGCAAGAAATTTTACAACAAATGTTCCGAAAATTCTAGTTCTCTATTCGTCTTCCGAACAGATATTTTCCCGAAAATTGCCGTTTGGTGCCCCTGTAAGAAAAAAAGAAGGCGCCAGAAATGTTTCCATATCACTTCCGCTGCCTTTTCCTTTTTATAACCAAAACCTCTTTTTTTAAAACGGCTAGTTAATAAGCTCGCGATCAATTCAACCGTCAATTAAAGTCATTCTAACCGTACAAGTACTTATCAGAAATAAGGCAAGAAGAGGCTTTGTAAAAATTACTGCACAACGTTATAAAGTTTACAAATTAACACAAGACCTTAAAAGTCGAGCAACCCACGGTTTATTTAAATTGAAGCGTTCCCATTTGTCAAGTGAGGTTTCTTAACCCACTGTGGTACCAAAACCTAGAAAACTACTGAAGGGGATTTCCCTGACTGGCTCCACCCAAACAACAGAAGATTAAAGTTACAGTACCGTCCCAAGACTGTTTAATGAGAGCATCCTTCAGATACTGTGAATTTGGATTCTGCTTCATTGCACGACAAACCAGTCTTTGAAGCTCCTCTTCTGGACAAAATGTTTCTGCGTATAGAAATCATACAACAAATAACATAAAAATTAAACAGTTCCTGTGCACTCAAAAGCCATCTGCGAGCGACACAGCAATGGTAAGAAAACAAGCCCTGTCGTGACAAACCTGAAGCTCCTTCAGGTGGCCGAGGGGGAATGGTACAGAATGCAATGACGTCTCTAAGTGACTTGATAGCTTCGTCATTTTTTGTTCTATCAGCCTCTACTGATGTCGCCGATGACTGGCTATTTTTAAAAAACGATCTAAAAGAAAAGAAATCGATGTTATTTAAATGATGAATTAATTGCCTCGCGCGGAAGCTCTGTAAAAGATCAGAGGCAAATAAATTGGAGCGCCAATCTCTGCTTCGCTAGGGTTATTACTATTTACAGCGGTCTTGCCCAAGCGACTATACAAGACACATACACCATGCATTCATTATCATCTTCGAGACAAGAACCACAGGTTGTTGTTATGGCCATGCACCTCGCCTTGCCCGCTCTCCACCTCATGGCACCTCTTTCGGATGGTTTGCTTTTCCCTCTTCCCACCCGTGCATCCTAACCCACGGTATCTCAGGCCTGTATCCTTCATCCAGAAGAGGCCGCCCAATTTCTCCATCACTTAACATACGAGCGTGGGCAAGATTGGTTCAAATAGTATAATTAGTATCAACCCTAACCCTATTTACACCAATCTTGCCCACGCTCCTAAGGTAAAAGATGGAGAAATCTGGCGGCCAACGTACGAATAATGCTTTCCGAGACATCGCACTACCAACAGGAAGACAACATCCCATACACCCAAACTCAAAACCCCCAGCCTTGATACCCTTACTACAGAAAAACGCTAAAAACAGTCAGGAAACCAGATTGCCGCAAAACAACTTCTACCCCGTATTAACAAGACCGGGGAGCAATAAATTTAGCACAAATCATGCAGTCCCCATAACTAAATAAAACGCTCGACAGAGTCAGGTAAGAAAAATTGCCACGAAAAGACTTCTGCTCTGGAGCCACAATTCCCAACAAATTGTAAACAAGACCAGGGCGTAATAAAGTTTACAGAAATTAAGCCCCCGGTTCTAACACACGCTCGACAGAGTCAGGTAACAAAAATTGCCGTAAAACAACTTCTGCTCTGAAGCCACAAAACACAGTGTAAACAATACCAGGGCGTGAACATTTTAGCGAAATTAAGCCCCTGGTTCTAGTACACGCTCGACAGAGTCAGGCAACAAAAATTGGCCGTAAAACAACTTCTGCTCTGTAGCCACAAAACACATTTATTTGGAACAAAAACTGTGGGTTTTTGCTAAAAACATCAACGAAAGCATAAGCCAAACAATAGTTCACTCATGAAAATGCAGCAGCATGCAAGTAAAGCAAATTCAGGCTCTGATTCCGCATGAATAAAACTAGCATTAAAGCACGAAGACTAAACAGCGTAGACCAAAATAACTGAAAACCCCGCATGCGGAAGTAAGAAACCGGACATACTGCGAGAACTGAACAAGAACTGACTGCTATCCCGCTAGAGCCGCTCAATAAGATTGGAGAAAAAACCGAGGCCAGTGAAAGTACCACTCACGGGATCCATCAGAAAGATAAATGCTGAAATTAGGGAATTGCAACCTGAAAGATAAAGTGGTACTGTGAGGACAATATAGGAAAAGACGCGGCTCGAGGGATAGCAGTCTTACGCGCCGGCAATCCGACAGGGAATTGGACTCGTAAGACTGAAATACCGGCAGCGGCTGCAGAAAAAGAATAAAAAGAAAAGAATTGAAAACAAATACAGCTAAAGCAATGAATATGGCTAAGAAAATACTGCAGACAAATGGGGAAAAGTACAGAAAATACTGACCTTGAAAATACATGTGACCAGACCGAATGTCGAACCAGCTGTCGAACACGTGGCAACCTATATAAAATCTAGGTTGCAAAACGAGACACACTTACCGCGAGAATAGCCCAAGAAATTGAGGAAAATGGAAATAAAAACAGGATGCAGAAAGGAAGCGGCGAACGCCAATGAAGTAAAAGGGGAAAGGCGAAAGGGTGCGTGAGGAGGGAAGGAGTTTGCCGAGCACGTTTAATGAAGCCATGATGAGACCTGTGTGACTTGTCTCAAAGATGATCATGAATGCATGGTGTATGTGTAGCAGTATATATAGTCGCTTGGGCAAGACCGCTGTAAATAGTCTGGGATTAAGTGGTGTCTTGGAACACAAATACAAACTGTCGCAAATTGAGTAAAAAAAGAGTCTCTCGCTAACCCGAGTTTAAACATCTTTTTTCTCTTTACGAGAATCGGGTTCTTTGCTTTGGAAACGGCTTTGAGCATGATGGCGCGATCAGGAAGTCTCATCTTTGTCAGTTGAGCAGAGTGTGCAGTCATGGCATCACGGAATGCTTCCTGTAACAAATAATATATTATAGCAACCACACTCTCTTTCAAAAACAAACTTCAGTGTTAATGCTTGGTATTACAGTATGCAGCATAGCGACAGTGCTGGGATCTTGTTCTTACGTTAAGGTTACGAAAACCGTGTAGAACACAAAAACTGAGTCACAGGGAAGCACTGCTCAGCAGCTTTCACGGTTTCAGATGTATATTTTATCTTCTAGAGGTCCTTTATACAGCATAATAAACAGAGCAACATAAAGCCATGCAGACTTAAAGGAAATGACCACTCTTTCAGTAATTAACAGGCAAGAGATATGCTTGGTAGCTTTCAACCGAATGGTGTAAGTTAGCACTAAGATTTCATCCACAGAATTAAAAGTTAGAATAATCGTTGACATCTCAGGAGCAAGTGGGAAAACACTCTTCGGTAGTTTCAGGAGCCATAACCTGCTTCACCCCGATTATGGCTCCTGGCAGCTTCCGTTTCAGTGGTAACACAAAACTTTAATCATGGACTGATATTCCACCTTTTGCGGGCATAGGAAGCAATATTACACCCAGTGCTGAGTAGCATTTATAACATGATCAAAAATATAAATTGAAAACAAACCTCGTCTGATACAATAATTGAAGGAGAATCAAGTGGAACATCTGGAACGACTCCTTCATTTAACCATGAGTGTTCAAGCAACTCGGTAACAGCCATTCTTTGAGCTGGTTCCACCCGTAATAAACTACAAAAAGATCGTTATCAATACTGAATTAGAAAAGAAAAAGAAGAACCTTGCGAGGAATACAGCTAATCATAGAAGGGTGAAGCGGGGAGATAAGTTAAACGGTCAGGGTTAGGGTTAAGGTTATTTTTTGTTTTCACAACCAAAACAACTCAACCTCGTCCCCAGGTCTTCTCGGTTAACGGTGCCTTAACCTGATAACCTGCACGAACGCTGCATTTTTGACGTCATTTCCTCGTTAAACACAAAATTCTTCCAAATTTGGTCATCAGAAACTGGTTATGGTGAATTATGCGTGTGCTTTTAGCCAATCAGAATCGGGGAAATATTTCGAATGAATAATAATTATTGTTAACAGGCAAGATTTAGATATATTCCTCGTTCAGTTATTGATGTATTTCCCGCCGGGTTAGTCATGCAGCCACTTGGGCTAAAACACAAATAAACAGGGCGAGGGCGTTTCCGAAAATGATGAGACGGAATTAAATCGTGGTGAAGGAATTCTTACGACTTCAGTTACATAGGTGTAATGTCTTAAAGACGGCAAATTTAATTAACATATTAACTTAATAAAACAAACTTTTTGTGGAAACCTTCAATTGCTTTCAGCAAAAAGCCAAAAAATTTAACGGTAACTACGATCGGAAAGTTGAAAAGAAATGACAACTATAACTACTCTACCTTCATATTGCAGAAAAATGGTTTCATTACATTATCACTGTGGTTCGATTCATATTGTTAAGGTGACATACCTTGCTATAACTTCTTTGGCTTCTGGTGATATTTTGGACCATTCCTTTTCAGGATAGTCGTACTCTCCAGCCATAATTCTCCGCTTCATTCCTTGTGAGAGCTGTTTACGAGGTACCTCTGAATAGAATGGTGGGTATCCACATAACATGATGTAGATGACCACACCTAACGACCACATGTCACAACTCTGTGGGGGTGAAATACACAGAGAGGTTGGTAAAGCTCACGTCACATGCCAGAAAAACAGGGTAGAAAGTACTAGTCTGCTTTGTCTTGTAGTATAAATAAACTAGCGTCCAATTGAAACCAATGTTAAACATGTTAGAATGTGTGCGTGTATGTGAAACAACTTCAACCGGTAAATTTCTGATCCTGCTCGCTCCATTTGCTGAGGTTCAATTAGACGCATTCACAAAAAAGGTTCCTGACTCACGTGAGCTTATTATGGCATTCTTATCAGCGGAACAAGTCGACCGCGAAAACATAGGATTTAGAAGGCTAGCTAAGGCTCATCGATTGATGTGTAAATTCGGATGAAAGAATTTTAAAAAAAGTTATGGGCAGTTTAACGTAAACCTTTCTGTCGCAAAAGATACCGTCCTCTGATTTGAACCAAATGTTTCGTTGACGTTTCGCGTATAAGAAAACGAAAAGACGAATTATAGACGGGTTCTGTAATTCTATCCTTGTTTTCACAGTTTTAACAAGAACTACAGATAGACGAATAAGAAGGTGCCCTCCCAAGGTAAGATAAAGTTATTCGTTAGTTTGCACCAGAGTCTGCACCAAGGATGACGCTAAAAACGACTTGACATCATGTAAGTAATATAAAAGTAATAAGTAACAGGCCAGTCGACAGCTTTTACTAATCCTACCTTGTCGTATGTGTATGGTTTGGTTAAAAAAGGAAATCTCCCAGACTTTTGAGCACGGTGAATCCTTTGGGCTTCCAGCACCTAAGCGAAAAGCGCAAACCATTGTTATTTACACGCACAATAACATTCAATAGTGACAGTAGATTCTCAAGTTTAATAGTGAGGAAGTAAATAGGAGATGTCCATCAACCGGGAGCCTTTAATACACGCGTATTTTTCGGTTGAGAGATAACCGCCGTGATTATAGGGTTAGGGTGCGCATGATCGCAGGCTAGGTAGCAATAAAGGCTCACAGGTTTTTGGTGCTGATCTTCTTGCGAGTAGTCGCTACTTTTTATTTTGAAAGCAGGGGAATATTTGGAAAAGCAGCCCTGAGCAAGTGTAATTAATCGGACGGGCATAAGACGAATGGACAAAGAGGGGGGAGAGGAGGGGAAAGAAATGAAACATCCTTTTCGAGCAGGTGTTTAGATGTTTTTCGCCTGTCTCACCCTGCACTCTTCCCGGTGTCCAGCCTCGTACCCAGGCCAGTTCACGTCTCCCGACAAGCTTGACAGGTGACGTCTCATCCGAAATCGCCAAGGACCACTGGGAACGAGGTTACCCGGTCTCTTGTGACTTACGCGATAGCCTAAGCGAAATCTAGTGGTTCCAGAAAATATCCATACCACCCCAACGGAGGGGATCTACCATATGATCCCGCCTCCCCTCTAGATTTTCCAAAATCGACCCACAAAATGTACCCCCCCCCCCGCTCCTCCTCGGAATTTCCAAAATTTTCTCACACCCCCTGGAATTATTGCTATCTCTTATTGAAGTGAACAAATAAATAGGTTTGTTCACTAGGATGCGAATTTTGTGAGTTTCATGTATTTTCTGTTAAATTCTATAACAGATAAGCGAATTCCTTATGCGAACTCCTTATTTGCTCAAGTCACGAACAAATTTTGTGAGTTTCATGTATTTTCTGTTGAATTCTACGACAGATAGCGATTCCTTATGCATTCAAGTCATGAAGAAATTGTTGAACAAGTTCTCAGCCACACGCAAATGAAATTCGTGGGAAATATAACTGTAATTTTCTCTCACTGCATCAAGAAGAAAGTAAAAGTTGAAGAAGTATAACCAAAGAGATCAGGACATCGTCACGCGAGTATCGAATTTCGTTTTACCAAATTTGCATATTGGATGACAATTTTTTTTGGAACGGATAGCCCGAGCCGTTCAAACGAATACCAAATTCGTTCGAACGGCTATCCGTTCGAAAATGGCAAACCATAAGGAACGTTTTCGCGTGAGAGGTCACTCCAAGGGACTGACAAAATATCTTTGCTAGCTATGTTCATTAATCCTTATCCTTCGCAAATAAATTGTCGTGGTAAACTTTTGTGTTTTTTCTTTGTTACTCTCTTACGCGTCACTAAAACACTCTGGAAATATTTCCCTATGGGGTACCCCCACCTCCGCACTGAAAAATTAGGCACATTGACCACCCTGTCCCCCTTGGAAAATCAGATCCCTTCCGTGCGAGTGGTATAGATATTTTATGGACTCTAAACCTTCTATACTAAAAGATCTAGATAAGGCGTGGGCCGACTGCAACGCGGGCCAGACCCGCCTCCCCTTCAGAAAACGCATTCACTCAGAATGAATGGTGAATGATTTCTTAGAGTTTAAATGGAAGCCCATGATGACCGTTAAATCTTTTACACACACTAAATAGCGTCAAGTATGAAGCATAAACGAGCAGAGGATTTAGGAGAAGGCATTTGCCCATTTCAGCTGACTTCCAATTTTAAAAACCCCAGCCCTCATCCACTAGCAAGAAATCGCTCAGATCGGCTCAGCGTCAGATCTCAGCCCCCTCCTCTTAAAGTTTTAGGCTCTGTCCGGACATTTTTTAAACCACTATTTTTAACCCGAATTTGTGTTTCCGAGCTCTTATATCACTCTGGAGAGTCGTTTCAAAAAGATACGTTTCCGGTGGGCGGATTCAGTGGTTTTTGTATGTTCAAAAACCGGAAAGTGTCTTTGATCTGGTGACCCTTCCTACTAAATACAAAAATTATAAAAAATGTTTGCGTGAAGAGAAATATACTATGTACAATATTGTTACAACCAAAAGAACAATTCGTCATTTTGCGTTCAGTACCCAAGTTGTCGTTTGGAACCTTCTTGTTGGAATACTATAACAATACTAACGAGTCCCGCCTTTTTCCACATATTAACTCAAAAGTTGTTTGCGAACCAGTTAGTTATGAATATTTTACAAAGGCTTTCAAACAAAAGACGTATACTTAACACCTCTTCCTCAAAAAATCATGAACAGACTACGTTTCTACGGTCCGATTGAGAAACTCCGATGGACAGGGTTTCATTCTCCAAACACAGACCAGTTCAATAAAAAGTTCTCAAAACACAACTAAATGGCAAAAACAGAACTTCTTTGGCTGAACTCAACTTATCTTTACAGCTTTGATTGATCCGGAGAAGATCAATTAAAACAAACCAAAAACTGTCCTTTGTTTGAACACTAAAATAAATTAAATCCCCAATTCAATCAAAAGAAAGAATTTAATCAAATCGAACTTCAGCACTTGCGTATCCGAAACGTGACGTCCAAAAAGAACATCTCAATCAACCAAACTAAGTAATAACTACCAATAAGCTTTGTACAACTGGTATAGAAAAATTATCGATCGAACACAAATATCGCAAACGTAAAAATATCAACATTCACAATACTTGATGATTACGTAAACAAAAACTCGTTGTTAATGGCAACGATTAATGAGTTTCAAAGTTCGTAAAAATAAGTCCCAATTCACTTTTCAAATACGGTAAAATTTACCGTTTTACACTGTAAGAAAACGCACAGATATCAAAATGTCGATCCTTAACATTTTATTTATCAATCTCTCTCCATGACGCTACGAAAAACATTGAGACAAAATGCAATAGTCTGACACTGCAAAGATCACATCTGATCAAACACTTGGATTCTGTTGTTACGACTGTCAGACACAACCACTCTTCCATCACCAAGACTTGCTGTAGCGATTGGAAACTTAAACTCTCCTGCCCTACTACCTCTACTTCCAAACTTTGTGACAAAATTCCCGCTCAGGTCAAATACCTGGACTCTGTGGTTACCGTTATCACAAACCATTAGCAAGCCTTCTTTGTTAACTGACAAGAAGGTAGGGTTATTGAACTCTCCATCCTTGTTCCCCTTCATTCCAAATTTAAATATAAAGTTACCCTTAAGGTCGAACATTTTGATGCAATGATCACCCAAGTCTGAAACTATATAATATTCTCCCTGTTGGATACAGTGCCAGGGATCAAGCAAGGAACCTTTACTGCCAAATTCAAATATGCATTCTCCATTAGGGGAAAATATCTTGATCAATATTTCATTAATAAAACGATCAACAACAATAATATCACCGTCACTAGTTAATGATACACCTTCAGGACCTCTGAGTTGGTGATCTTGACTTCCCTTTTCACCAAACTTACTAAGAAACTTGCCCTTTCTACTGAGTACTTGGATCCTGTGGTTACCAGAGTCTGCCACGATAATATTGCCATGTTTATCAAACGTGACCCCTCGAAGCCAGTTAAATTCACCATTATTACTACCCGCCTTACCAAATGATCTTAAGTGGGTACCATCACTACTGAATACTGACACTCTGCTGTTATCAGTGACTGCTATTTCGTCACGATCATTCACTGCCACCCCCCAGGGTGTTTGAAGCTTTCCAACAGACTTGCCTTCCTCTCCGAAAGACAGCACAGGTCTGAAACACTTTGCTTGAGCTTGTTGCGCTTTAGTTCCATTGAAAGCAGTTTTAACATTACCTATACCTTCAGTCTTCAATATGTTGATAAGATTTACATTGTCAATATAGCTAAAACGGGGAATGCTAGAGTCAAAGTTAACTTGTACGCCATGTTCTTGAAGGATTGTAACAAATGTTGTACTCAATCGTAAAATTTCAGTGTTGGAGCTTTGTTCCAACAAAGTCTCAGCTCGGTTGATTGCAGATTGAATCTTTTTCAGCTCATCTTCAATTTGGTCTTTCTTCAATGCGAGTCCTTTGAGGCAGTCGTTTGCTTCTTTGTCAGCAGCATTAAAAATATCCTGTTTCTTCGCTTCGATGACGGCAATTATTTGTTCCACGCTGTTCTGTATTTTGCTTTTCACGTCAGCCACTTGCACTTGAACTTCAATACTGTCTTGCTCGATTTTCTCAACTTGATTTCTCTTTTCTTGTTCTATATCTTTCAGTGATTTAATGCGAGACACGATTTGTAGTTTCTTCTCATTTGCTTCTGTTTCCAGAATCACCTTCGCATGTCCTTCATGTTCTGTGACAGCACAAGCGTTACAAATGGCGACTTGACACACCTTGCAAAAGAACTCTAACTCTTTGTTTTCGTGGTTCTTCGTCTGGCAAAAGGCAGGTCGCTTTAACACCGCCTCGATATCTTGATCTTGGAAGTCTTTCAAGGCAAGTGTCTTGTGCTGTTTGTTTGCTCGGATGATGTTGTGAGCTGAAATACATTCTGCACACCAGAAAGAACAACATTGAAAGCAATACAAAGTTTCGGCTCTTCGCTTGTCGCAATTTCCACATTTCACGCCGGCGGTGTTGCACTCTTTGATCGCCAAAACATCTAGCAATCTGTTAATGCGAAAGTTTGTGGGAAATCCGCTGGGGTTTCCACTTCCAGGGATGTCAAACTGTTTCCTGCACTCAGGACATGTAATTTTACCATGGATGCCGCTTGTTCTTTGAATCCCATTCAGACAGTTGAGGCAGAAACTGTGCAAGCAAGGCAACTGCTTTGGTGTAGTAAACATGCACATGCACACAGAACAGGATACTTCTTCGTGAAGATTATATAACAAGGTCTTAATATCCATGATGAATTGTCATTAACAGAAAAATGGCTCGCAGACTGTAAAGGGTGACCCGGCGAAATCGAGTCTTGCGACCTCATCACATCATGTTAGTTAACCAATCACAAACAGCTCCTTGAAATGTTTTGACATTTTCCTGACTTATGAGAATGATTTAATTCTGGACTTCTAGGAATTCGTTAATCTGCTTAGATAAACATGACCAACTAATAATATTTACAGTGAAAGGAGCGAGCTTTTGTGAAGGTGATATTTTGTGGACAAACCTGGGGTTACAACACATCACATAATCAGTCTGATATAATAATACATAATACCCCGACCTGAAAACACCCTAACTGGCAAGAATTAAGAAGGTATGTTCAAAATTATTGACAAACTAAGAAAACCATGAACCCATGAAATATTTCCGAAATGTTGATTAATCATGACAAATCAGAGTGGACATCCAGTCACCCGACCGAGAAACCACAAACTAGTGTGTATGTAGCCTTCGTCCTTGCTGACAGGTGTCAAGAGAGGATCGGAGAGGAGCAAGGGAAAAAAGGACAAGGGATTAAAGACAGGAAAACTCGCCGCTCTCCCTTTTCCCTTTCGCTATTTTTCTCTTCCTCTCTTCCCCTTTAAGCTTTTTGCGCCTGCCAAGTAAGCTAGCGCGCCCGTTAATTCTTACTCTATGCCTTTTTCTTCTTCTCTTTCTCGTCGCTTTACACATACAAGCAAATAGTTTGAATCCAGTCCGCTATTGTTTGTTGCCATAACAATGTCTTCGAAACAGTTTGGGGGTGGGGAATTTTCAGCTTGCAGGAATTTTTTTTTTTCGCTCACTGCTTGTGCAGGAATTTTTTTTTTTCGCTCACTGCTTGTGCAGGAATTTTTTTTCAGGTGAACCCCTCTGCACGAATTTTTTTTTTTGTCAAATATTTTTTTTTTTTTTTTTGAACAGTGAAATCTTGATTCATTATCTATGTTTACAACAGATCAAAGGATACAGGCCACTCTAATGCAAAATGTTTTCGAAAATGTACACACAATGAGAGAGGAGGAAGCCACTTGGAGTGGACGGCTTCCCTGTGCATTTTTTCAGTCCCTGCCCTCTGGAATTCCTCTCCTACAGTCCATCATAATGATGCCATACTCCATTCACCAAAACAACAAGAAATAAGCGTTGATAAGCCAAACACAACTCATAAGCTCGTTATAATGTGAAACGTGACCTTGAAAGTCTGCTTGAACAGTGGTTCTCTTTCTTTTTTCTCTCGCGCGAAGTTTACTAGCACTACACAGTGCAAGACGTGTAGCATTCTAAACTTTGACTGAGTAAATCTTGTTTTTGCCGCACTAAGTCTTATATTTAGAGGTCAGGAAGCCGGTTTGTTACATGCATACTGAGTAATCATTTCCTGTGGTTTATGCTTCTGTTGGTGTCCCTAATAAGATTTGATTTCAGATGCAGTTGTAAAGTGTTTTATATCCTTTGAACTCTGTTTATTACGGCTGAATAAAGATTTTTTTTTTTGTTTTCTCCGAAGTGACTGTACCTGAATAACTATATGCATGCATGCAAGTTTCTTTGTCCGTGAATGTGATTATTTCCTGCCATGTGAGTATGACTCTTGGCCCAGCTCTGTAGTGTGGTTTGCAGGATTTTGAATTTCCACGGATGGTGCGATCTTCAGATTTGAGTTGTACACTGTATCTAAAACTAAAGCTACACCAAGTTTGGAGAAATATGCCGTGCGTCAGTCAAGATAATTCTCTTAGCGCTCACACAGTCCATTTAGTTTTTCTTAACATAAGTGAGTCTTTGAACTAGAGCGCGATGTCTTGTTGTTCCTTCGGAGGTATTTACTTAAGTTTTTGCTTAACAGTCGTCTATGCGACTGCTATGAATTCTTACGCAAGACTGCGGTTTCAGAACTATAGCGTTCCTCGTCAGTTGCTACTATGGTAAAGACTTAGGTACAAAGAGCGAAGCAGGCTGTTTAAATAGTGGTGGCTAGGATCGAAAATACTAACTTGCCACTGGCTGCAAAAGTGACCAATAGCGTGGGTGTATCTTTTTGTGGGCACAAATAATTTTATAGAATATTTACAAAGCTACCAAATTCTAATACTACAAATTTTATTTTATTATTTTTATTATAATACAGTATACAGTGTATGTTGTAGGTACACTAGCTGCAATTTAAAACAAAAGCAAGGTTCTAATTGTCTCCTTTCATAAGAAGAAAGTGATTTTTGTTTATTCATATAGTGCCTGGTAATATTGTTGATTTCTGAACCTCAGACTTTCTGAAAGAAACTCAGACTTTCTGAAAAAGTCACAATTGGACCTTCCTTCTGCATGAATTTTTTTCTTTACCTTCTCCTTTGCATGAATTTTTTTTCTTGGCATTTTCCCTTGCATGAATTTTTTTTGGGTTTTTTCCCCCCCCCCCCCCCCATCACTTTTCTCATGGTCCGTCCCTAACCAATATGTTACGCACTAATTGTGGGAAACGCGATTATTGTAGGCCTTTGGGCCAGGCGCGCTTTTCCCTCGCGCGCGTCGTCCTCTCTCGCGGCACCACTGCCAATGGCAAGTCTTCAAAGCGTGAATAGATTACCAAATACGAGGGTTTTCATTGCAGCTGAAAAATGGATGGTTAGAAGTACTGGAGTTGGTGGCCATATTTCTCTTCAAAACAGGAACCTGCGACGCTAAAAACTCTTGACAGTTTTTCGTAGAAGCTATATTTTGCTTTATTAAGATTTGTTTCCAAAAGAGAGGGACAAATACAAAGTAAGTTTGATGAATAGAAGTTCTTTAATATCACCGCGCACTCAGCTTAAAATTGTTCTTCTTAAAGTGCCAACTGTATTCGCCGTAAGTTTCTGATTACTCTGTTTTTTGCAATAAAGCTTTAGCTAGGAATATCATTTCAGATAGGAGGTAGTCTGTCGGCAGTCGTCCTCTATTTGTGCGTCATCTTCCAGAAATGTGTTAGCGCAGAATTTTAGGCTTAAATTTGACCAGGATTTTGTGCAGCGAGTTCTACGGTCACGACTGCCTTCAGACTTGCAGATGTAAAACTAGAGAGCTCTGAGGCTTATTTGCTAAAGTTAGGGAAAAATCTGTCGTGGGATTTAGAAGTTATCTACATTTTTCGTAAAAATGCGGTTTTAAATATGTGCCGATATCTCAAAGGTTTTTATACCCAGAAGAAAATATATCACATTTTCTTTAAGTTCCATTATTGTTTATTAAGGACAACCTCGTTCCCCCCTGGGAACGAGGTTATATTAAGGATGCTAAAAATCATAGAAATCGTTTGAATCTTTCATTCTGAAAAACGCAAATCAAAAACATAACCAACACGCATATAAACAGGTTCGGGCCACCTTAATAGGGCGGGCATAAGACGAATGGACACAGAGGGGTGAGAGGAGGGGAAAGAAATGAAACATCCTTTTCGAGCAGTTGTTCAGATGTTTTTCACATGTCTACCCCGCACTCTTCCCGGTCTCTTGTGACTTACGCGATAACGCGAGCGAATTCTAGTGCTCGCGTGACCCGCATTAGCCTGCGTCGCGCGCAAACAATCTAAACCTTCTATACTAATGGTCTAGATAAGGCGTGGGCCGGTGCAACGCGGGCCAGACCCGCCTCCCCTTCAGAAAACGCATTCACTCAGAATGAATGGTGGATGATTTCTTAGAGTTTAAATGGAAGCCCATGATGACCATTAAATCTTTTACACACACTAAATTGCGTCAAGTATGGAGCAAAACGAACTAGAAGACTCGCAAGCGAAAACGAGCAGAGGATTTAGGAGGAGGCATTTGCCCATTTCAGCTGACTTACAATTTAAACCCCAGCCATTATCCACCACGCCACTTCCCAAGGTCAACGAACGCCCTTAACTAATGTAGCCTGCGAACGGCAGACGTATTTCCGGTCGTCGCTTCTCTCCCTCCGTGAAACTAGAGTAGAAAAAACCGGATGCTCTCGCAGGCTACAACAAATGGCGCAGAAGGAGAAAGAAAACACTAAGATCTCAGCCCCCTCCTCCTGAAGTTTTATGCTCTCTCCACACGAATCCGGACATTTTTGAAACCGCATACTTTTTTACCCATCTGTGATCTGTGTTTACGGGGCTCTTATATCACTCTGGAGAGTGGTTTTGAATAGATACGGTTCCGCTGAGCGGATTCGCTGATTTTTGTATGTTCAAAAACCGGAAATTGCCTTTGACCTGGTGACCCTTCCTCTTCCCACCCCCCTCTTCTTCCCAACCCATCAAACGTTACAGGATATATCTCATTTGTATTTTCTATTTTCTCAGCAGACAGGCATATATTGCACAGATGACGTAAAGACTTACTTATTTTCACCAAAATCATTGAACATTTTTCAACTTCGCAGCTGCACCTCGACCTCAGAGACATTAGAGGGCGGAAGTGTGCGCGAATAAAATAATCAGAAAAGAAAATTATCACTGCTGCTACTCCTAGTGATAAAATACTCAAAAATAAGTATAACAACCTCAACGATCGTATTACTAGCAAACTAAGAATAAGATTTACACTTCGAACAATAAATAAGGACAGTAATAAATTGTCGAATTGTCAATCTTTGTTCAAAACACTCTAACTGAAACTTACATTCTGATAAAAAGCACTTTATTCTGATAAAACAAACTATAAGCAAAAGCACAGATATCAAAATCTCGATCCTTCACAGTTTATTATCAATCTATCTCCATAACGCTACGAAAAACATTGAGACAAAATTCAATAGTTTGAGACTGGTAAGATCACATCTGATCAAACACTTGGATTCGGTGGTTACGACTGTCAGACACAACCACTCTTCCATCACAAAGACTTGCAATAGCGACTGGAGTTCGAAACTCTCCTGCCCTACTACCTTCACTTCCAAACTTTGTAATAAACTTCCCGTTCAGGTCAAATACCTGAACTCTATGGTTAAAGTAATCACAAACCATTAACAACCCTTCTTTGTTAACTGACAAGAAGGCAGGCTTTTTGAACTGTTCATCCTTGTTCACCTTCATTCCGAATTTAAATGCAAAGTTACCCTCACGGTCAAACATTTTGATGCACTGATCTTCAAAGTCTGAAACAATAAAATATTCTCCCTGCTGGATACAGTGCAAGGGATCGACCAGTGAACCTTCACCGCCAAATTTATGTAAGCATTCTCCACTAGAAGAAAATATCTTGATAAGTTTATTAGAACGATCAACAACAATAATATCACCGTGTCTAGTTATTGACAAACCATGAGGACAGTTAAGCTGGTGATCAAGACTTCCCTCTTTACCAAACTTACTAAGAAATTTACCATTCCCACTGAATACTTGAATTCTGTGGTTACCAGTGTCTGCCACGATAATATTGCCATGTTTATCAAAAGCGATTCCTCGAGGACAGCTAAATTCACCATTTTCACTACCTTTACTACCAAATGATCTTAAGTGGGTACCATCACTACTGAATACTGACACTCTGCTGTTATTATGCTCAGTAACTGCTATTTCATCACGATCATTCACTGCCACCCCCCAAGGAGTTTGAAGCTTTCCAACAGACATAGCAAACCCTCCAAAAGACAGCAAAGGCCTGAAACACTTTGCCGGTTGCGCTTTAGTTTCAGTGAAAACAGTTTTAACATAACCTATACCTTCAGCCTTCAACAGGTTAATAAGCTCTACGTTGTCAATATAGCTAAAACGGGGGATGCTCTTAGAGTCATAGTTAACTTTTACGCCATGGTCTTGAAGGAGTGTATCAAGTGTTTTACTCAATCCTAAAATTTCAGCACTTGAGCTTTGTTCCAACAAAGTCTCGGTTCGTTTGATTGCAGATTGAATCTTTTTCAGCTCATCTTCAATTTGGTCTTTCTTTAATGTGAGTCCTTTCAGGGAGTCGTGTGCTTGTTTATCAACTGCATTAAAAATATCCTGTTTCTCCGCTTCGATGATCGCAATTAATTGTTCGGCGCTCGTCTGTACCTTGCCTTTCACGTCAGCCATTTGCACTTGAACTTCAATACTGTCTTGCTTTATTTTCTCCACTTGATTTCTCTTTTCTTGTTCTATATCTTTCAGTGATTTAATGCGAGACACGATTTGTAGTTTCTTCTCATTTGTTGCTGTTTCCAGAATCACCTTCGCATGTCCTTCATGTTCTGTAACAGCACAAGCGTTACAAATGGCGACTTGACACACCTTGCAAAAGAACTCTAACTCTTTGTTTTCGTGGTTCTTCGTCTGGCAAAAGGCAGGTCGCTTTAACACCGCCTCGATATCTTGATCTTGGAAGTCTTTCAAGGCAAGTGTCTTGTGCTGTTTGTTTGCTCGGATGATGTTGTGAGCTGAAATACATTCTGCACACCAGAAAGAACAACATTGAAAGCAATACAAGGTCTCCGCGCTTCGTTTGTCGCAGTTTCCACATTTCACGCCTGCGGTGTTGCACTCTTTGATCGCCAAAACATCCAGCAATCTGTTAATGCGAAAGTTTGTGGGAAATTCGCTGGGGTTTCCACTTTCAGGAATGTCAAACTGTTTCCTGCACTCAGGACATGTAATTTTACCACGAATGCCGCTTGTTCTTTGAATCCCATTCAGACAGTGTAGGCAGAAACTGTGCAAGCAAGGCAACTGCTTTGGTGTAGTAAACGTGCACATGCACACAGAACAGGATACTTCTTCGTGAAGATTGTGCAACACGGTCTTAATATCCATGATGAATTGTCAGTGTTGCGCTTGATAAACAGAAAAATTGCTAGCAGACTGTAAAGTTGGGCAGCGAAATCAAGTCTTGTGACCTCGTCACATCATGTAAGTTAACCAATCACAAACAGCTCCTTGAAATGTTTTGACATTTTGCTGTTTAATTCTGGATTTCTAGGAATTGCTAATTTGCTCAGAAAAGCATGACCAACAAATAATATTTATAGTCAAAGGAGCGAGCTTTTGTAAAGGTGATATTTTCTGGGCAAACCTGGGGTTACAAGACATAATCAGTCCATTATCTGACCTGAAAACACCCTAACTGGCAAGAATGAAGACGGCATCTTCAGAGTTATTGTCAAACTATGAAAACCATGTACCTCTGAAATATTTCGGAAATGTTAATTAATCGTGACAAATCAGAATCGAATGGACATCCGGTCACCCGATCGAGAAACCACAAACTGGCCGGTGTGTATGTAGCCTTCGTTCTAGCTGACAGGCGCCAAGAGAAGAGAGGGGAAAGGGAAAAAGGACAGGGGATTAATAAAGAGAGGAAAACTCGCCTCTCTCCCTTTTCCCTTTCGCCATTTTGCCCTTCCTCTCTTCCCTGCGCCTGCCAAGTAAGCTAACCTGTACGTTACGCGCTGTCGGAAACGCGATTATTGTAGACCTTTGGGCCAGGCGCGCTTTTCCCTCACGCGCCTCCTCCTCTCTCGCGGTACCACTGCCGTTTTTATTTGTACTCTTAACTTCCCATGCGATTTACGCGAGAAAGTCCGAATAAAATAAGTGTTAGTCAAACATTACAAACAAGTCACGGCACCGGTCAGTAGGCTACCAGAGGAGCTATGATTACAACGAAACAGTGAAAAAAACAAACGCTTCCGTTCGTGGAACAAACGACAAAAATGTGCACTAAACCACAGGTCTAAAAAATCCAGGCCTCTTGTGGTCTATATATCTGGCGAACGATTTCAAGCGACTAAACCGTGAGTATATGTACTTCATACGAGAATGCAATCGCAGACCAACCCACAGGGTTGCTGTAGACGTTCTTCTTATTTTCGTATTAAGGGTAGAAAAGACAGAGCCAGAGAGTCGCTGTTTGAAACTAGCATTCGCGTAAAAATTGACCACAACAGTACCCCATGGTTGCTCTGTTTGGTGTTCCCTATTGGTTGAGGACGGACAATGGGCCTCAGTTTGCCTCGGAGGATTTTGAAACGGTTTCTCCGATCGTAGGGTGTTGAACAACGGAGAAAGACGCCCCTGTGAACTCAAGCCAACGGAGAAGTTGAATGCCAGAATCGCGCTCTCTGCTCAAAAGATATGGTTTTGGTGCCGGCGCAAGAGCTGGGCATAGTGCATACATAACGGACTGAATTTGATTTAAATCAGAGGGACACTTTACTGAAATTAGTAGACCCTGATCGTTCAGTACTTTCTAAAACTGGAAGAGAACTAAATCATTTTGAGTTATTTTATTTTTACCTGAGGTGACACGTAATAAGGAGTGAATTGTGGTGTAACCAGATCTCCTCTGTCAATCTTGGCAAATCCAAAATCTGCAAGCTTGATAATCACGTTCTGTAATAATTTTAAAAACAAAAACAATGTATGTAAAATTGCAGCCGGAATCAGATTAATTCTCATCCAGACGCCATTTACAGCTCCATCATTTTCTTCTGAGGCCTGTTTCTGGAGAGTCCCGGTAACGTTTCGGGCCCATAAATAAATATTCAGATTAAAATCTAAAGAATAAAAGAACAGGTCCAAACTAATAATTGAGTCCAGTTAATTTTGTTTTGTTAACTGATATTGTCATATTATCAACATATCATATTAAACAACAACAGCTTTCTGGGCCCCGGGTTATGTTGTCGAGAAATGTCCGTTCGAAGCTATTAACATGTTTAAAAAAAGAAGAAGCCATCTTCTTGTCATCGTTCGGACGAAGAAAAAAAGAAACAATTCATCCACATCTTTGCTTGCAATCGGGAAACTACGCTAAGTGCTTTCCTTCCTGATGTAAGAATACATTTTTGGGGTTCGGTTACGCCTAGAACGCGAAATTTCCAGCAAAGAGTAGGCTTGATTTTCGAATAAATATATAATTCCGTTCTGTTCACCGTTTTTAGTTTTACTTTTTGTACATAGTAAACAGAAAATTCAAAACTGAAACAAAAAAATTTAAAAAGTAAATTTATTTAGCTTACCTCACTTTTGTCAAGAAGGAGTAAGTTTTCTGGTTTGAGATCTCTGTGAGCGACATTGAATGAATGGCAGTGGTAAATGGATAAGGCAATCTGAAACAAATGTACAATTTTAAGGTTTCAGGTTCCTTAAAAGTTCCCACTTTCACACCAAAAAAGTTGTTTATAATTCCTTGATACAATGATTGAAACAATGATTGGTAGAAGCCAAAACAGGCATATTTTTTATCCCCTAAAATTTTTCATCTGTTCGGATTTCCTAGCTGGCTGCCCCCTGCGTCTCGAACAAAAACAACAACTGCAAAATGTTGCAAATTCTAATTAAAGATAATTAAAAAGGATATGTTCGAAAAAGAACTCACAAGAAATTTTACAAAAATGTTCCGAAAATTCTAGATCTCAAATCGTCTTCCGAACAAATGAACAGCCTCTTTCTCTGTGAATCGTCGTTTTGTTCTCACAAGCTCAAAAAGTTCACCCCCCTCCATCAATTCCATAACCATCAAAATCCTGGGACTGGAAAACAGGTTTGGAAATACCATCTCAGTTAAAACACTTGACACGTCATTATCCCTTCAGTATGTACCCGGTATTTGTCTTTGAGGACTTGACGCTTGTTGCCCTACCTCAGCCTACCTTGCACACAGTAGTTAACTGAAGACAAGCTGATAAATTCAACAAGGTATTTTTGTTAGAAGCAATGAGAAGGACCTGACCCTCAAGAAATGCCCCCGGGTGAGAAGGGAAGGTTATAAGTAACAAACTCTGAGCTGTTCGATTGTATCACTGTGAGACGAATAATTCAATGTCCAGTGTCAGTCAATGTTAACTTTGTGCATATTCCAATAATTATTAAACAATTCCGATTAAAACTGTTTCATATTAAAATCATCAAGACACTTATCTGACTTACACAGGTTTCATTTCTCCAGGGAACCTGAAGTTAACAGCATAGACATCAATCACGGACACAATATGAGGGTTATCACTGCACAAATAGTGAACCCTGGCCTACAGGTAAACAAAAATCACAATAGTACAAATATCATTTTCATTGGAAAAGAATGTATGCTGTGTGAAAGCATCAAATATCCAAAAATACTTAACATTTATTCCTTGAGCCTAAATGGGCTCTGAGTCAAAAGCCCATGAGGCTGAAGGCCAAATGGGCTATTGACCCATGAGGGTAAGAGGAATAATTGTTTTAGTAGAATTCAACTAGTTGGTCAAAAATATCGAAACAAAACAACTTAAGCAAGCAAAATGCGATTCAGCCTCCATTGTTTTGGCTCTCAAAGCCGGCACTTTTCGCTACTAGAGGGCTATAACATACAGCCTAGAAGTAGCTCAACCAATCAGAATGCAGCATTGATAATAGACCACTAGAATGTTGGATTTTACTAAAAATAAAATACTTAGGGCTACTGATGCAGCTTCAAACTGACCAGTTACATGGTAGCTCTAAACTAGGAGACAACAGAAATCGAGAATCCAGTTCGGTTAACAAAAAAAATTTGACCTGTAACATTCACTTTTTCAAATTATTTTTTTTTTACGATATAGGTCAACATCGTATCAAATTCAGGTTAAAAATTCTAACCTACATTCAATCTCAATTTCCTTGGTGTCCTTCCATTATTTAGGGTTAGGAGACAAAGGAAATAATTGAGAATCATCATCAGTTTAAAAAAAGAATTAACCCAAATTTAATTTTAACCTGTGACAGATAAAAGGGGCTTTACATATGGTTAAATTATGACATGTCCACCTCATATTTCACACCGTAGAACTAGATTTTTACATATAACCAATATACACTCTTTTTTATACTTCTAACATTAATTCTCACCTCTGTGCGAGCCTTTGGAGAATCCAGTAAACATTTTAAGGCAAACTCTTTTCCTGTAGCTATACTTTTGCACAACCTAGAGAGAGATGCAGATATTACAACAGCTGCTACAATTATTTATTTTTTTGCTTTTGTGATTTCAGTGCATGAATTAAATATTGATTGCATATATAAGAATAATAATTATTTAATTATAATCCATGACTGTTTGGCTCACAAGCAGCACAATGTCGTAGGTACTTTAATCTAAAAACAAGAAAATTAATAATCATGGCATTTGACACTGATATACACATACATACCTGACTGGTCCACTAATTCCTGATCCAAGTCTCCTATTCCAATCAACTATGTAGTCATCCTCTATTGGATTATTCTGCCATAAAAAAAAAAAACAGCAAATGTAAAGTACAAAAGTGACAAGATGGTTACAAGTCTGCTTAATGATTACATCCCACTAAAATACAGGCAGGTCACATTTGTATTATTGTCCATATTAATGGCATTTGCACATGGCATTTTTCCACTATCCTGTGAGACTCGAATTTTTATGATTTCATGTAGACTTGTTGTGACTTTGCCACTTTCTTGACCCTCCTTTTAGGCTAACAGGCCACCACTGATGATACACAGGGCTGTCAAAAAGTTTTTAAGTAGCAGGCTGATGATGAATAGTAGGCGGCTTTGGAACTCACACCAAAGGCACAAGTTCTTGAGGGCTGAGGAAGCTAGGAACATTTTGAAAATTCAAGTCTCAGAAATGGCGTTTCCAAGGTTTTTCAAGAGGTATTTTCCACTGCGGGCACCATGTTGTTTCGTCAGAATACACATAAGACTGGGAAAAATGCCGTTGAAATGTCCCAGGCTTTCCAAGACATCCTACAGTTCAAACATTTCACAGATCTAAACCTGTTTAAATATGCGCTCAAACTGATGCTTTACAATTTTATTCGATGGTGCTTATTTTTTGTAAGCAGTTATGGTAGAAGGAGATGAAAGTAGCCGGCTAAGGATGGCTAACTAGCCGCCGGTTTTAGCCAGCTACCAGCCCTTATCGACAGTCCTGCATACAATGTGAGTAGTAACTTTTAAAGTGATAAACTGCCTACTACTCTACATCCAAGTAAATTATGCTATGACAATAAAATAAAATTTATTATATTTGGTTGCTGCTCTCATATCACTGGAGAAGATTTCGTAAAATTATTTTCATGACAAAATGGAAATGAAGGGTTGATGCAAAGGGCTGATCGTTGGGTGAAATTTGACATTAAGAATAAGATTTGTTGTAGGTTTCAGTCAACAGGCTGCTAGGGTCTTTCCACAAGGTGAGGTAGTATTTTCATGTCTAGATTGACTATAATGGGGTTAGATTTCCAACAACAGTTTCTAGAATGGGGTCACAGTGTAATCTTCATGACTGCCTCACTGTTTTAAAAGGGTTCACTTACAAAAAATGACTAAGCTGGAAAAGAGCAATTTCATATGCAAACAGTGACTAAGATGGAGTAGGAAATAATCATACGCAACGTATTAATTAAATGACAGAACTGTAAACTAGAATTATTCTAGTTTACAGTTCTGTCATTGATGCTTAAGTCAGACGTAGGGTTCTCTCTAGGGTATTTGAGGGATAGAAGCTTCCCCCCCAAAACGCCCAGCTTCCCCCCCCCCAAAAAAATTAATATTGTTGTCAGTATTAAGTAACTATATCGTCACTGCAGGTCACTGCACACACTGTAATACTTCTCAAAATTGTGTCTCAAAATGCACCAAGTTGCATCTCAGCACATATTCATTTCAAAAATTTTGGGGAGGGGACATGCCCCCGGACCACCCTAGGAAGCTCGTGGCCTTCGGCCACTCCAGACTTCTCCCCCAAACGATAAATCCTAGATAGAACCCTGAGATGGACGTGATCTTTTTTGCATTAATTATAACTAGCGGCTAGGGGTGATTTGGGTAGGGTGCTTCTCACATTTTGATCAGCAAGTTATTAGAGAATTCCCATAAATATGGTATTTGCAGCTTATTAATTGGAAATTCAATTTTGGTGTTATCCCGGGTGAGGCATTTGTACCCTATTTTTAAGCCCTACTGTGGGGGTTTTGTATGACTGTTCAGCCCCACCATGGGGCATTTGCAGCTTTTCCGAAACAAAATGACAAATGTCCGACAAATGCTGGGAGGGGGGGAGGGATGGGCATGTTTGGAATTGACTGAGCCATTAAGAATAAAGATGTTTGGTTTTCTTTCCATGTCTTGATGCAGAAGGTTTTTTTTTTTTTCAGAAGGCAACGAAAGACTGAACGTGTTTGCTCTGGCACATGGTATATATGTTACAACTCAAAATTAATTTCAGGTTAAAATTTTTTAACCTGTGTTTATTTTCTATTTCCTTTGTCTCCTAACCCTTAATATTCGTGAATTAGGGCTAAGAGACAAAGAAAACTGAGAATCAACCTAGGTTAAAAAATTTTAACCTGAACATAATTTTGATCTGTAACATAATTATAAGCTCATATCTTCCCCTTCCTTTCCTTTTCCCGTGTCCTGCAACATACATATAATTCCTCTTTTCAAAAGCATCGTGCTCCTAAAAAACGGCCACTTTCCTCAATTCTTAGTGTGGAGAAAAAGAAACACTTTGTATCAACTATTTAGAAGACGAAAGGGCCATAAGCAGTTCAAAGATCAGTCACATTTCCATGCAGTCGGGAATACCGTACTCTGACGCTGGATTTCCGGCTAATAATTAATAAATATGCATGTTGACATTACATGTGACACATTATCGACAAAGTTCGCATTTACACAACCAGGAACCACAAACAGGAAAAATTACATTCCCATAAGTCCATACGGAAATAATAATGAATTTCGACCCATTTACCTTGAATCGAAGTTCCCTGCTTGTGTGGCCTGCCATGTTCGTAAAAATTTATGAGATCATCTTCAGGAGTAGGTACATGACGTACGCTTTGGTTTTACAGTCGACCGCTTTCACAATAAATATTGGTCTCAGGGAAATATCTGAGTTTTGATTGGCCCTTCTAAACTCGTACCAAGTCCTTACTCATCAAAGAGCCATTTTTTGAAAAAATCAAAAATATCTCAAACGAAAAACGACTTCTTTTGGCTCTTCTTCTTTCAGCTTGGCGATTTACCAATGAAACGGGATGGCGGAATTACTTGAGGAATTCGACCAACCTTCGCCTTTACCTGTGAGCTTTTGTCAGCAGATACCAAGCGAAGAGTTTGATAAAAGATCTGCTCAAAACACAAGAGATGCCTTGCATGATTTGATCAATCACATCGAAGCGAAACCAGAGGAGTTTTACAAGATTGTCCGAAGAAAAAAGGCCGACAACCTCAAACTTTTCCAGTATCTTAAAGTGAAAGTGTTAAATAAGTTACAAGATGATTATTTAGAAAAATACTTTCCTGAAAATCAATGTAGAGAAGAGCTGGAAAACCTGATGCATGACATGGAATCAGCATTCAATTACGCACAAGGTTTGTCAACGTTTTGCAAAACAGATGATCCTTATTTGACGTAGCAGTTGATCGGTGAAATATGAAAATGTCACATAGAAAAGACCCTACTTGAGTAAAAAAAGTGACTTACTTGAAAACGTTAAAATGGTATAAAGTATAAATCAACTGGTTCAAGAATATTTTGACCCAGAAAAAAAATTTGAACTTCAACACATACATGTAAAATAGAAGGTAGATTATTTCAGGCAGGCCAACTTCGTCGCAGGCCGCTGGACTTTTCAAATTGCTTGATTGTTAGTCCATACACTGGGCCGACCCCTTGGCCACGCAGGGTATTGTCTTTTGTAGACTGCAGTTATAGGGCTTTTTATAAGTCTGTGTTGTTTGTAATTTGGTAGTCAAGAACCAGTGTTTCAAGCGGCATTCAGGACAGTGGAATTGCTGTTTTCCCTTCTCACTACTCTTTCTCCCATCCCCACTATCAGAATGCCTGGAACAGGCTAGTATTAAATTTGCTTGTAATCTTATCAAAGGAATATTATATTTATTTTCCCTAACATAATTAATGATTTTAGCATTTTCCTTTTCAATTAAGATGGTAAGCAGACTGGGATCAGATTTTCCAGAAGACTGGCAGAAAAGCGTAAAGTAGAGCGACTTTACACAAGCACACCAAAGAAACCAACTGCACCCCCACCGCCCCCTCCCCCACCACCTATCATGGTAAGTTAACGACTCATTTGACGAAAGAAACTTTTAGAAAGGCTAAGGGGACATACCATGGAGTCTGTATTATCCAGGGCCTGGTTCCTGAAAGGCAGATTAGTGCGAAATCCATGATTTGTTTTTGAGATCCATTGCTTAGAGTAACATTTTGTGTCATCATTACTGTATTTCGGAGTAAAGGCTCAACAGTAGTTGCATGTTCTCAGACAAGAAAATCTTGCTTGAAAATTTGGCTTAAGCCTGAGTTAAACTTGACCGTCTTTTGAGGAACCAGGCCAGGTGTCCATATTGAGCAGGCTGTCAAAAAAAATTCACAGTGAGAGAAGTTTTTTATTGGCATAAAGATATAAAGGTGCAATGACTGAAAGCAAAGTGCTAAAGGAAGTGAAACTTGTGTATTATAACCAATAGAAAACTTTATCAAATGGCCATCGCAAGATAGACAGAATTATCAAAATTGAACATGTCATGTGCACTATAATTGATAAAATCGGTTGCAATGGCAGCGTGCAAAGAAAGTACATGTAGTGTCCGATAGCCCAGGGCTGGTGGATATAGTGCCAGTGAAATATCGTGCTAGTGCCCGACAGGCAAGTGAAGTTTTTTGAGGAATTCAAATTACAGAAGAACTGTGAAATCAATTCAGCTCATCAAAAAGTTTTTGGGGCTAGTTGAAATGACGTTTGGGCTAGTATATGCTAGTCTCAGCTTGCCTGAATGACAAGCTGTAAAAATAACTTTCTTTGCACCCTGCAACTGGCACAAAATGAAAATAGAAAATGTGCAGAGATACCCAGTGTCCATAAAGCAGGGCTAATACGTTATATGAGAGTTTGTGACTTGGGACACAAAATTAAAGTAATGTTTCCATTATCCAGGGTAATTTTACAGAAAAGATTATTATGAGCTTATCGCTGGGACAGACAAAACTGTCCGTTATATACAGATGTCTGTAAGCAAGGTTTCACTGATGTCATTGATGTGCAAGTTAAAAAAAAGAATCCTCAAGTTAATTTAGCAAAAATATATTTAGTCTGCAGATTCCAAGGGCTTGATTTCTCCAGTACATCCACCTGCTGATACAAGGTGAAGTTTTAATAAAAATTGATTGATAGATAAATTATTTATTGCACACTGCGTGTAACATTTTTGTCTTCTTGATATCCCTCATAAAACAATTTTTTTGCCAGTCTGGGGGACTATTTTATCCACTTCTAGTTATGTCACTGGATGTGATGTTAGAGACAAAAAATAAATGATGTTTTAAAAATAGGTTGGCTTAGTACCAATGAAGGAAACAAGAGATTTTCTTTTCTTGTTTCCAAGGATTTACCATCTTATCCCAAGATCAATGAAGTTGTCCATACACAAAAATTGGCTGCGAAACGTTTGTTATTATAGTTAGTCCACCAGAGAATGGCAGCTTTCAAGACAGTGCTGCACATTATAATTAAAGTGACACCATCTGAAGCTGATTTATTTTTTTAAATCAATTTTTCTTTCAAATTGTCTCTATTTTTTCACAGCTTGTGCCCAATCTTATACGTGTCGTACGTACACGGAGTCCTACATAGGGTACCACTAAACTATAAAATTAAAATGATATACACGTATTATTTTAATAACACCCTTGCACCAGGTGATCATTGGTGGGGGATCTGATGTAGAGGATGTGCTAACCAATATTTAACTCCTTGAATGACTTGAAACAGATTAACATACCAGCAAATTCCAAGGACTCCTTCAGGAACATTCCGCCGAGAAGAGGAACTGCTCCAATCAATTAGAAGCATTCCAGCAAGAAGAAAGCTGCATGACAAAAATTCATACACAGAAGCAGTTCAATCAAAGCCTGGTGTAAATCAAAAGAGGTAAGCATGTTGTCAGTGGCTTATGAATATAGTATCCAAATGAATGTTCTTAAAATACTGGTATTTCTTTGTCTGAATTCATGCAGGATCAACAGCAGCTGTAGCAGTGTTCACTTAAAGAATTCCACCAGGTGTCCCTCCATAGATGACCTTGCAGCTGCCAGAAACAGTCTGAGACTCACTGGATCTTCTTCTGGGTAAGGTGCTAATTCCTGCCACCCTTTAATAAAAATTGTACCCACACAGACAGTACACAGTGTTCTCAGGGCTCTAAACAATGGTGGGTCAATGGACAACCTCCGTCCAAGATGACCTTTTAGATGGCTGACCATGTTGTGGCTTAATCAAGATCTCGATGCGACTTTTATGTCTGTGGGAAAAATCCTACAGATGATATTCCCTTCAAAATAATGAAACTTGTTTGGAAGATGGATTTTATGAATTATACAAAAAAATTTGATTTTATTGTTTCTTATTCAGCTGTTTAAAGTTCAAATTAGTGACCAGACCAATACCTTTCAACACTAAAGATTAAAGCTAGGGCTGATTCCCATTTTCCTTTTTCTCATTCAATTTAAGTCATATATTTAACGTTTCCTAGAAATGTAATCTTTCAGTTTTTTTTCTTCATCCATGCAGTTCTCCTGATGACTCTCCCTATCAGCGGTACAAATCACGGAAGGAAAATGAAAAGCCAAAGGAAGACAACTTTTCTATGTTCAACATGGAGCTGCTACAAAAATTTCGAAACACTTATAGTCCTTCAGATGGCCGTGTAAGCCCATCTGGCCAAATTTTAACTAATGATTCAGGTTTTGAGAGTCCATAATAAGTTTTTTTTAGAAATGCTGCATCCTAACACATGAATATACTTAGTTATTGACTTAAAATCATGTTAAAATATCAATTATCTATACCATATTAATAATAAGGTCACTCATTATTTCAGGCCAGGGAAACTAATTAATTAAATGCAGCTTAGGTACAAAAACTAGTAAGGGGTACATTCTGCACTCAGTCTTCAGGGTTGTCACTAAGAGCCGGAGGCCGGGGATTTCCCCCGGCTATTAAGAGAGTAGCCCCCAGCTACTTTTATTGGAAAATAGAACCAAAATAAATCCCAAGCCATCTGATATTCCCCGCCTACTTGTTGTATTTACCCGGCAACTTGAAATCTTAGTGACAACCCTGAGTCTTGTACATTACACTTCCAAAAGTTTTGTGAAATTGACCCCAGACTGACAGACTTATTTACATAATATGAAGGAAATACAGCTAGGTTATGATCTCAATTTACATTTTTCTTGTTGCATCCTTACAAATTAAATGCGAGGTATTAAAAGTCCTATGTAGGGGTTTTATTGGACTGCAAAAATCACACTTTGTTTTCACCATTGCTCACGTTCTTGACCTACATGTATGCAATAAAACAGTCACTTTTGCTGTCTGAGATTTTATGAGATTATTATTTTAATAATTACATATTAAGAGGTATAATACAGTTGAACCATTATAAAGCGGCCACCCTCGCGGTATTGGCAGGTGGCCGCTTTATGGGGGTTGGCCATTCAACAGAGGTTAATTAGCATAATATTTTCAGAAACATTACTTTATTTTAAAACAAACACATGACAGGGACAGCATTACTGGTCCACAATCAGTCGTCACCTTCTTTCTTGGACCGTTTTCCGTCATCAAATTCTGAAAATAAAGCCAAATGTAGTCTGTCAAGTGCTTGATGGCTATGCACTCACATGTAATAAAGGTGACAGCAATGGGAAAACTCTTATTGGGTTCTATGTAATTATTTCAGGACTTTGATTATGGCCGCTTTTCTAGGTGGCCTCTTAATGGAGGTTCAACTAATGTGATTTTCTAGCTCACAAATGCAGAATGCAATCAAGAGAGGGAGTTATTATATCTGAAGAAGGCCTGCAATAATTATTGTTTATAAGTGTGTCTCTTGCAGACATAATATTTTAAAATAATCTAAATTAATTAAAATTTGTGTAGTTTGCTGGTTGCTTGAAAAAGAAGAAATGCAACAAAGTTAGCTTACTAAGTAAAATTCCAAAAATAAGCCCCTCCAAATATAAGCCCCCGCCCCAAACCGATAATGCAAAAAACCCTCCGTTAAATTACCCCTCCAAATATAATAAAATTGCCCTCAAATACAACATAAAACAGAGCAAAAATGGTACATTTACTTCCAAATACAAGGCTAGCTCAATCAATTTTGAAACGTAAATTTCCCTCCGTAGATAAGCCCCTCAAAAAGGGCCTTTGAAGGCTTATTTTCGGAATTTTACGGTATTGCTCTTCGTTCTCTTGTTTTTTTGTTTGTTTGCTTTTGCTTCTTCATTTTCTTTCTTTTTTTTTTTTTTTTTTTTTTTTTTTTTTTGGAAGTGGGGGGAGGGGAAGGGGACAACATGGTTATCATTAGCTCCCCCATTTACTGGTCCTGAGGGGTCCACACCCTGAATTACCGGCTCAAGCCCCATTTTTCTTGGTTTCTTCGCTACAGCTCTTTTTTGGTCGCCAAATATTTTATATTAAGCATTTTGAATTGGCGCTATTTCCTCTACCCTTGCTCTTCCCCAGGTGACTGAATAGTCACGCACGGTACCATATATGACGTTTTTATCGTGTGAGCTGAAAACCGCTGTCGAATACCTTTTCTTGAGCCTTGTGATGTAAACATTGCTTGAAATGGATTGAGCTGCCGATCTTTTTCGTCGATTTTTACGATGTTTCCCCTTCGTGTTTCACTATCTGGGTTTGTGCATTGCTTTTTGCGAGTCCTTTGCTTCACTGTTCTGGTATTGGGCGAAGTTGACAAAGCTTTCGTCAATGTTATTGTCCAAAGCGAAGATGGGCAAAACAGCTCATTTGCGAACATCGTCGGCAAATTTGCAAGAGTTGGAGCTATAAAACAAGTAGAAGGAGAGCTAATAGAGGTGAAAATAATTTCGCAAAACCCTTCAGCAACACTTTTATGACGTAACTAAGACAGCATTTTAATGCAAGCGATATAATTTTGAAGACTTTCTGTATGTAGATAAAACTGGAACCCTCTCCCATAACGAAGTCCTCGGCATAAAGAACGATTTTGTTGACCCCAGTAATAGCATAATATATGGAAACGAACCTCGCTATAGCGAACAAATTTTGCCAGTCCCTTGGCACTCCATTATATCGAGGTTCCATCAGGTAATTATATATTAATTGATAGCCTTTACAACACCTGGCAGAATTATTCGAAGTTTATTCAATGAAGATAATTTTTTTTAACACTAAACTGAAATTACCAGTGATTCATTAGCGGAATTGCAAGTGAGTAATGTCATTAAGTTTAAATTCAGATGGATAGTTATGATTCAGAAGATTCTGATCCAGATGAGGATGATGCAACCCCTGTTGCAGATGAGGCACGTCATGGCTGGATTGGTGTCATACACATTCCTGTCTTGGAGTACTACAATGTCCGTAGAGGCAGCTCTAAGTCCTGGTCTGTCTTGGAAAAGGTTTGAGCTCAACTGCTTTGTTTCATACGAGGGATGCATGATGTACCAACCAATAGCCTGAGAAAACAGCCGACATTTGGCGACGCTACCACTAGTTTCCCCTCCAAATGACATCTGAGAAACGAGGGCAGAAATTCCATACTGATGACAGGTCACTACCCAGACCTGGGTAATGCTTCTGATTGGTTGAATCAAATTTCCCACGCGGCACAACCATTCAGAAGCACTACCCAGATCTGGGTAGTGTCACGTCATCCGTATGGAATTTCTGCACTCATTTGTTAGACATCATTTGGAGGGGAAACCAGTGCTGGGGTCACTAAATGTCAGCTGTTTTCTCAGGCTAATCAAACAAATTAGAGACCTTGTACTATGCTATTCTATCAAAATGTTTTAGATTTCCAAATTAATGTTGTGCGCTTTCTAGATGTTGAATTTACAGACTGTTACTAGAACTTTTGCCCTGCAGGAAATTACATGTTAACTTCATATTTTCCAGTTAGATGACAACTTTTCTCTATTGAAGAATAAAAAAATGAATATAACAGCTGCTTTCAGTTGTGACACCATACAGATTCACACTCTCTTTCAAGGGTGTAATTTTTATTGATCCTTGAAATAAAATCAGTGCAGATCAATTTCTTTACCACCTTTGACCTTCCCATTAATACAAATTTTTGTTTCGTTATTTTTAAGGTGAAGAAGGCAATGTTCCTTGGTGCCTCAGCTATAATTATTATCACATTGAATCAGAGGGTGTTAAGAAAGGTAGGGTATGGAAATACCCATGATAATCTCAGTTCTACAAAGCTCCTATCCCTACTCCAGAAACTTGGGTACAACTTTTCATTGCAGCCGTTTCTGGGAGTTTGGGTGGACATTAGAAATAGCTATGATTGGTCAATGGTGCGCAAGGCAACCATTAACCAATCACGAGTAATGCTTTTCCACCCAAACGATCTCAGAAGTCATTACACTGAAAGCTTGTAAATTTCCCTTATAGTTTCTGGAGTGGGGAATTGTAGCACTCTTCAGTCAAAGCCTTAATTATCATGGTGCTTTTCAGGGATAATGAAACAAATGATTTTTAAATGGAACATACATGTAGCATGGTTAAAAATCCCAACTGGTAGGAGGCGAACCTGTTGGCTGTTTTACAAGGATGGCCGAAGACTACAGAGTGGTCAGGGCAGGACTTGAACTTGGTGCCTCTGAAGTATAAGTCTAGTGCTCTAACCACATGACCTGCATGCTGCCTCCATAAACTTTGTTATCTACTAGTGCAACTCTTATAACTTCAAACTTGTCTTGAGCAAAGTAACAAATTGCCGTTGAGGATAAGAAAATCACAAATTTGTGTTTCAATGGTTTTAGGGTTACCGGGTAACAACATGGTAGCCAATCCCTCCCACATAATCTGTGAGATTAACCCTGTTGAAACTCCTCAGTTATCTTGCATCTCTTGTTTATCACCAGCTGGACCTTGCTCAAATGTTTCCAAGGCCCATAGTAACTGTTAATGGAACAAGAAATGTTTCTAAATTAATGGCTGCTCTTCAAAGGCAAGTGCTCTGTACAAATTTCAGATTTTTATTCAAATAGTCTGTCATGATTTACTAGTAAGAAATTTTGCATCAGATCCGCAAAATAACATCCTTCTCGATCTACGCAATTCTTCAGATTGCACTCAGCCTCATCCAATTTAAATCAAGTCCAGTAATAAGTCCAAAATCGTGCATCTTGCTTTGGAATGCAAAAAGAAATAAATTGTGTCTTGTTATAATATTATTTTGTATTGTGAGTAGATAAATAAAGTAAAACCTGCATGTTAGAACCCAGTGGTTTTAAAGAAACCTGTTGGCCGAAATTTGTCACTTAAATACAATATGTAACCAAACATATTAGAACCTGTGAAGCCAAGCAAGATCACACAGGTTCTTGTATGTGGCTTACAGCCAAATCTAAGGAGTTTGACTTTGAGATTGCAAATCTATACAACAAGAATTTTTATGCTATACCAAACTGTAATGCGAATACCATACACTGTATATGTAATAATTACAGTACCGTTACATAACAGTAATTGTAATGCAAAAAAGATTGCTTCCGGCACAATTTCACTACAAATAACATTTACCATAAAAAATATCAATATTAATTTTTAACACGTAAACTAACTGTCTATTTGTAGAGGAAAGCAGAAGCTTAGAGGGATAGTGTCTTATAACTCTTCTCTAGTTGAACTGAAGGTAAGTCTGGTAGTAAATCAACTGCCATATGTCAGAAGATCTTTTCCATGCACAGAAATGACCATGATTCTGCCCTTGTTTGTTTAGCTTCTTGTCACTCCAATCCCTTGGTTGCATTTCTCAGGTTCTAAAATGCTAATCACAAACAAAAATAAAAGCGACTTCTGAAATACACGGTTAAAGAGAGGTTACTATTTCAAAAAGATCTTATTAATACATCAGTCATATTAGTCTTCTATAAGACACACTTTTTCAGTTTGAGAGTAAACGTAACCACCAATTCTCAATAGAGCATGCAGAAAATGTTTATTGCTTATTGTTTATTGTTTTGTTTGCCATAAGTGATACAAAGCAAAAAAAAAATCTAATTATTTAAACTCTCACGGCGAGGAAGCCCAAGAGAAGCCACCGGGCTTGTAAGGAATGGGCTCCCTCAGTTAGATAATTAGAACAAAATATTATAAAATTCAAATGATGAACCTCTCGTTACCATCCCTGTGAATCCTTGTTCTTGAACTGCTTGTAACATCACCCTGGTTCGAACAACTTCAGGCAAACAAATTTCAAGAACTTTTCGAGGATTTTTCAGGAGCAAAATACAGTTTTCAAGGACTTTGATTTATCTAATAAATCGGCATTGTTAAACCCCCTTTGATCAACCTACTGGCTAAAACACGTCATGGAATCATTTACGATTTTTACTTCTTCGACAGTCTTTCGACCATCTTTGATCACATTACTATACTACTTTCCGCAACAAGACTTTGCAAAATGACTGGGTATAACTTGCAGTTGCATCTGAGGTACAGAAATAGCTTCGAAATATAGAAACAGAAACAAAATATTGTTGATGCACAAAAATGTTTTACGTTACCCGTGAGTTTTACAGGTTCTTACACCGAGGATTAGCCAAATTTTCGTCGGCAAAGTAATCTAATTTTACAGAAAAAGGTGTCTGGCGTAGACAAGGTTGTAAATTTCAAGGACTTTTCAGGACCTAATACAGAAATCAAATATATTTTTAAAGGGCCTAGACCGAATTCAAGGAATTTTTCTAGACGACTAGTAAAATTCAAGGCCTTTTCAAGATTGTACGAACCATGCATCACGGTCAAGAACAATAACTAAATTGTGCATGGGGATGATCGGTACGGTAGAACCTCGCTAACTCGAACTCGGATTTCCCCGCAAACACGAACTACATCTGCTTTCCCTTGATCAAAATTTCACTGAAATTTACCCTGATAACTCGACTTCCTCGCTAACTTGAACTGTTTTTCGTTTCCGTTCAGAGTTCGTGTTACCGGGGTTCCTGGGTTCTACTGTATTTTAAACCATGCACTCTTTGCTAGTGGCCAGAGCCATGAAGCCTTTTGTTCTTTAAGCTCTCTTTTACCAACTGGATAAATCTTGTTACAATGTTTGAAACTAAGTTAAAAATAGCGGATTATCCTGTGGAGTCGATTGTTATACAACATTGTTATTTCTTCTAGTTATTATCCACACTAACTTTTTGGGCGACCTGTGGACGGCCCAGTGGATGGGAAGGAGTGGTCTGCCTTGGAAATCCTGAAAAAGGCACCGAGGTAATTAATTAATATGTCCTTAGTAATCACCAAAGGGTCGTTCATCATCAGCATATCTGCCACTTTTGGTCCCCTGTAGGTCAGTGACTCCACGCACATCAGACCTACTATTTATTGTCACATACACGAAGACCCCTCTTCAAACCCAAACGCGCTTGCCCTTGCGCGCAATATTTTTAACATCTTTTTGACGTTTTTTTCACTTTTTATCTAAATTGACATATTCACTACCCACGCTGAAAAAAAAAATGAAAACTTCGCCTTTACACCTTCACAGCCACTGAATAGTCAACTGGATTTCATTTTTTTGTATACGTTTTAATATGTGATAACTGAGTTATAATTTTTGAACACAAGGCTGAGGAGTGAAGACATTATCCTATCCTACTGAACAAATGTAATTATCAAACCAAGTACCGGTATTTCTTTTATGCGACGTGCTACCTTGTAGATTGTTTGACAAAAATAGAAATTGCCACAAAGTAAGAAGACTTGTTTATAAGTTGTCTCGGGTGTAGTGCAGACGGCATTGTAACATGACTTTTAAATTTTTACGCGGCACATGTAGGATGTCAACTCTCAGTTCTTTGGATCTTCAGCGTTCTTTGCGTCAGTGCTGTTTTGTCTTTTGGTACTCAAGGTACGTTACAAAGAGAACCCTGTTTAAGCCACATCCTCTCCAGCCTGTCACCGGCTCTCAGTTAAGGTCGACCTACTTTTTCTGGGCGCTTGGTTTTCTTTTCGTTCGCCTCCACCAGCTTCCATGACAGCCTTGAAGAGGCTACACCCTTTTCAGACCATCAGTTCGTAAGTTTATAGAAATATGCGTCTCGTAGAGAGTTAATATACAGATATAGAAACACGTGAAATTGTAGCTCATGAATCAACTCTGGTTTGCAGCCACGCAACAGCAAAGTAATCGAAATGTTGAAGTAGCTTCACTCTCTAATGTTTCTGTAAGAACAGTTTAAGTTGGGTCCCACTCTTGATAACCTACAATTTCATTAGACTTGCTTCTATATTGTCGTAGTTCTTTTGTTCCAGGGGTCGGTTCCACTTTTAACTTTGTTTTCTGTTCTCCCAACCAATTCTGTGATGCCTTGCACTAGCTGCAACATCAGCCTATAAACAGTGATTATAGCAAAACATTTGCTTGCCCGGGCCGCAAGCCCACAACCAAGATTTGTTTGTTTTGAAATGATGCTAAATTGCATTAAAGTGAAAGACGATGGTGAAATGTAGGACTATTGACTAGTAAAAGCCCCGTGGATGAAAGTTTAAAGCAAAAGGCACACTAGCAGTTTCCTTAGCTTTTCTTTTATTTGCATTTTTGCGTTACGTCATTTTTTAATATCTTTACAGACCCAGCTCAGCCAACTCTTTCACAACTATTGGATTTCGAAAAAAGAGGTATGAGTTTCCATCTGCCTTTTCGTTCAGATCATCATTAAACCATCACGGCGTATCCTAACGCTACGAAAACATCCGAAAGCCAGTCTTAAGCGTTTTTCTTGAATGCCGTTGATCCGCCGCACAAGTCGGAGGGAACAGCGCGAAATTTCTGCGAGACCGTAAAAAATTGACATTTCTCTTTGTAGCTATCTCACGGTAAAAATTAGATCTCAAGAAAAATTCACCGCACAATATGTAAGGGAACGGCTGAAGTAAACTGCTTCGCAATGGGCTTGTTTCTTGAGGTGTTAGGCGGGCTAAAAAAGTTTTTTTTGGACAACAGGATAAAATGATATAATGTAGGACTTAAAAAACAAAACTTGCTTGACCTCGTTAAGCGACACATTCAATAGACGGTCTCTGTCTTGAAAATTCTTGGAGGAGACCTTTTGGATAAAGCTCTCGCATCTCAGAGACTTCGGCTATGTTTTACTTTTTAGCAAATGCTGAGGCAAGAGGCGGCACAAGCAATAGCGAAACTAAAGATGAGAAAATACAGGCGAGTTATGAAAGACTCTCAGCCGTCCTGCTCTACTGCAGGCTCAAAACGGCGGGAAAGGAGAGACGTTGAACTTTGTGCAGTTTGTCTTGATGAATTCTATAATAACCAGGTATGCAGAATTATATTGAACTGTATAACAATCTAACAATTCTGTAGAACTCAGACGATCGTAATGAAACAGGCATCTTGCTACGTCTCGTTGAAATCTCAAATTTCCGTTATGTTTAACGTAGTTTATAACATTTCCTAAGTGAATATTCTATTTAAAGAGTCTCGGACTCCTTCGTAGAATAATATATATTAGATATATTTTTAATTTAAATCAGTTTTTTTTTTATGTTGCTCTGGCAACTCAACAAGTCCTGTGAAAATAAACCCATGTGTGCATGTATCTATTTTCTTGAACCTGAATACTGAGTATTTTGTGGCTTAATTTTATATAGTGATATCCGTTCGAAATGTCTTTCTCGTTCAGAAATATTTTAATACCATGTCAAATTGATCCTTGCCCAATGCCGTATGGTTCAGTCCTAGTGATAATCGTTCGAAAAGTCTTTTTCTTTCATAAACACATAGAATGACTAGCCCGGAAGGTTTTAGATTGATTGGATCAAATTTGCCCTTGCCCAATGCCGTGTGGCTCAGTCCTAGTAATCGCTCGAAATGCCTTTCTCTTGCATGACCAACATTGAATGACTAGACAGGGATGTTAGTTTACTATGAGTACCATATCAAACAGTTTATCCTTCCCTTTATCTATGTTCAATCCCCAAATGCTGTTTTACGTGGTCAAGTGTTCATTTTAAGCCACGGCTGTCAAACCTTATTCCTACGTGGCTATCGATTAAATACATGTAAAGAGCAAACAGTAGGACTGACAAGGTTACCTTATATACCTCTCTGCAGTTGGTACGGACTTTGCCTTGTGCACACGAGTTCCATTGTGAGTGTGTTGATCGATGGCTTCTGGCGAAAAGGACCTGTCCATTGTGTAAAGGAAACATTATAGGTCAGTTACAGTAAACAAGCATTACAGTTAACCCTGTTAAGGGTTCACTATCACGCCCCATCTAGTTTTTGTATGCTATTGTATTAATTTCACTCTTCATCTCCATGACACGATCAACTTGTGTTAAGCGACCTTCAGTTGGCCATTTCGCCAGGCTGTCCGCTTCATAAAGGAATGACTATACTATGTGCATCGACTTGAGCCGCATTCCTTAGATGCATTAAGTCTTATAATTTATGACGCAAGTTGCTAAAAAGATTTCTTTCACAATATTAAAAAATTATAAAAAGTTAACGAAAAAATGGCAAGAAAGCCCAAAGAAACCAGGATGCTAGAACAATGTTGGCTTTCCCAACTAACATTATTACAAAGACACCGAATATCAACTAAAAGAGTGCCTTACGAAGAGAGGATTCGAATAACTATTATTTTAAACACAGCTAGCAGCCATGTTTTGAAATAACGATTCAACTTGCGTGGGAAAAACTTAATATAAGGGAACTTAAGCAAAGGCGCTTTTGAGCGAAGAAGATCAACCAGGAGTGAGTCCTTTTCTCTTTTAATAGGCTGATTTAGCCACAGAACGGGAACGTCAGTTGACGGCGGCGTGAGCAAATCAAACAACTGGCTTGACCAATGGCTGAACGGCAAATTGGGTACCGGAAGTCGAGTTTAGTCCCTTCCGCGCGATTTCCCGTCGTCAAATGACATTCGGCATGACGTTCCCGTTCTGTTGCTAAATCAGCCTAACATGCCTTGATGCTTCCAAATTTGTGTTGATAAGTGTCTTACCTCTCACATAGACTACTTAACCCGAAAATTTGGTCAAAGTCACGGCCAAAAATACAAAGAGGCCACTTTCGCTTGACGGGCGTCGCTTAAAAACGTCGTTGCTTAAGGTGACTCGACCCAGTTTTTTTGGGGGAGGTACCATCCTACTTTGAAGCTTTCTGGTATCCCCACCTTTACTTTTATCGTAAGTCTAACACATAGAATGGATAACATATAGATCAATCTACAATATAACATAAAATTTTTGGCGATCGGAGTAAATGTCACTTGGTTATAATGCCACGCCCCTTTGAGATCTGAGTCGAAAATCTGCAACCTATGGGAAAAGCCCTGGGAACGAGGTTGGAAAATCTGCTGTTGCCGGTATTTTTTCGTGATAATCTCTCGGCTACACATAGTGCGCATAAGTGCCTTGCGCTGAACAGAGTTTCACCAAAATCGCAAAGACCCAATTCGAGAAATTCAGCGGTTTCCAAATTTAGGTCATAATTTATGCGAAAATGATAAGCAAACTTTACACGGATTATATCTAATAAACTATGAGATTCACCTATTTATTTTGGGCATCGTTATAACGTATGGGTCCTTGCAAGTCAGCAAAACGCTTTAGGGCCTTGTAAATGCGCGCGATTTCGTGCAAAGCAAACATATAGAAATTATAGTTTTCGATATTTGTTCACGTTTGTGAGCGTTTAAGAGTCCTTCTCACGAAGAAAGCATTTTCTTAAAAATTCGTAGTTTTTTTTCCTTCAAATTTTTTCAGGGCCACAATTGATTAGCTAACTACCCGGACTCTGAATTTCATGGTCATTGAAAAACTGTGACATTATCTTCTAACATAGGCACGTTCAACGTGCATGAGCTATTTTGAATGCTTCAGTGTAACTATAATACTTCGGTGTAACCTTACCAAGAGTGATGAATCTACCTTTTTCATCCTAAATGTAGATTTGGTTTTTGTGCGAAATTGGGTATTGCGCTACATAAATGAAAACGCGAAACGCTCAGCTGAGTCGATCCTCAACCTATGTATTCACTTTCCTCTGTCTTTCCCAGTTACATCTGGTGCAAGTTAAACAAATTGTTAAAGTAAAATAAATTTCTACTCACCAAACGTTGATTAGAAGGAAAACTCTAAGGTTTCCTCGGAGTTTCTTAAGCCAAAATGTGACTCATCGAATACTGAATAGTTACGAAATACCAGGATTTTTATCATTGAGGTAGATGGTTGCGTCATCATAATTCACAAGGTTTTCACGTGCGATTCTACTCAGTGAAACAGTCTTTAACTCCGACAACTTATTTCTTCATGTTTTAAAAGCTATTGCTTCTTAAAAGGCAAGAGCCTTTTTTAAGGCATTGGTTACAAAACGAAACAGGTCTTCATACGTCCAAGTTACTATTTATCATTGTGAAAAGCCAATCTGCATGAGATGTACAGTCACACAGCTGGCACGTGAAAGTGTTGGACTTTGTCCCCTTTCGTGGTTCGTACGTGAGGGAATTCGAGTTATCACACAATAAACTGGTAAACAGAATTATAAAAATAACTCTTGCACACAATTTGCACGTGAAGATGTTGGTCTTTGGCCCTTTTACAATTCGTACGTTAAAAAAAAGGCAAATTGTTTACTACAAAATTTTCTCAAGCGATTTTAAGAAATCACCTCGGCTTCATTACAACATCTGCAATTAAACTATGTTTCATGCAACGTCAAGGTTGATAACCTAACATTTATTAACATTTGTGAGACAGTCTTTAACACCGACAACTTATTTCTTCATGTTTTAAAAGCTATTGCTTCTTAAAAGACAAGAGCCTTTTTTAGGGCATTGGTTACTAAACGAAACAGGTCTTTATACGTTCAAGTCACTATTACTATTGTGAAAAGCCAATCTGCATGAGATGTACAGTCACACAGATGGCACGTGAAAGTGTTGGACTTTGGCCCCTTCCGTGGTTCGTACGTGAGGGAATTCGAGTTATCACACAGTAATCCAGTAAACAAAATTATAAAAATAACTCATGCACACGATTTGCATGTGAAGATGTTGGTCTTTGGCCCTTTTACAATTCGTACGTAAAAAAAACGCAAATTGTTTACTACAAAATTTTCTCAAGCGATTTTAAGAAATCACCTCGGCCTTATTACAACATCTGCAATTAAATTATGTTTCATGCAACGTCAAGGTTGATAGCCTAACATTTATTAACTTCCAAGAAAATTATCAAACTGCCGAAATATATTTCTGCTCATTTCATGTTACTCCACTCAATAAAGCAGTACCTAATTATTGTGTCAACTAGCTTCTTCCAATTTTGTTCCCTAACGCTACTGTTTCTACTTAAGTTTATACGCATCTTTACTAAATAAAATACGTTTCAATAACTATAATGCTTAGTATGCAGGAAGGATGTATCATGTTGTTCACTTATTATTCCTTTTTGTTGTTGTTTTGCCGGAACGAAAAAGGTCTGTTGAACTTTGTAAGCGAGAGAATAATATTTCTACAGCTTGTTTACAGGATTAACAATACTCGGTACAGCGTTTAAAAAAATAAGCTGCTTTTCAAACTTCTAAAACCACATTTTATAGGCCGCATACTTTCGAATTAAAGTCCATATCTAAATATCAATTATTGCTTCACTGGAAGAGCTTTGAAAATATATGATCGTTTATACTCTACCTTGAAGCAGGTGAAACACAACTCATAAATACGTGCGTGGTACCCTTCGCGATAGCCGAATTTGGTCAGAAATATCTTGAAGTAGCATCCACACTAAAATATGAACCCTTAAACAGCTGCATCACTGTACACAGCGTTTGAATCATGAAGATATTTAATATAATGTTTCCAAACACCTGTAGCCGTACTAAAAGACGAACAAATTGTAAAGAATCAAGATGGCGGTCTTTAAGTGCCCTTGTTCGACCTTTAGCAATGTGATTTTTAAGTAGATGCCAAGATCTCATTGGTTCCTTAGCATCAACTCATAGTACCTTCAACCTTATTGGCTCTTGCAACAAACATCCGAACATACAAAGTTACAAAGATACAAAGTTACAAAGTTACAAAGTTACAAAGTTACAAAGTTACAAAGATACAAAGCCACAAAGATACATACGCTCACACCACTGACATATGAGCTATTTTTTCAAAATAGCTCAATAAGCCCAAACTTGAGTAAACATTGAAGATTTTTAGCGTTTTGGCTGAGTTTGTGCTTTGGGAGTTGTCTATTATTTCTAGTCTGTCATTATACAGCATTCTTGTTCAGCACGCGTGCAATGACTTCCGAATACTCACCGAGATATAATAATTTTAGTACAGTGAGACAGGCCATCGCGTGATACATAGAGGTTTAACTAACAATTTTTAATCAATGCTAGGGCTTCTTGCGCCTTTGAAAAAAAATCAAGAAGTGCTACACACTAAATCTACTTACTATTAGAAAAATATCATTTTTTCATAGCTTTAATGCAAGCCAATAATTAAACCAACTCGTGACGGGAATATCTCGGTGAGCATTCGGTAGTCAGCCAAGCGTGGTCATTGCACGCGTGCTGAACAAGAATGCTGTATAATGACAGACTAGAAACAATAGACAACTCCCAAAGCACAAACTCAGCCAAAACGCTAAAAATCTTCAATGTTTACTCAAGTTTGGGCTTATAGAAGATAATGTCACAGTTTTTCAATGAACATGAAATTCAGAGTCCGGGTAGTTAGCTAATCAATTGTGGCCCTGAAAAAATTTGAAGGAAAAAAAACTACGAATTTTTAAGAAAATGCTTTTTTCGTGAGAAGGACTCTTAAACGCTCACAAACGTGAACAAATAGCGAAAACTATAATTTCTATATGTTTGCTTTGCTCGAAATCGCGCGCATTTACAAGGCCCTAAAGCGTTTTGCTGACTTGCAAGGACCCATACGTTATAACGATGCCCAAAATAAATAGGTGAATCTCATAGTTAATTAGATATAATCCGTGTAAAGTTTGCTTATCATTTTCGCATAAATTATGACCTAAATTTGGAAACCGCTGAATTTCTCGAATTGGGTCTTTGCGATTTTGGTGAAACTCTGTTCAGCGCAAGGCACTTATGCGCACTATGTGTAGCCGAGAGATTATCACGAAAAAATACCGGCAACAGCAGATTTTCCAACCTCGTTCCCAGGGCTTTTCCCATAGGTTGCAGATTTTCGACTCAGATCTCAAAGGGGCGTGGCATTATAACCAAGTGACATTTACTCCGATCGCCAAAAATTTTATGTTATATTGTAGATTGATCTATATGTTATCCATTCTATGTGTTAGACTTACGATACAAGTAAAGGTGGGGATACCAGAGAGCATCAAAGTAGGATGGTACCCCCCCCAAAAAAACTGGGTCGAGTCACCTTAAAGTCCCCAAGATCGATTTCACGGTTAGAACAACGAATAAAGGCGGTTCAACGAATACGCTTCTCATTTGCATGTTTTCGTCTTTTTATTTACTCTCGTATTTTCTTTGCCTTCTTTCAGCAAGTCTTGCTAGTGAAAAAACAGGACCAATCAATCCATGGGAGAGATTTAATATGGGCGAGTCGTCATTTGGAAATGAAACAGTCCAAAGACGGCAAAGACCATTTGAGGCATTAACTTCAGCTAGTGATAACCTAGTGACTCATATCAGCGGTTGGAAGAAACAGTGCTCACGGACAGGCTCATAAAATCTTTGACCACTGAATGTCATCAATAAAACTCGACTGATTACTGACTGGAAGGAATTCTCGGGAGCATAGTATTGAGCAAACAAGTTGGCGTTCAACGTACGGCACTTGTTTTTTTGGGATCTCTATGTGGTTTTCAAGGGTCAGACTTTAAAAATACAAGTTGAAAAAATATCCATATGAAAAGGAGGGAAAGAAAAATGAATTCAGTTTGGAGCAGTGGTCCTATCGTCATTTAGACCATGCTTATGCGAACTGGCTGCCATTTCTACATCCCCCATTATAAATCTTGTTTGCCCACCAAAGTTTTGCATAACCTTTGTTTTTCATTTCTCCCGGGTATTGTAGTCATCTCAATACAAATTGGAAAGATTGCTTATGCAAAAGTTGGGTGGCAAACAAGGTGCATTATAGATGTGCAAATGGCGAATTAGTGATTTTAATTTGGGACAGGCAGCGATTGTGTCTGTGGTTGATTTTCTTCAATTCGCTACTTGCACATCTCCCATCTCTCTACTGATTAAATAAACTTTGGGCCTTATCCATGTTCTCTCCATAAAAATATTATCAAAGTAAGCGAAAAACAAAACAAAAGCCTAACAACGTTTAAAATAACTACAAGTATGTTTACGACCATTGAGAAGACTGTTCACAATCACCACTTCATTGCAACACACTGTAACTACACTTTTCCTTCATAACCAAATTAGCACTTCCACAACTACCTCACTGCAACACCTAAAATCACTTTTACCTCCGAAAATAATAATTTTTCGTTACTTCATATTAAATTCTACGAGAAATAAGTTCCATTAATTGACAAACTACAGCCATTATCTTAGCAATTCACGTCCAATACCATCTCAATTAATCCCTCAAATTTACAACGCTACTTTACTACTCACACATCCCCCAATACACATAAAAAACCACACACGCCTAGTACATCGACGCCCAAATATACGCTCCCACAGCGTCTTGTTGAACTTTGTAGAGATTATTGAGGGGGACATTGGGGGTACCCAATACCGCAAAGCCGTAAGAAAAATTGGCAAATACCGAAACACTGTGTCGAAAATCGACGAAATAAAGATATTGCATTTATGATCGGTCACGCTTATTTTAACGTTGTATCCATCTCGCGTGTTTTTGAATACAGCAAAAACCCGCAACTAAGAACCTGTTAGCCTAAAATTGGTCATTTATACCCCCTATAAACAAGAACCTATTTAGCCTAAGAAATTTAAAACAGTAGTACATTACAGCTGCATTGCAAGAATCATATTTGAAGCAAACAAAGCAGATTGCCATTGCTGTAAAAATGTTTTTTAAAGAAAAATGAGTGCAAGATATGTAGACTTACAAAGCATACTAACTGCTTTTTCTCCAGGATTAAGAACCCATTTTAAGAACCTAAATAGCCTAAAATTCTGTTAACTACCATTTATAAAAGAACCTGTTTAGGCTAACTCCTAAAAATGTAGGTTCTTAGTTGCGGATTTTTACTGTATCTCAAGCATGTATACACAAGAAATTACAGTCGAACCTCTCAAATACGGACACCGGTCGACTGAATCGACTTAGAGAGGTGTCCGTATAAAAGAGGTTACCTATGGTGACGTCGCTTTTATGACTCTACTTACAGTTTCAAGTGTTCAGTATAAAACCAGGCTCACACATTTAAAGTTATTAATTCACAGTACAAAGACATCGTCTTTCAGTAGCACCCAACATTGTACATCTTAGCTATACAGACAAATTACTGTTACTGTTTTAAAACGAAACGAGCTACAGCGCAATGCTGCATGTAAGAATTTGTCAGGTAAAGCACAATTCTGAAAGCATCTTTTGCTATTTTGCAAGTGCAGTAAACAATAACTAGATTACAAAATGTAATTGAAAAGATATATATGCTATCTGTAGTTATTGAAGCCTTCAAACAGTCGCTTATGTTCCTCTGTAAACCTTCGCAAATCGTTGTTTGGTATACAGCGACTGGGCTTTATATCACCTTGCATACTGAGCTCGCCAGCCAGACTAGACGGGATTCACCCTGTGCAGATTCACCTGGGGCCAAGATTCAGTGTCGGTTGTCCGTATTAGAGAGGATTTTTTAAAGAAAATATATATCAGAATTTTGTCGGAACATTGGAAACTGTCCGTAATAGAGCCGGGTGTCCGTACCGAGAGGTTCGACTGTATTAAATGAGGCCGAATGTGATGTGAAGATTGATGCAAATCGAGGTAGCTTTTGTCAGGGGCACCCAACGGCAATTTTCGGGAAAATATCTGTTCGGAAGGCGATTTGAGATCTAGAAATTTCGGAGCATTTGTTGTACCATTTCGTGCTTGCCTGCCTCTCCTAGGATTTTCGAACATCTACAAAATGGTATAATTACTCATTTTTAACGGATTTTGACCCTAAAAAAGGCCACCTAGAATTTTCGGGAGCCTTTTCCTGGCTGAAATTTTCGAGAGGGTAAGTTTTTATCCCTATAATTTTCGGATCACTAGATTTTCAGCTAGGAAATCCGAACAGATGAAAAGTTTTTAGGGGATAAAAATATGCCTATATCTACCGTTTGAATACTAAAATACGTTCAACAATGCTATGTTAAGTGGTTTTGAACTATATCCTCGTTGGGTGCCCCTGTTTTCTCATCCGTCGAGTTGAATTTTTGCTGTTCTTACAGTTGTTTTTAGGCAGTAGTTTGTCTATTTCTTCATTACAAATCGTGTGAAATTTCCCGCCATTTTCTCTAGCTAGATGAGCTAACGCCACTTCGTCTCCGCTTTTCGATTTCCACGCTTTTTTCTGCAGTTGTTGTTATGAACCATTGACGTCATTTTATCGGATATCGCGTGCGAACGTCTTCCAAATATGGTTAACGTTAGCAGGTTATGAAGAATTAGCCGGAGGATTAGCGGAGAAATATTTGAAATCTACGGCTTAGACGACAGGTTACAAGAGCAGTTTAACACTTTCCGAACGCGACATGTTTTGGCATTAGTTCTTCCTGAGGGTGAGGCTCTGTGCAGAAATCCCATTGTTGGCTTTTAATACATTTTACAATCGTTAGTGCATAAATTCAAAATGGCTGCATATTGCTCAAGTTCCTTTTTTTGAAGTAGAGGAGGAAGAGAGGAAATCGAGGTCCATAAAGGGGCGGGGGGGGGGGGAAAAAGGGCCAATATCCGGCCATGTTTACAGAACCAGCGACAACCTCGTTCGTTGGAACCAGTTACAATACATTGAGTAAATAAAGCATTTACTAAATGGACTGTGGGCCAAATTAATGATATGGCTTGCTTGGACAGCTATCACTGTAATCAAATAAGTTACTGTGTAATCACAGACCGTCTGCTCCGCTTGCTTTGCGTTCGCTGAGTGTTTCTAAAACTCACCCAAACTTTCTGTTGCTTATGAAGTGATGTTCTTGTGCGCTGTATGTTTTTTTTTTCTTTTTTTGGCATCTCCAAATAATGTAGTAAGTGTTGGAGTGCCAACTCCGCCCTTGCCGCTCATTACTATCGGTAGAAAACCGAAATAAAGCCGCATATTGGCCATACTATAATACAAGGAGTACTATGGCCGGTGGGTTGGTAGCACTGCTTCCGTGCACAGTCATCCCCCCGCCTCCGTGCACAGTCATCCCCCCTACCCTCCCCACCCCCTCATTTCATCTATCGTAAAAAGTGAAATTCATCATGGCCATGGTAGGCCAGGCGGCGAGCGTTCTTTTCAATTTCGTTTGGTTAATAGAAACAGCATTCTACATATAGAAATACGTACTTACAATCTGATTAAAACATGTGAATTATTCATTAAAACATTCGACTTTAGTCACGTATGTTTCGTGCCTTCAGCGTGTTTTTTGAACATTCCCCGTTCCATGTGTTGCGTGGGCAAACCACAACGCGGAAAATAGTGCGTCTGTTTCTAGAGAAAGCTTCATAAGATGGTAGCCAGGATATTCAAATATCCGGTTGAAATATCATAATACGTGATCACGTACGCAAATACAGACGGCGGTTGATGAGGGCTTGTTCGCTAGTTTTAAGTAAGTGTTTCTTAACGTCGCCAGTCTACTGCTTCAGGAGGTAGCGGTTTGTTTCATTCCAAGTAAACTGTTAATTACTGAGCCATTGATCCTTTTTATGAACTAAGTTAACTTGTGCGGAGACCGCCACCTGTCCAGCTTTGGCTTTTCGAGACCGACTGAACTTTCACAGCAAAAAGCAGAAACTCGTGTCAGCCACAGAGGTGAAAGGTAAGCCCTCAGTGTTACCAGGTGCGGTTATTATCAGCATTCGCATCATTTAATACTGTAGCATCAACCTCAGATAGGACTGGAACTACTGCATTTCGCGCCAGTTCAGTATGACCCAGCGGGAAATTGTACTCCCGTTGTACAGCGAGGGAGATTTTTTTCAGGCCGATACCCCCCATGGAGACTTCACTAGACTTGGTTAAGAATAATTTGGTACTCACTAATACTTGAGTGTCTGCCTAATACAGGACTCACTGCAATAGAGAAACTTAAAGGATAAAGGATTGCTCAGCGATACGTTATTCTTCCCGTCGGTAGTAAAGCCTATGAACGTTTGGTTTCAGTTGAAAACTCGTACTCGTTAGCATGCATGCAATTCTCGTAACCGTGCTCTAATGTAAGAGGGTCGGGCTGTCCCGGTACTGCTCTTTCCAAATGACACGAACTGTTTCGGTGTTTCCGAAAGGAAAACAGCACTGCATAAATAGCCGCCTTACGTTCGTAACTTGCTGTTATAGTTTGTTTCGAAAAAGTGAAGTTTTGCCGGAAATTTGTATTGATATATAATATTGATATGGACGTTTCATTTTTATGAATATTTTGCAGAAGTTTTGTGTGTTGTTTTTATAAGATTTTTATAAGATTTTAATAAAAAAAGTTTCTATTATTATCATGATTATTAATTATTTATTATTATTATTATTATTATTATTATTATTATCATTATTATTATTATTATTATAAAGCCTATATAGCGCCGATACCAATAGTAGCTATTTTCATTACAGCTTCCTCCTCATTCCTTCTTAGCCTGAATTGATTTTAACTTTAGTATTCATTACTCAAATATCTTCGTTCGAACTGTGATTATTAGCATGATCAATTACAACTTTTTGCCAAGTTTTACAGTTTTTTGGCGAAAACTTTAATGCTTATTATATATTCGTTACGACAAGCACAATTTTTTGGAATTTTTACTCTTTTAAAGTTGCATCTACAGTTCCAGCCCTAGCTGCAGCCGCCTCTCTGGCGGTTCAAACGAAAGTTTTAGCGTGAAGTTGGTACCATGCAGGAGTCTTTTTCATGTCAACAGACTGTGAATCGATCACGGTCAAATTTAATAGTAAAAAACGCGGTCAATATAGTCATTCAAAAATGTAGCTTTACATACATATGGAAACAAGTTAGCATATTTGGAGACCTGGTTCAGCCACTCCGGACTACCTAGAAATTACCACCTGTCGGCCTCCGAGGGTCGGGTCTATTTTAGTTTCGGTGTCTTATTTCAAAAGACAACCAGGTCCTTTTATGGCCACAGTACAAAGCTTGAACTCACTCCCTACGTTTATTTTTACTTTTTAATGTAGACACCCTTGGAACCTGATTTCCCGTTTCTAGCTCATCAATATACAATACAAAAAAGAAAAGAAAAAACATGTCAAGAGACCCTTAATGGCCTCTTGATCATGTACAATCGCGAGGAACAAATACATGTACTATAAAACTATTGTCGCATGACTCGGTGCCTTACGATTCATTTATTAAAGTTCGGCTGTATTTTAGGTTTTTGTTTCTCTGGTGACCCTCTATAAGTCCTTTCTGTTGTTTAAGTAGTTTCCAAAATGAGGACTAGCTACTGCATTTCACTTTGTTCAAGATATACATTCATGGTCTAATCTCCAGTCATTGCTGATTAGAATTTCAGTTTTTTAAGGGCGGTTGTACAAAGACAGACCACGTGATCTACTTGCAATACCGGGAACCATTGATAGTAGTGGCGGTTTTATCGTTTTCCGCCGTAAATAAAAGCATGATGATCAAGATCTAAGAGGAAGACTTGTGAGATAAAAAGACCCCGGGGCGCTACCTCTTGAGAAGGTTACTAAACGGCGTTTAACAACCATGTTTTTAAAACGGCTTCAGTCAAGCTACTGGAAGTTCCTGCAATAAGTTTAAAGGCATAACGGAGTCCCAGGTCTATGAGCCTGATAAGTTTTACTGACAACACGTCGGGCCAAAATTGCTCGAATCAGTGAAAGAAAAAGTTATTACTCATCTGAGAACAGCCCGCTTCAGTATGAAATAGAATGGCATATTTTCGCACAATCTAATTCTAGACTGATAAGAGAAGTAATTAAAATTGCATCAACGCCGCGATTAAATAGCTTACTTGCTTTTGATGACTTTTACCAACTAGTTTGAAATAACACTCAGTAGAAAATAACCCCATGACTTGCCGAAAAATTGAGGTGATGGCACTGAATATTTAATGCGTGTACTGGGATAAAATCTGATATGTTGTAACTACGTATTCAAAAGAACTATTTCGACCGAGTACTTTGAAAATAACATACTTAGAACTTCGGAACCTAGGCAATGCCGTTAAAGAAATCATTGCGTGCAAATTATAAACCACAAGTCCAACTCAAAACAGACGACGTTTCACAAACTTTTAATGTTTGTTTAGCTATAACGCCTCTTAGGCGATTTTGGCCGCGCAGAGAGGAAGCGCTTAGGAAACAGTCGCCACTTAAAAGAATTTACAAATGCTAAACTTAATGATTCGTCCTCTTTGATGAAAAATTCCTCTCGTTATTTTCAACCTCACTAAACATCTTCCGTCTTCCCTTTTCATCGAGTAGCCTTTCATGGTGGATTTATTGCAAGGCAAAAGGGTTTCTTATAATGGAAACTTTCCGAGGAAGACACTTCAGTTTCAAGCGCGATTTTAGCGGCTTTAGTAATAATTTAATAATTCTTCGGCTAGTTTAATCGCCTATCGGAAGAAATTCAAAACATGGTAAATATCGGAACCCTTTGTAGCGCATCAATTCGATAACACGCATAGTCTCCTCGGATAATGACTCACTTTTGGCACTACAAGATTTCTTTTCAGCTGTTAGTTCAGTCTGCCCACCCGAGTGATTTCGACTGAGAAGAAGCAACAAGAAAGTTCTTTCATGGTAATATAGCACCGGTTAGTATGAAAAATGAGCTACGAAGCGTTTTACTTTAAGCAAATCATTCTAACTAATTTTTTACATTTCTAAATTTTCTTCTGCAAAATGATGGAAGGTTAACGGTAGCCGGAAAAAGAAAAACACAGTTCGACTGCAATTCGTCGAACTGTCATCATACTTTTTTACTCAAGTTTCAATCCACCTACTCTAAAAGTTTAATGAAACTACAGTTAATGGTTTAGCCCACTTTAACTAAAGGAGAGAAATTAATAATAATAATATCATTTTGCCGCAGTTGTTCTCCAGGGCAGCCAAACTAATTTGTTAAAACAAAATCGCTCAATTTCGAAGACTAACACGAATGGACATAAAGCTATTGGATAAAACGTCCAGCGTCAAAAGGCCCGAGACACCGCGGCGCTATTTAGTTTAACAATGAAGCTTAAAACGCCATACATTTACATATAGGTTGCCTCAGTGTGCTCTCTCGTTTTGCGCGAAAGGGCAAGCTAAGAGGATTAAATACAAGCCAAGGAGGAATCTGTTATTTCCTTTTTCAAACGGCCAGAAAAGTTTTCGCTTGGGAAAAAATTTAATATTATAACTCAGGAAAGAGCTGCCCAGTATACCGGTCGACTAATAAATTATTTTTACTTACTGGGGTCAGACTAATTCTACAAAAACGAGTACACAAAGTCACGCGTTTCAAGGTTTGGTTTCGGGAGAGGCGAGTGTGTTCACACGAAATGAGACCAAACTCATTTCAGAAATTTAGTGTGACCAAGTTATACCCTGATCAAAATCTTACTTGAAATTATTTTGTGGCTTGGATCGGAAATTTAAGCGCGGGTTTTGACTGCTCGTTCTTTTTGGCGTTCGGCTCTTTTCGAAGACGGAAAGTGACGATACCGTAAAGTGTATTCATTTCGCCTGTGATCCCAGCGGGTGGAAACTTTTCAACCCCGCAAAACCTGGGTTTGAGAAGGCTGAGAACGTCTGTTTCCCCCTAAAAATTTGCCCAAAGACTAATGTGCCACATGTCGCGTTACAAATGGGCAATTAAAGACTGTTGGGTCGAGTCGCTAGGCAATAAATTGGCCCAATGAATATTTAGTGAATGATCCGTCGCCGATGTCAGTATTTTATTGAAGATTTTCGGTAGTATTTCATCTCGAGGCCTGAGGGTTTTATTCGGGGGCAAGCGCCAGCAAATCACGTAGCGAGAAAGGTTTCGTTTTTGAAGCCGCACTCACGGGATTTTGATGGCTTATAATTTCATATCGGATCGCCATTTGTACAGGTTAATTTTGTCGGCAATAACGTTATTTTCGTAGCGTTATTAGGCCTATTGCGGTGAAACAAAGTTTCAATTAGCGATGTCTATTCAACAGCGTGCGGTTCTGCTCAATTATATTCTGTAAAGCTTTATTGGTGCGGTCCGAGGCAAAGGAAAGCTATCTATGAAAAATTAAAATGCCTCTTATGTGGATAAATTGTCAAGGGAGAAATACATACGAACCACGGCATAGATCACAGGAAAAACAACAGCTTTAACAAAGAACTTCATCGCCGTAGGACTGTTTAAGTATTAGAAAAAAATTTGTTTTTTTTTTACGAAAGTTGAAAGTTTTATTTTCTATACAAAAAATAATAATACATAAATAAGCCGCAACTTTGAGAAGATATTCGGTGTAGGTTCTTGTTGCTACGAAGATTTTTTAAAACGCATGAATCCGCTTATAGATATACTGATATTTTAATAACCTCCATTGCCTTAATAACAAACCACGCGCGGAAAAACAGACCGCGGAAACTGCAGAACAATGATCAAGGATAAACGCAAAAAAAGTCATAAGTCGGGTCGGTGCGTTTTCAAGAGGCGATCGAGCCGTTTTCTCCGGATTATTCAATTAGCATTGCAATAAAAAACGCACAAAGAGGCAAGATAAATGAGAGCTTTCCAGGCCCCGCCCTCACATCTTTTAATATTTCGCGCGGTTCTTTGTTGGGTACTGCGGCTTGCCTTTCAACTGGTTAAGTGAGTCAGAAGATGCGGGGTCTTGAGAGCCGCATTTAATGGCTACATTTGCTCAGCCAATTTAACGCACACTGCCGAATAAGGGCGTTTGAGGCACTTTGTTTTGAGGTAAAAGTTAAGTTAATCCACCAGGCCAGACCATTAATGATTTTTTAATTATTTTTTGACAGATTAAATGATTGATAGACAGAGGCGGTCCCTGTGACGGTCAGCTTGCAGCGGCGCGTATAGAACAATAACAAAAAGAACACGAGTGATGTTCAAGTGCGCTCATAAACAACAGTAACCCCCAGCGGAATAAACTCCTTTAGCGGTCCTGCGGTCGGGCTACACTTTAATAACTTTTGCTTATTCACAGCAATGCTGGGTCTGCTATAGCGTTGTTTTGACGAATTGGACCTGGAATAACTGCTCGCTACATCTAGGATTGACGCTCACGATGAAAATTTACGCAGCGTTCGCTTCATGGTATCTTGTGGTGCTCTTTCACGCGTGGCCAAGTGTAACACTCGCGCTCGAGAGAGCTCTGGTTGAAGTAGTGATCTACGAGCCTTCGTCGGGTGGAGACTACAAAACCTACACTTACGAGCTAGAAGGGACCTTTTCCAATGCTGGAGCCGCTACAAGCGCTGAAGGGGACATACTCGAGGTAAGAATTTTCTAATTCACTCGTGCTGGCTAACACAAGTTCTCGCCAGTACATGCTGGTACAGCCAAGAATTGTCGCTGAGAGTTCTGCGGTTTTGTTTATCTCAGTACGCTCCACACAGGCCAACTCATTGTAGTTTTGTAACATTTTGCGTGCGATCCTTCAAGGCTTTTCAAGCGACTATTTTCGATTTGTTTACCCAGTGCCGGTCAAAAGTCCCGCATGCATGACATATTGAAGTACCGAGACGCTTCGCTAGTTTGTTGGCTCGATTTAATGAGTCCAACTGATCGCTTTCATACAAAGCATCGGCATTGGTTTCAACGTAATTATAATTACACTCATTTTTCTACTCGATGTCACGAAAGAAAACCGTTTTTTGGTGTTCGCTTGAGCGACCCTTGCCTTTGTTGAAATTTTACCCTGTTACGAGTTTTCTCTGTAAAAGTGTTCATTTCAGTTTGCGCGATAGACTATTACTCGCAGTTTCATTCGTCGCGAGCGCCAGTTATTCATATCCTGCATCTTTTTAACCGCATTCGCTGAATCCCTTCTTTCGTTATAAACGGTTTTGTTTCTAAGAGAACACAATCGCGTTTAGCTGTTCGATCTGATCATTCGTTCGATTTGTCGAGGACGTGACTGAACGTTTCTCAGCCTGTAATCAATTACCCATGTAGTTTTTAATCACAATGTGTTGGTTTCCGTCGCTTTAGCGGTGGAATGTTTTGGGTATTTTCTGAAGCGCGCTGTTGCGTTCTTAGTGCTTTGACATTTCTCGTGGCATTTCTCTTTTCATTTGCTCGAATTTAACAGCTTTAAGTATTGCTCTTCAACTCGCCAGTGTTTTTATAAGAAGGGGTCGATAGGTCAGGGATGTGTACTCTCCGTAGATTTGTCAGAAAACTGCGTTTATTTGCATGCCGGAAATGCGAAGCCTTTTGAGTTGAAGAGGGCGCTTGCTTCACGCGACATGACTTGAATAGAGCTAATTTTCACCTTCAAAATGTTTCCTTTATTGTGGATAACGCAGCCGCCCTGTAAACCCCATCATCATTTAATTCCCGTGACAATGAGTAGATTCTTTTCATTCGAGCGAGTTCCGTTTTAATCGCAAATCGAAATTCCGTCTGTAACTTTTAAATTATGTGATCAAATCTTCTCAAAGTCTTTGACCCACGTGCATATGAACCCAGGTAGGTCCCAACATTACCCATGTTTTATGGCTGTTCTGGGATGACAGATTGGATCTTCGATTGGCTACTCGGTTGTGTGCTTGCTTAAGATAAAATGCTATTGCTTACTCAACTGCCGGTTATGGCCTGGATTACTAATCTCTGGTTAACATTTGTTAAGTGAACCAATCTTTGGAAATAGAAAACAATAAAGCGGTCTTCCCATTTTTTTTTTTTTTTAATTACTTCCTTTTCATATTCAAAGGTAAATGAAATGATCTAGTTGCTACGGCTTGAAAACTCAAATGCAAAGTTCTTTCAAAACTGACATTGTGCTAAAGGTATCACGAAAATTTGTTCTTCGCTTTTAGGAACAAAAGAGGGCTTTACGTTAAAACCACAGAAGAAGGCAAGACGTGACAGACAATTTACCTATGCGTCTTTAAATTAATCTCAAGCGGCATACGAAGACCGATAACTTTCCTTCGTTCTACGGAAAACATACTAAAATATAATTAAGTTTGACGGGCCCTAAGCCGCGGGTCCGAATAGGTGTTTATCATCCTCATAAGGCTAGTACTACAATACTTGCAATTACAATTCTTGAAAGCCCTACACAAAGCTGTTATTGCCGCGAGATCGGGATAATTAAAGGAGCAAGACATTTTTGAATTAAAACAAGGACAATACAATCGTTTAAGCGCTTAGTTGGCCATTGTTAAGGTGGCGTTTTTCATAGAAGCGCCATCACAAACTGATAACCTTTTTCTTCTCACTATCAAGTTCCATAAAATGCGTTCAAAAAAATATGAAATTCCACCTGAAGCAAACATCGACAGAAAAAAAAGGTGATATATCCAATTTGTGCTTTTGATCGTTCAGTTAAAAAGTCTATCAGTCGCTAAAATGATTAGCGTTGAGCTATTAAAACTATACATGTCGTGTTCCATCTCAGCGTTTTCCGCATGTGAATACACGAGTCGTATTAAAAGTTTCGTGCTTTCCAAAGAACCTTTCGAACTCTACACGACGCATCACTTTTTCGGTTAATGCACTGTCCTTTGTGAAACAAACTTACGTGAACACCGTTTAATTTCGCGGGTATTCTTAAAACCTGAATAGATCAACGTACAGTAAAACCCTTTTTCGTTACTTCAAATTCTAGAACACTACTGTACAATTTGGAGGCTTTGTTTTAAACCTTTTTCTTAATTTTCGCTTCTTTTTATAGCAGACAATTCGCCGAGCTAATAATATTAAGTGAAATAACACGTGTGAAACCCTTCAAATAATCTGTCAGCGTACGAGGCCTCGTCGCTCGCGGCGAGATCAATTCAAATTTTAATATAAAACAAGCTTACATTTCCTAATCTCAGTATGCTCTTTTACACCCATCGGAACCACCACCTATTTCACTAGTTTGTGCGTTTCCGCGTACAAACGTCCACTATTTGGACCGTCGAGAACATCTTGATATTTGAGGGTTTATCTCTAGACTAAACTTTGTGGGGGAAACCGGCTTGATTGCCTCGGTTAATTACACTAATGGTTTTTCCAGAGCTCGTGAAAAGAAGAACCGATCTTTTCCCCTCCGTTTTCGTGCAAAGAAGATTAACTTGATCGATGTAATGATAGCAGCATAAACAATAACATTGCTTATCTTTGACGGAATAACAACGACTTCTACGGATGATCTTTTGTTTTGCGCGAAGTTATTAAAAACTTGTTTTTCTATTTCTCTCGGGTTGAGCGAGGCGACTTTGGAATTTAAGATTTCGCGTAGAACTTGCTCACAGCTGGATTGACACTTTTTTCGGAATTCTTAGAAAACCTGAAATGCCAATTTTATTTAAAGAATAACCTCTTCAAATAATTACACGAGTATTGAAACAGGTCCTTGAGGGGCTTTATTTTGAAAACAATCTTTCAAGAAAGGATTTTGTTAAGTGTGCGTGTAATAACTGACCACTTGAACTTTAGATGCGGGCTGATGAAGATTAAATCTAAAGAAACCGAGTAATTTTACAAGCTGTTTTCCTTCTTTAATAGCCACTATAACTTTTCAATTAATCGCAGTGGAAAAGTAATTGTCTGCATTCGGTGCCGGAATATTTGCTGCCCCTCCTGGCCAAATTAAATATGACCCGAAATTGAAGTCAAGTGTGAAACCACTGATTCACCCGAGTGATTTTGTAATTAAAATGTTCTTTCGTCGCTTTCGGTTTTGTCCTTTTTGACGTGAAGTTTTTAACCAGCGAACCAATAACTTTTAGGTCTTAAAACTGGGAACAAAAACTCGCGATTTTCGCCCGTAATATTGAGTGTTAAGTAATTTGAAACGTCTCAAAAAATTCGCCGTGTTTTGTTGCTCCAAGAAAAAAAATTAAATCTTTATTAAGTTCTTACAATGTTGTTATGCAAACATTGTTTCAGGTATGTTATTACGAACGTCATTCAATTTACTTCTTTTCTTATCGCGATATTGTTTTAACATGTCTCGTTGCATTGAGCACCTCGTTTTAACGTCGGCCCCTTCTTAGTCGTTTGGACAAACTCTTGTTTAATGTTTATCGCAACTCCACAAAACATCTAAAGATTCCACGCACCGCCGAAAGTATAGCCAATGTTGTCCCTCAACAAAACTAAACTTCACTTTTCCATTTGATTCTTCCTTGATTACCGTCTTTGTAAATGAAGCCACCCTCGTGTGATCTCGCAGCGTTGTTTGTCTTAGGAATGAAATAAAGAACCAAGCAGACTTTTTTGTTACTATAACCCTGACTGTTTTACGGAAGGTCAAAGCCATGTGTCCTGTCGAGTGATATCCAATCATAAGTTCACTATTTTACTCGCGATACTTTCTTGATTGTCTCATCGTAAAAATTTAATCAACTTTCAGCAAAAACGTTTCCACTCTGATTCTTTTTCGATCTCTGCTGAAACTGAATATAATTCGGGAAGAAGAAAAATTAATATTTACAAGAGAAATACAAAAATTCTCCTTGGCTCTTTTTTGTTATGTCCAGCTGCTTATTTTTAATATAAATTGTGGAGACCGAAGGAACATTCTACTAAAAAAATAACATTGGCTTGGAAACGAGTACTTCTTCCACATCATGCTAGCATTCAGTCACATTGTTGAGTATTTTTTCTTTTATAGGTTTATTATAGAAGGAAGTTTTTCTGCTTAATTTCTTCTGATGCCTACTTGGTTTGAAGTTTCTTAAAACTTGTTTAAAAAACTCATCCCTTTAAGCTTTCAATCGGTTAAAATCGGCCATCTCGCTTCAAGATGTTGATACATATACATTGTCATACTCCTTGTTGCTATGGTAACTAACAGATTAATACAAAAATAGACATTTTAGCCAGCATTAGTGGTCATTGGTGAGGACAGTTTTGCTTCTAGGCAAACAGATCTCTAAAACTGAAGCTTGTAAAGGATTAGCCTGAATGCAGTATGGCTGGCTGGTGATTAAAACAATGCAGACCAGACATATACAAGAGGGGGCAAGTGTAAGAACCCAGGGTACAATAATCCAGTTTCAAAGATTTATTTGTACAGGGTTAGCCTCAACCTAAAGAAAATATTCACAAAATTTGTAGCCTGTACACAGACCTTGTTTTATTTTTCCTTTTGTTCTTTTCGAAAACATCTTGTGCTGGTGGTCAATAAATCTCCTACGGTTTATATTTTATCACCAGCGCTCGACAGACTTTGAAGAGAAAATAGAGGGTCTGTAAACAGGCTACAAATACCGACCTGAAGGTGCCGGAATTTGAGTTTAAAGCAACAGACACAGTTGCTCACAGGTCTTCTACTGACTGGAATTTGTGATTTATATTTACCTTATTTAGGTCAAGGCTAACCCTGTATTATACCGTATTTATTTGAACAAGCGCCCAACCTTGAATTAGCACCCACCTCAAATAAGCGCCCATCCTAAAGGCCGAAAAAGTTAATAAGTGCCCAGCCTCAAATAAGCGCCCACCCGCTCCTCCTCCCAATCAAACTCAAATAAGCCCTCACTCCCACCCCACCCACTTGAGTGAATAAATTCTAATAAGAGACTTCCCCGAGGACGGAGTTTTCTTCAGAGTATTTTACAGAAACCTTGCTTTGTTACTTCTTCACGTTTTGTTATTAGCATTTATTGTTTTGTTGCAAAATAAACATACTTCACTTTCTGAAAATGGTGAAAATTTAATAAGCCCCGACCTTGAATAAGCACCTCCTCTCAAGGTCCAAAAATTGAAAATTTAATCTAAAGACAGCTCTATACATTAAAGAAACATTTATTTCCTGAGCAAAATTTTCCTCTGACTTAGAAGCCCAGTGCCATTCATGTCATCCACCCTGCCAAAAATTAGAATTATTTTGTACAGCATGCAAAAAAGCACCAAAAACCTTTGGTGGAATTTTGTGTTAGAGAGCAAGTCCAGTAGACGCTAATTTATGTATTTGGTGAATTCATTAATTAATTATTGTCTTTTTGTCAGATTCATCCACTTGGGCTGTGTAATACCTCAGATGACAATGACTTGTATGAATATGGTTGGGTGGGCGTTGTCAAGCTTATGCCCCCAGATGAACTCAATGAGCCATGTTTCACACTACTTGAAAAGGTAACTGTCTTGTTGTAACTTTTGTAGGATGTGACATGCTCATTTGCAGGAAAAAGGCCACAAATTTGTTCTGCTATATACATTGTATTTGTACTTAATAGATGAGTTCAGTGGAGGACTTGAATGTTTCCTTTATTCAGTTCATTATTAAAGCGAAAATAATGTATCCAAAGGAATGAATGAGGTTTCTTAAAATGTAATGATATGGAGAAAAAAGTGAGGTGTCTATAAACAAAGATGTTATTGCAATCTCTTGATTGTTTGAGTCAGCAGAGTATACAGTAGAATAAAGCCCACTTAAAAACTAACTGATGAAAGATGAAAACAATAAATTGGGGCCGGAGAGTAAAAAATTTCTGTGAAGTTTTAACTTTAGCTAAGTTCATTTGGGAGAGTTTTAGACAGGGGGCTATGGAACTAGAGTAAAACCTAATTTCTGTGACATACTGGAATTTGGCCAAAGGCCGAGAAAATCTGGTAGTATTAACTAGTGAAATCTTTTAAGTTTGAAATCCTTAAACATACATTGAGTCTTATAATGTTTGTCACAACCCCTGTGCTTGTGCAATAATCAAGTATGACAAAAAATTGTAAATTTTGTGGGTCTTCAGGAGGTTCTTAGACTGGAACAGCAGACATATTTCCGGTCGTCACTTCTCCTAGGAGGTTCTCATGATCAAATTCAACATAGTTGCAGTTCATCTAATATGACAATTTAGGCCCCCTTGATATTATTGATACAGTGCATCATCAATAAATGAAATAAGAAATAAATGCTGTCTGCTCGATCTACTTTTAGAAAATATCCCATTAAAATTATGAAATTACAGAGACAAAAAATTACCTAAATGACAATCTGACTTACTTTTAATTGCAGATTACTAACATAGTTGGGTGCCTTTTGAAAACACTTTTAATAAACATTCTTGTTTTCCCAAGCTGAGCAAAGATGGCAATCAATCCAAAATTAACCATTGCACCTGGAAGATAAAAAGTTCATTTAGGGTGTGACCACTAAGGATTAATTAACACATTCTCACTCTGAACTAGACTAATTCTGCCCACAGTGTGTAGGGTTGAAACCTTAGACATGTGACTGACGCCCATGATGAGCTATGATTTTTTTGTCCTTTTTTTAACAAAAATGTCCCTGCCCTTGCTAATACAGAACTGATTTCCAACCATCTCCAAAAATGTATGTTTCTTTGATCTTAGGGTCATCATATTTCACGTATATCAATTTTCCAGAAAAAAAATAATGTTATGTTGATAATGAGAAAAACATTTTGCACAATTATGTAAACCATATGTTAGTGTTAAAACAATAAAAAGTGTAAATGTGTCTAAGTTTAAAGCCATCATTGCATGTCCCTCCCACACTTGATGACCCATTTAACATGTTTTTCTTTATTTTCCTTTTTGCTCTTAATTAATCAATTGAAGGAAATAATATGTTATTCAAGGAGAGATACTTGCTTTTGAAGTATTATTTTTGTACTGCTTTTAAAAAGAGTTTTCCAAAACATCCGTAAGAAAAAAATAATGTATTTTCATTTCAAGTTGTTGGAAGAAAATAATGGGATTCAAACCCAATGAAATAAAAGCTCTATAACATGTACATTTATCAAGTGGAACCATGAAAAAGATTTCATTTTGAAAGTTAGAATACCACGGGAAATTTGTTTAGCTGATCAACAAAGTATCTTATTTATGGTTTGTTTCAGGTCAAAAGAGCAATGCAGAGAGGAGCAACTGCAATTATTTTTGATACCACAGATCATCCTGAAGCTGCAACAGAGGTAAGTTATATTTATATATGAGTAAAGTTTAACACATTTATGTTCATTTGGGTAAAAGACTGTTGTATATTAGCATATTGAAAGTTTAATGTATGGTAACTTTTGAGCAGCACAGTCAGTGGCTCACGTGTGTATCCTTACAACAATCTTGTCATTGAGAGCTGAGAACCAAGGGCGCGATCCATTCAACCAACATTCAGACCGGTCCGACCGGGAAAAGAGGACCACCTCAAAAGGTGGACCTGTTTTTTCGAAACTTTTCCGGTTGGACTGAACCGATCCATTGAGTTTTGGACCGAAATTTCCAGAAATTTTGGTTGAATGGATCGTGCCTTAAGTGAACATGAATTAATTATTTATAAAAAGGTATTACCCACTGCTTCAGCAAAAAAACACAATTTATAAAAATAAAACAACATAACCCCACTTACTTATAGTGGCGATAAAACAACAGATGTTTAGGTTGTTAACCTTGTGGTGCTATTGAAAAGAGAGTAAACAGGCTGCAAGAACAAATTAACTTTATTAATTGAAAAGCCAGCTTTCTTGTTAAGAGCGACTACCTAGTTGTCAATTTTTCTGAACTGAAAAGAACAAGATTTCTGATTATACATATATGTACATGTACCTCTGAAATGTTTTTTTATTACCACTGACAAACACGTTTAATTTTTTAACAATATGCTAATGTAGTTCCTGTTGGCTTCTTGATGCAGGTGAATATTTCAAATGATGAAATTAAGTGGAAATAAAAAGTCAAATTTGTGTCAAAACTCCTTTATGCATTATTATTAATATAAGAAGAAATAATTTTAGTACAGAAACCTTGGAACATGTAGTTCTGAACAATGATAAACAAAGGCTATCATTTACTTATACTTACAATGTACAACTTTCTTGACTTTTTCCACCTTTTAATTTGTTGCAATACTAAAATTAGAACCACAAACATGACTACATGCAGTTGCTGGTTATTTACTTCCAAAAACGAGTGTTTCTAAAGAGTAAGGAATGGGTGTCAGCCAATATAATTATTAAAAGTTTTATGGCTTTTTCAGCTAATAGCTTTAGAAACAGCTTTACATATTAAGTAAGAAAAAAAGAAAACGTCAAAATGTATGGTCATTAGTGACCATCCTCTTGCTGCTGATTTCAGTTAAATGCTGCAACTACCAAGATTGCCCGACCTGTTGTGTTAATAGATGGAAAAGATGCCAAGAAATTAATGAATATTATGAAGAAGTAAGTAGTTCATGCCATTGACTTAAAATTATTGTGCCATGACAGATAGATTAGTACAGCAATAAGTCTACAGTATTTAGTGTCACTGCAGTGCACTTGTCAAAGCTACAGCGTTTCAAAATGTAGCAGCTATCCCACCTAATAGAGATATATGTTGTAACATATACAGCCACATACCCAATAAATAAAAACACACTCCAATAAGCAACAGTTGGCCGCATGTCCATTAATGACATTCCTAGCAGACCCACCTTCCAAAAATTTATAGACTCTGGTGCAGTCGTTTATTAAAACAATAATAACTATAATATTGAATGAGGCTCTGCCTCATTTGGGTTATGTGAAGAATTATGCTGATCAAAAAGGATTGTGAATTTTTAATGGCCTCCCAGATTAACATAAAAGGCCATTTGCAGGTCAATGGCATCAACCAGAATCCATCATGCTTTCCTGTGCAAGTTAAGGCTTTTGTTATTTAAACCCCACTAGGATTGATTACCAGATTTAAATATGAAAGAAAAATTGAAAGAAATTCTGGTCTTAGTTGTTCAAACATATAATCACATAATAGCCTGGCCTTTTCTAGCTTCACATCAAATGAAAGCCAAATTCAATAACTGTTATTATTTAGGGCTGTAATATTAAGTTTAAAGGCCAGCTGTAGATTCACCTGTAACATCTCATAAAAGATTAATAGTCTGACTGCTATCTCAAGCTTTCCACTTTGATCACTCATAGCATCTCGTGAGCTCATCATGATCAGCTGTAACAGGTGTTACAGGTAACAGCCCTTGCACAGGGAACCTAAATGCTGTATTGTAAGATGGTTAACAATGCCAGTATCAAATGTTTGCTTGTCTGGCGCGTCGTAAAGAAGACGCGACAGTTGCATCTCAAGTTAACTATTAACTCTCCTTGGGAGACAATCTTGGGTTTCAATTTGACGGCCATGAGAAGAGAAAAGAGACAAGGGATGAAACTTTGTAGTGGCATTCATACGATCTGTGACTTCAGTTGACTTGACCAGTCTCACACATGGAAATGCGGGAAAACTCAATCCGGGGACCGGCAGCCTTTGACTGTAATCTCAGCGACACAGAACAAAAATCAATCTACTGATCATGGTAATTTCATTAATACTGGTGAGTCGTGTGTGTGATGCGGTGCCAGTCAAGCAAACATTGGATACCAGCAATGTTAACCATCTTTGACGGGATTCAAATTCCTTCCAAAACAACTCATAAATAAAGACTCAGGAACCACAGGTAAATAGCAAATAGCAACTGATTATTTTATTCGCTAATACAGCATTTGGGTTCCCTGTGACCCTTGTGATTGGCATATTTATATTATTACCTTAATGTTGTGTAATAATGTATGTGGTAATTTTTATTCCTTCTTTGCTTCTTAACAGTCAAAAAGTGTCTAGAGCCAGAATTCAGTATAGTGTTGCTGGTTACACCCCTCAGGTAAATATTTTCAATATTTTTTAAGCAGTTTCTTACTGCTAATTGAGAAATAAGTCTTTGCACCAACTTAATGTTTTAATAATATTTCTTTTTCTCTATTCATATTCATCTAACCATAATACCATTATCTTTCTTTTTCAGAGAGCCTCCAATGAATATTTTGATATGGTCATCTTCATGACTTTTTTTATTCTGGTTTCCATCATCTGCTTTATTTTATTGCTTAAGGTATGTTTTTTTACCAATGACAGTGTCCAAAATCTTACTTTGTAATATACAAAGCATTGCTAGTTAACATATGATGTTCACGAGATACTGTGACAAAAATTATTGCTTCACTAGCTTACTCTTGTATCAAACAACTCCGAACTTATAGACTCATCAATAATTGACATGCAAATCACAGCCTTATCGTTAGTGGTTTGACTGATCTGGTTATGTGGTACTTTAATTTACCTCAACTTGAACATTGAGTCTTTTGAATGTTTTGAGAATAAACAGCTGAAAGAGTGATTATAACCAAGCGAGCACCTCTTTCTTAATGTTGGTTACATAAAAATCTTGGCCACCAGTTCAGTTGTTTTAGGTATCTTTGAAAACTATCATCCAACTTTAACAACACGTTTTCTCAAAATAAAGCTATAACTTAGAATATATTGTAACAGTCATGTACTCTAGGTCCCATTTGGAATTGGAATCTATTCTCTTTTCCAGATTAAATGGAGACAAAAACAGAAGGAGGTAAGAACTAAATAACGCAAATGAAACTTTTAAAATATGTAAAATGTCTTGAATTCAAAGTCTTCGGCATGGAGGAAATTACTGATAGCAGACTGGTACAGGTTAATGAACACACTAATCAACCCAAACTCAAACCAAAGCTTATTTAGTGTGCATGGCAAAATAATTTTTAAAAGGTACAGTTTGTTTTAATCTATTTTGCTTGGATGTATTTAAGTTTTATGGCTCATCATAAAGCATGGTAGTAAGTTGTAGAATCAATTAATATATACAATCACAAAATAATTTTTGGTGTCTTAACTGAATATCCCTCACCCAACATTGATCAATATCAGTTACAAAACTTAATTTATTTAGTAAAGAGACAACTCTTTGGCAGATGCAGAAAAAATTAATATCTACCGGTATTATACCTTCAGAAAACCACAGCAGAAATTGAGCAAGCTGTGATTTATATTTTTATTGACAAATGCAAAATTTACCTTGTCTATCCTGCAGTCGTCTCTTACAAGAATGGCTTTGCATGCGTTATCAAGAATGGAGACAAGAAAATACCACAGAGATTCTTCAGAATCATCACGCACTAAAGAAGACAATGGCAACTTCAGTGATGCAGAGAGTACAATGTCAACACAGTCTGACACTATAAGTTCAAAGTGTGTTATATGCTTAGAGAAATTTGAAGATGGTCAGGTGTGTAAATTCAACTTTTTTAAATTTCAAGATATTTAATTAAGCTTATAAGACTTTTGACTTAATGTTAAAAATGGCAGGGGTATTTTGAAAAACACTGAAGCTTAATGTTTAAGGTTAGGAAACTGAGTGAATCAAGTTTCA